TTTTTTTTTTGGTTATACCATATTTCGCAAGATTTTTATTCTATGTGAACCAATTACAAAATGAAAACACGCCATTAAGATATGATATTGATAGCGGCATTTCTGTTGACTTTAATCCGTATTTCAAAGACGCAATGTTATTGTATATTTTGACGATAACGGAGCATGCGATCAGTTTTCGTCTCAATTCATGACTTAGTTGATATAGTCGAAATCACGAAAGATGACGATTACGTCATTATTTTAGTCTGTAGCAAAGTCTAACGACAGCGATTTATAGGAATATTTTTAATGAAGTTTCAGATATGTTAGACAGAGACAAGCAGAATTTTATTGTCTAAGCGAACTGTATTTCTAATTTGCAAGTATCCGACAAAGATAGGCGATGTTTCCATGTTGCACGATCGATCATATTTGAAAGATGAATAGTTAGGTTATGTTAAAGCAGGTTAGGTTGTTTTCGAATAATACTTTGATCTTTGGTGTTCCTGCCTTAAGGTATTCTACTCATAACAAAAACTCCCCACTAAAATTACACTGATCAACAGCCAAAAAATATCCTAAATAAAATCAACAAAATATTACTATTTTTAATGTGCTAAAACCGGAATGAAACTTATTTTTTCAATATTAGGTCAAGTTTTAGAGATACGGTAATTATATGTGTTCCTGCTGTGACAGTGGTAATATACTGTAATTCACAAGAATGCACGTGCTACATTTTTATATTCGGCAAGGAAAGATGATGTAATCGGCATGATTGTGTTACGTTATACATACGTGTACATTATATTGTTTTATATTAGCCATTTTTTCCTCAGTTGGCTGACAGCGTTCATGCAAGGTGTCTCGAAAGTGTGTAAGCAATCCAGATCAGTTTTGTTACGTGTGTGGTGATGTGACTTTTGCGTCTCAGAGACGGTCTATTACTCCACTAATAACAAAGGCATATCAGCTTTATTTCGGTTGTAAACTAGGTGATCAAGACAAACAGTGGGCACCCCACATCTGCTGTAATACATGTGCTTCAAGTCTGAGGAGCTGGTTAAATGGCAAAAAACGGTCTATGCGCTTTGCTGTCCCAATGGTTTGGAGAGAGCCTACAAATCATATTAATGATTGTTACTTTTGCATGGTACCTTGTGTTGGACAAGCCACAGGTATGTCCAAGAAAAAAAAATCGGTTATTAACTACCCAAACATACCATCTGCGATGAGACCTGTGCCTCACAGTGACGAAAATCCTATTCCAAAACCCCCAGAATCCTACACTTGTGAATCAGAAAACGAATCAGATCATGGCGATCGAGTGATTCGTCAGGAAGAAGATATGCCATCAACGTCAAGAGATCCTGATTTTATTCCGAGCACGTCATGCCACCAACCGCACAAAATAACACAGTCAGAATTAAATGATCTTGTAAGAGATTTAGAACTTCCAAAATGTAAGGCAGAGTTACTTGGATCAAGACTGCAGCAGTGGAACTTGTCAGAAGACGATGTGTTTTTCGTAAACGCCACAAAGACTTAGAACCATTTTTCAATATGGAGAATAACTTGGTTTTCTGCAGTAACAATAACGGCTTACTGGCAGCTTTAAATATAAACTATAACCCAGAAGAATGGAGATTGTTTATAGACAGTTCAACATTGAGTTTAAAGGCAGTGTTATTGCATATTGGAAATATTTTACCATCTCTTCCTGTAGGGTATGCAGTTCACATGAAAGAATCATATGATAATATGAAGTACCTATTGACATGGATAAAATACGATGAGCACCAATGGCCTATTTGTGGCGATTTGAAAGTTGTTGCACTTTTACTTGGGCTGCAGCTAGGCTACACAAAGTTTTGCAGTTTTTTGTGTGAATGGGACAGTCGGGCAAAGGCACTTCATTACCCCAGACAAAACTGGCCTGTTCGTCAATTCCTAGAGCCAGGTCAAAAAAATGTACAGCATATGCCATTAGTAGAATCGAAAAAAAAATTATTACCACCACTGTATATCAAGTTGGGCCTAATGAAAAACTTTGTCAAGGCATTAGAGATGGTCAGCTTTTCAATACCTGCGTCAGAAATTTTCAAGACTAAGTGAGGCAAAGGTTAAAGAAGGTATTTTTGTTGGGCCACAGATTCGAAATATTTTGAAAGATACACAGTTTGAAAACACTTTAGCAGGTATTGAAAAAACTGCTTGGAATGATTTCCGTCTGGTGGTCACCAATTTCTTGGCAAATAGAAAAGCTGACAACTATAAAACCCTTGTCAAAAATATGCTGTCATCGTAAGCTGGGCCTAATGAAAAACTTTGTCAAGGCATTAGATAGAAATGGGTCAGCTTTTCAATACCTGCGTCAGAAATTTCCAAGACTAAGTGAGACAAAGGTTAAAGAAGGTATTTTTGTTGGGCCACAGATCGAAATATTTTGAAAGATACACAGTTTGAAAACACTTTAACAGGTATTGAAAAAACTGCTTGGAATGATTTCCGTCTGGTGGTCACTAATTTCTTGGGAAATAGAAAAGCTGACAACTATAAAACCCTTGTCAAAAATATGCTGTCATCGTATCAAAAGATGGGCTGTAATATGTCTCTTAAGATACATTTCCTACACTCACACCTGGACTTTTTTCCTGACAATTGCGGAGCCGTAAGTGATGAGCACGGCGAACGTTTTCATCAGGATATTTCAACAATGGAAAAAAGGTACCAGGGAAAGTGGAATCCTTCCATGCTCGCAGACTACTGTTGGACTTTTGGTAGAGATGCTCCAGAAACGATCCATAAAAGAACAGCAAAAAGACAGCGCATATAGTGATTCTTATAAGTATATGAATCTTGTTACTTTTTTTAATATATCCTTAACAATAAAAAGTTTTTTTTCTAAACCGCAACTAATTTTTTTATTTCATTGTCATTTTTGGATTCAGCGCCCCAAAATTAACAAAGAATTGCACTTTTCCCACAAGATACAATTAAAAAACTAAAATTTGTTGTCCAGTGATTATTATTAAGGTATCACTCAAAACCATGAAATAAGATGAAAATAAAAATAATCAGTGAAATAACTTCGCAACTCATAATATAAATTTGTTGTCATTATATATTTTATCATCGACCTTCGTCCATTGATTGCTTCGGTACAATTTATGATAAGACGTAATAGTCATCTTTCGTGATTTTGACTATACAGGGTGTTTCAGTTTATTGTTGCATAACTTTAAAATTCGATAGAACTTTCAAAATTAATGCATAAAGTCTATATAAACATGGGTCGAAAAATGCGTGGCTTCCGAAATACAGGGTGTTCAAATTTACTTTCTAAAATAGTTTTTTTTAAATATTTCGAACAATATTTGATGTATAACAGTGAAAATTGGTATACAAGGTTTTTTTGGTACGAAAAAACGAACCATGGGCATAGTTTATACATACATCCCCGAGTGGTACAGGGTAACTGGCTCAACCCGACGACAGAACTGGGTCGGGGTCAGTGTGTCAGGTCAGTATGCAACCTTCAACCGACGATTACGGTCACGCGTGTAGAGGTAAACGAACCCGTATAATCGATTGCGTTTCAAAAAACAACAAGCACTAGAGACGTAGCTAGAGAAGTGCAAGTATCAAAAACTAAAGTGTGGCAAACGCTGCGTGAAGAGGGGCTGTATCCGTTTCACGTCCAACGTGTACAAGCCCTTCAACCTGACGATTTTCCAACAAGAGTGCTGTTTTGTGAGTGGTTGTTGCATCAACATGACAATAATCCGGACTTTTTGAAGTGCATATTGGTGACAGACGAATCTACGTTCACGCGTAATGGGGTGAATAACTTTCGCAACACTCATGTTTTGTCAGTAGAAAATCCGCACGCTGTCCGTCGGGCACATTTTCAACAAACATTTTCGGTGAATCTTTGGGCTCATTGGACCATTTATTCTCCCAAATCGATTGGACGGGATGCAATACCTAGACTTTTTACGCAACATTTTGCCTTCCTTGTTAGAAGATGTGCCATTAAGTGTAAGACAATCAATGTGGTTTCTGCACGATGGTGCACCGCCCCATTTTAGACGCGAAGTGCGTGAGTTTTCGAATGAATTATTTCCGAATAGGTGGATCGGACGTAATGGACCCGTAGCGTGGCCTCCGCGATCTCCAGACTTAACACCATGTGATTTTTTCCTTTGGGGAGAAATGAAACGCTTAGTGTACAAAACTGAAGTGCATACGGTTGACGAACTTCGTCTCAGAATTGAACAAGCCGGTGCTTTCATTCGGGGGAGGGACTCCATTCTCAAAGCCTGCACCGATGCTTGGCTACGTCGTGCACGCACCTGTGTTTTTGAATCAAACGGCGATAACTTCGAACAATACCTATAAAGTACGTTTACCTAAAAACTGAAAACGCGGCAACGCCGTCATATTTGTTACCTCTGTTCGTGGCCTGCACCACCGCCGGCGTCTGCTCGGTAGCGCATCAGCTGATTTCATTTTCTGTTGGAGCGGTATGAATTCGGGCAGAGACGTACTTAGTCCTTCTCGTCAACTGGAGAGTGAGTACTTTTTCCTTTATTTTTTTTACTTGGTCGCCCTCGTTTCACTACACATTACCTTTGTTATTTCAAGGGTAGTTGTTTCTGAAAAGGAAAACCCCAACCCTGTATTGTTGATGCAGTCTACGTTTCAGTTTTTAATTTCGAATAATATCAGAGCTATACCAACCAGGCTAACGATTTTGAAACTAATCGTATCTGGGCTCCCCATGAATGATCTAAATTGTTTCATTTTCATGTTTACGAAAACAGTGCACTCTGAGAAAAAAACACACTGTTGAATGTGGACAATACTTACGTAAATCCACATACCAAATTGTTTTTTTATTTTTAAATTTCAACAGGTGTCTTTTTAATGAAGCCCCGGGGGAAAATGTTACATAGAAAATCCCCCTTAAAACGTCCTATGTATGATGTTTCATTTTTGGTCACGACTTGCGAATCACCCTGTATACTATCAGCTAGCTTGTAACACAATTAAAGAAATTAATCGATATTTACATTTATTCACTTTACTGTGTTATCGGATGCAGGTTAAGCAGTAAACTGAATCTGTTTACGGCGACGAGAAAGCAAAATCGTTGGATATCCCAGATCTTAGCTAATAAATACCAAGGATCGAATGCACGACACTTCAGTCGACTCGCAAACAAGGAAGGTACGAAAGTTGCATAATTGTATTTTCAAAGTGTCAGTTGTATCCTAAATCTAGTCAAAAGTGATATTTTCCAAATGTCGATCACTTCCTCATGGATAATAGACCTCGTTATCCTGTTCGCGACGGTTTCCTTAGTCGCGTATAAATATGCGACGAGAAAGTTCGATTATTGGAAGAAGAGGAACGTTTACCACTTGAAGCCGTTGCCGTTCATCGGCAACTTCAAGGATGTCAGTTTGTTCAAAGTGACGATCGGTGAATGGCTGAAGCAGATGTATGATAGCACGGACGAGCCGTATTTCGGGATATTTGTTTACGACGAGCCCCACCTGGTCATCAAGGATCCACAGTTGATAAAGCAGGTGGGTTCATCGTTTGTGAAGTATTGAATTCAATCAGGGATATGGGGGGCCGCCCAGGATAGTATGGATAACGTAAGGATATGTTTAAAGCTTTACAAAACACCGTAAAGCAGAGAAGAATCCTTAGGGGGAATAGTGAGAGGCTAATTCAGAAAAGCTTTTGGTATCTAGTAAATACCAACACCTAGTTTACAAGTTAAGATTATACTAAGTGACATATAAATCCGAACACCCAGTTTAAATGGTTTTATTTTAATAAATGTTGGTGAATGTATTTATCTTACTGTAAATAACAAGTGAATTTTCAGCCTTATCAGTTGGACATTCCGGTTTTTATACTGCTCTAGAAATGAATATTTCAGCCGCAGTAAAGAATCAACGTTGGCGGATTTTAGTTCTTGACATCCTTTACGATCGGTTACGATGCCTAGAGTACGGAGACCTGTACGATTTCGTCAACTTAGTGAGTTTGATAGGGGCCGTATAGTGGGACTTCGGGAAGCTGGACTTTCTTTTCGGGCAATTGCAGTTAGAGTGCAAAGAAGTGTAGACACTGTGGTTAGGTGTTGTCAGGCATGGCTTCGAGAAGGCCGTACGCAAAGAGCAAGGGGCACTGGACGCCGCCGTAGAATAACAGACCGTGAAGATCGCCGCCTAAGATTATTGGCCTTAAGGGACCGTTTCTCCACTACCAGGTCCATTGCGAATGAATGGTTTGCAGAACACGGAAGACCTATTGGCATGCGAAGTGTTTACCGACGAATGAGAAGTTTTGGCTTGTTTTCATACCGGCCATACTGGGTCCTCCCTTTAACTCGAGAACACCGACGTAATCGCCTTGAGTGGTGCAGACAACGGTCACTCTGGGATCAGGAATGGAACAGTATTGTCTTTAGTGACGAGTCTCGATTTTGTTTAAGCATGCACGATGGTCGTGCCAGGGTTAGAAGGCGACGTGGTGAAAGGAGGAATCCACAGTTTTTCGTTAAAAGACATGTTCATCACACTGTTGGAGTTATGGTTTGGGGTGCTATAGCTTATGGTTCCAGGTCACCTTTAATCTTCATCAGAGGTAACATGAACGCGCAGCGTTATATCCACGAAGTTCTAGAACCCCATCTTTTACCCTATCTTGACACCCTGGCAGATCCAACTTTCCAACAAGATAATGCCCGACCACATGTTGCAAGAGTCACGATAGACTTCTTTCAACATAATGATGTCGCATTGTTACCATGGCCACCAAGATCTCCCGACGTATCCCCAATTGAGCACGTGGGGGATATGATGGGTAGGAGATTGCTCAATTTGCAACGTCCTCCTCAGACTCTAGGAGCACTTCGAGAGGAGTTGGTGGTTGCGTTGGAGAATGCGTAGCACATCAGGGTGCATCCACACATTATTAAAGGTCGAAGGGCTTTAAAGCAGTGCAATCATTTTGAAATTTTTATCATTTACTTATTATGCTTCATTAAGTACTTATACAAAATTTTATTAAAATAAAACCATTTAGACTGGGTGTTCGGATTTATATGTCACTTAGTATATATGCATTCTGCATCAGCATTTCAAAGGTGTGTTATTTATTTTAACAGCTTGTAAAACTCCTCAAAAGAAGCTGATATGCCAAATAACAAGAGAGTTAGCTTACATTATTAAAAATTTTATGAAAAAATCATTATCAAGCTAAAATCATGCTCTGCGAATCCACCACTCTTCGCAAGCTTCGATAATAAAATCCTGACGTCCACGAATTGAATCACAAGTTTCAGTGTGATGTGCGAAGACTTGTATCATCACTCATTTGATCAAATCAAATCCCGATGATTGAGTTGCAATTAAAAGCTTTTTATTGAGTAATTGGGTTTTTTCATCAACAGCCAGATGAAATAACGAGTACCACGAATGATTTTATATTTACCAATTATGTTTTTATTAATAGAATAAATGTACGAATAGATTATTTGCAAAAGTAAACAAGATCTAATAATATTTGACATATACTAAGTGACATATAAATCCGAACACCCAGTTTAAATGGTTTTATTTTAATAAAATTTTGTATAAGTACTTAATGAAGCATAATAAGTAAATGATAAAAATTTCAAAATGATTGCACTGCTTTAAAGCCCTTTGACCTTTAATAATGTGTGGATGCACCCTGATGTGCTACGCATTCTCCAACGCGCCTAGGCATGCTTCTGATCAGGTGGTCAATGTCCTCCTGTGGTATCTCATTCCAGGCAACCACCAACTCCTCTCGAAGTGCTTCTAGAGTCTGAGGAGGACGTTGCAAATTGAGCAATCTCCTACCCATCATATCCCACATGTGCTCAATTGGGGATAAGTCGGGAGATCTTGGTGGCCATGGTAACAATGTGACATCATTATGTTGAAAGAAGTCTATTGTGACTCTTGCAACATGTGGTCGGGCATTATCTTGTTGGAAAGTTGGATCTGCCAGGGTGTCAAGATAGGGTAAAAGATGGGGTTCTAGAAATTCGTGGATATAACGCTGCGCGTTCATGTTACCTCTGATGAAGAGTAAAGGTGACCTGGAACTATAAGCTATAGCACCCCAAACCATAACTCCAACAGTGTGATGAACATGTCTTTCAACAAAAAACTGTGGATTCCTCCTTTCACCACGTCGCCTTCTAACCCTGGCACGACCATCGTGCATGCCTAAACAAAATCGAGACTCGTCACTAAAGACAATACTGTTCCATTCCTGATCCCAGAGTGACCGTTGTCTGCACCACTCAAGGCGATTACGTCGGTGTTCTCGAGTTAAAGGGAGGACCCAGTGTGGCCGGTATGAAAACAAGCCAAAGCTTCTCATTCGTCGGTAAACACTTCGCATGCCAATAGGTCTTCCGTGTTCTGCAAACCATTCATTTGCAATGGACCTGGTAGTGGAGAAACGGTCCCTTAAGGCCAATAATCTTAGGCGGCGATCTTCACGGTCTGTTGTTCTACGGCGGTGTCCAGTGCCCCTTGCTCTTTGCGTACGGCCTTCTCGAAGCCATGCCTGACAACACCTAACCACAGTGTCTACACTTCTTTGCACTCTAACTGCAATTGCCCGAAAAGAAAGTCCAGCTTCTCGAAGTCCCACTATACGGCCCCTATCAAACTCACTAAGTTGACGAAATCGTACAGGTCTCCGTACTCTACGCATCGTAACCGATCGTAAAGGATGTCAAGAACCAAAATCCGCCAACGTTGATTCTTTACTGCGGCTGAAATATTCATTTTTAGAGCGTTAGTGAATTAAAAAAAAGCAGTATAAAAACCGGAATGTCCAACTGATAAGGCTGAAAATTTTTTCACTTGTTATTTACAGTAAGATAAATACATTCACCAACTTTTATTAAAATAAAACCATTTAAACTGGGTGTTCGGATTTATATGTCACTTAGTATATCTATAGAATCGATCGCAAATCAAAAAAGTGAATGGCATCGTATATTTTTTTAATTATTGGATATAGCGGTTGTAAATTCCTTTGTTTTGTATAAAGAATTGAATTTGCCAGAATTATCGAAGAAGGATTACGAGACGAGTACTGAAAAGCTGAAAAGAACATCACTTAGCTCAGAACCAATTGCAATTAAGATTTCAAAACCAGACGTCGTTGCGCCCACTGCAACAACTCAAAAAAACTGATTCGGACCATTTTAATGTGTACTGTTTGCAAGACGCCTCTATGTTTAAGAAAAAACGATTCCAGTATGATGTACACTGATACATTATTCATACCACCTGAATTTTTGGAAATTATACAACAAAAGTACAAGGAAACCGAAGTTACTTGTCCCTGAAAGAGTTAAAATAAGTACGAGATATTTCCTTATCTTTCTTCAAGAAATAACTTTTTTGCCACAAAAAAACGCTCCAATAGCTATTTTCAACAACAAAATGATAAACAAACCATGGGCGTAGTGAAAAAAAGCATTTACTTATTAAGTAAATTCTTCTAGTCAAATTTCTTCTGAAATTAGTACAAACTAATCTGATGTACCTATTAAAGTCTACTTTAAGCTTTAAATCAATAAATTTTCAAAACTACTGAACTGAAACTCAAGCATTTTACATCATTATAAAGGGAATTGAAACACCTTTAAAATAAGGTATCACTCGACCCCCCTTTCCATTTAAGATTTTGGCGGTGGTGTCACCCCCGCTTAGGGGGCTGCACGTGCTAACGTGATTTTTTGCCAAACTTGTGTCGCCCTCGAAAACAAAATCGACGAGTCTGAGCGGTTTAAAAAAAAAATTAGCTGCCATTAAATGCGTCTGTTTTGTCCTCGATGCGCCACCCTATATTTATCAACGCACGTCCAGCGAATATCGGTCAATCAAAATCATCCTCTCAATTCCAGTCAGTACAGTTGATTAAGACCTTTTTTACACCGAAGCAACCGCGCAGGTCGAAGCCTTGATGCCAGGGCACCGAGGCTGCTATGAGGATCTCAAAGAAATTTTGTTAACAGAACTCGGAAAATTTTTCCTCTTGTAGATTGTCCCACAATCTCGGCACTCTCGGCACAAGGCCTCCTTGATTTCTGAAGAAACACTACTATACTTCCTGAGACCAAATATGAATCTGCAACAGTTGTTCTGAAGCTTCTGCAATTTTGACTTACACACCGAGTCTAGTCACGAGCAAAAAAAGGACTGGAGAGCAAGCTAAAATTGGAAACAACTTTTTACCGCACTGAAAGTTTAAAATATGACCACTAGAATATAAGAGCTTCATCTCCATATAACTCGACTTCATGATACTATTCACATGTCAGTTACATCCAAGATTTGAATCAAATAACACATAGGTTCGTAACATTATCAAAAAATGGAGTGTTAGTGTCGCTGATTAATAAGGTATATTGTAATTTGAGTATTTAGGATTGTGTGGTATCGCGGTACATTTTGATGGATTGATGAGTGCTTATTAAAATACGCTAATACCCTATCAAGATCTAGATTAATTTTATACGGTGCTTCATGTAAGTGGGATTCATTAAAACGAAATGTTAATTCTGTATCGTTAGCATGCACTTGAATGTAACGATGTTCTACACACGCATGCAGGTCAAACGTGTATACTAGGAATAAAAGAGGTCCCCTGAGGAAACATACTGGGCATCAAAAGTTTCTCTAGATGTTTTCACTTTTTGAGTGCGTTAAGTAGGATCTGAACAAATTCAAAGGAACTTCGGACATGTCATCATCTTCGTCCATATATGCTCTAGTGCCACAACTGCGTTAGTCCCAAACAATATGAACTGTAGCTAGGTTTAAGCAAAGGCTTCCTCAAAACACAAATTTTACAATGTATAGGATCTTTTACAATTTGTATAGCTGGATATACAAAAATATGATTCGTCTACTAACGTCTACTAAGTGACATATAAATCCGAACACCCAGTTTAAATGGTTTTATTTTAATAAAAGTTGATGAATGTATTTATCTTACTGCAAATAACAAGTGAACAAATTTTCAGCCTTATCAGTTGGACATTCCGGTTTTTATACTGTTTTTTTTAATTCACTAACGCTCTAAAAATGAATATTTCAGCCGCAGTAAAGAATCAACGTTGGCGGATTTTGGTTCTTGACATCCTTTACGATCGGTTACGATGCCTAGAGTACGGAGACCTGTACGATTTCGTCAACTTAGTGAGTTTGATAGGGGCCGTATAGTGGGACTTCGGGAAGCTGGACTTTCTTTTCGGGCAATTGCAGTTAGAGTGCAAAGAAGTGTACACACTGTGGTTAGGTGTTGTCAGACATGGCTTCGAGAAGGCCGTACGCAAAGAGCAAGGAGCACTGGACGCCGCCGTAGAACAACAGACCGTGAAGATCGCCGCCTAAGATTATTGGCCTTAAGGGGCCGTTTCTCCACTACCAGGTCCATTGCAAATGAATGGTTTGCAGAACACGGAAGACCTATTGGCATGCGAAGTGTTTACCGACGAATGAGAAGTTTTGGCTTGTTTTCATACCGGCCACACTGGGTCCTCCCTTTAACTCGAAAACACCGACGTAATCGCCTTGAGTGGTGCAGACAACGGTCACTCTGGGATCAGGAATGGAACAGTATTGTCTTTAGTGACGAGTCTCGATTTTGTTTAGGCATGCACGATGGTCATGCCAGGGTTAGAAGGCGACGTGGTGAACGGAGGAATCCACAATTTTTTGTTGAAAGACATGTTCATCACACTGTTGGAGTTATGGTTTGGGGTGCTATAGCTTATGGTTCCAGGTCACCTTTAATCTTCATTAACATGAACGCGCAGCGTTATATCCACGAAGTTCTAAAACCCCAACTTTCCAACAAGATAATGCCCGACCACATGTTGCAAGAGTCACAATAGACTTCTTTCAACATAATGATGTCACATTGTTACCATGGCCAGCAAGATCTCCCGACTTATCCCCAATTGAGCACGTGTGGGATATGATGGGTAGGAGATTGCAACGTCCTCCTCAGACTCTAGAAGCACTTCGAGAGGAGTTGGTGGTTGCCTGGAATGAGATACCACAGGAGGACATTGACCACCTGATCAGAAGCATGCCTAGGCGCGTTGGAGAATGCGTAGCACATCAGGGTGAATCCACACATTATTAAAGGTCGAAGGGCTTTAAACCATTTAAACTGGGTGTTCGGATTTATATGTCACTTAGTATATTTCCTAGAAGTTTTGGCACGAAATAAATTCGCCGTCTCAATTGCTCTACATCTTGGGCTTCCCAGCCTCCATGATAAACCTGCCTAGACAGTAAAGCCCAAAAATCCTCTATTGCGAAAACTTCAAAATACCGACAGTAAAGTTAGTAAACAAACTTTTGTTTCCAAAAGCAACTTGATATTATTTTGAGTTTGTTTAAATTAAATCCAATGAATTTTGTGCGAAAACTTTTAAGGCATACGTTACTGTTCCATGATCTGTGCAACAAGAGTTATATGTGAAGAAACGATTGATATTGCACATAAAATGTTATTGTACTCGTATATACAAGTAGTTTGTATTGTTTTCTTCTGTTGCTATTTTCTAACATTGAAAGGACACATGTAATAACCTTAATGAATGGTTAAACTTAATCACAGCCTATCAACACCGTAATCACCAGTTAATATATTCACGTAAATTCCTCCAGCACGTCACAGAAATGATGTACGCCTCAAAATGGCTTAACTTATTTAAAATAAACAACAATACAGATCATAGATTTATTTTATATAGTTTGATATGTTTCAAAGACTTAGTTATCACGATTCGATTCCACCGTTTGAAACGACTTGACCCATGCCTTTTTTTTTGAAACGAAGTCAATCTACTGGACGCTATTTATTTTTCAGATATTGGTGAAGGATGCCAACAGTTTCCCAGACAGGACAAACGCAGCACCGCAACATAATGAAATAATAGCCAATCTGCTATTTTTCCAAAAAAGTCCAAATTGGAAGGTTTACAGATCGAAAATATCGCCAGCATTCACCTCTGGTAAACTGAAGCTCATGTTCCACAGTATAAACGAGGTTAGTCACTAGTTGCAAAAAGAGATACTTAAATATTTTCCAAACTGTGTATTACAATAACGTATAATTCTCATCCATCATTATACAGGGTGTTTCAGTTTATTGTTGCATAACTTTACGATTCGATAGAACTTTTAAAATTAATGCATAAAGTCTATATAAACATGGGTCGAAAAATACGCGGCTTCCGAAATACAGGGTGTTTAAATTTACTTTCTAAAATAGTTTTTTTTAAATATTTCGAACAATAATTGATGTATAACAGTGAACATTGGTATACAAGGGTTTTTTGGTACGACAAAACGAACCATGGGCATAGTTTTACTGTAGCCGCTAGAGGGCGCTCTCTACTGTACCTGTAGTGTATTAAAATGACCGAAAAAATTTTCTTAGTGCAATTTTTTGATTTTTGAATAAAAAAACTGATTCTTCGCACTTTTCAACATAAAAAAGCTCTCTTGTGAATTTTCGTTATAGTTAGCCGTTTTTGAGATATTTCGATTTTTAAAGTTCGATGCATTTTTAATTATTTATGATCAAATAACGTTAAAAAGTCAGTATCTCGATAATTTTTAGAAGTAGGCTATGCCTGCAAATATTTTTGAAATTGAAAGCAGAATAAGGTTAAACGTCAATTAGTTGACAGTTAGTTTTATTGTCTGTTGAAACCTGTGAATAATTAATTTAATTTGTTAAAAATAATATTGGAAAATTAAACAAATTAATATTCTGTTTTTTTTTTGTGTTTATTTGGAGTTAGCTGCTGTATTTAAAAACACAATCTAAACGATCATCTTATTTACTTGTAATGCCCAAATCGAAAATGTAAAAAAAGATATTATTCTCCCATAAATAATTAAAAATGCATCGAACCTTAGTTCTATCGAATCTTAAAGTTATGCAACAATAAACTGAAACACCCTGTATAGACTCCAAAAAAAACATAATAACGGGTTTTGAAATTTAGATTTAAAGAATAACTGAACCTTCAAACTTATTCCCAGATAAGCCAGAACTTGAATCGCTATATCGAAAAGCACCTCGGCGATATCGAAGCCAAGGAAGTGTGTGCGAAATTTTCAACTGAAGCTATCGCCAGGTGTGCGTTTGGTCTAAAAGCTCACTGCTTCGAAGATGAAAATGCGGCGTTCAGAAAAGTTGGCAGAAGACTGTTCGATTTCAGCTGGAGGAACGCCATTGTAAGTACTTATTTCTATTCTAATGGGTTGTCCAATAGGGACGCAGGAAAGTAAACGTCAATTTGACATAGACGCCATCTTTGTTTTCTGTCACCGACATGTCATTTTGTTAGTTGAATGTTTAGAAGACCGCATTAAAGTTATTCAAGAGCACTACAAAGATGGTGCAAAAATAAAAAACACGTTTCGCGCGCTTCGTGAACATTTCGGTCGCAACAACCGCCCAAACGAAACAACCATCGGTCGTCTGGTGCGTAAATTCGAGGCAACAGGTTCTGTGGCAAATCTGCCAGGCTCTGGCCGGCCAAGGAGCGTTCGCACACCGGAAAATATTGCTGTTGTGAAGGAGAGTGTGAGAGACGATCCGAAACAATCAACAAGAATTTGAATGTACACGCCTACAAGATCCAACTGACGCAAGAGCTGCGTCGGGCCGACCATTTTTCGCGCCGAACGTTGTCAGATTGGCTCCTTGAACACCGCCAAATTGATGTCAATTTTTCATCAAAAATCATGTTCAGCGACGAAGCGCATTTCACTTTGAATGGGACGGTAAACAAGCAAAACTGCCGCATCTGGGAGAACGAAAATCCCCGTGAGTATCAAGAGCAGCCGATGCATCCTTAAAAAGTGACTGTGTGGTGTGCATTGTGGTCAAAAGGCATCATCGGGCCTTACGTTTTCGAAAATGCGGCCGGGGACCCCGTTACCGTCAATTCTGAGCGGTATCTCGTGATGATAGAGGACTATTTTTTGCCGCAACTTGAAGGAATGGATATGGACGATGTTTATTTCCAACAAGACGGTGCAACATGCCACACAACCAACGTCAATATCCATCGATTGCAGTCTTTCTTCGGTGATCGCGTGATTTCGCGCAGAGGAAATGTGCCATGGCCACCAAGATCGTGCGATTTGACTCCCTTGGACTTCCTTTTATGGGGATATTCGAAAAGCAAAGTCTACGTCAACAAACCAGCCACCCTCCAAGAACTCAAAAACAACATCATTGCCGAGATAAATGCCATAGAATCGACATGTTGCAAAATGTCATTGAAAATTTCGACCATCGCGTGGACGTCTGTAAATCCAGTCGTGGTGAACATTTGAGCGATATTATTTTTCATACATAAATGGTATAAGTGAACCTTCAAAATAAAGTACCCAACGTGATTTGAGTATCAATCTTTCTTGTTTTAATATGCGTTTACTTTCCTGCGTCCGTTTTGGACAACCCCATATTTATGGCTCGCTGGCCAGCGTGCTAATTTGAACGTCGTTTGAAAGCTGTTTTATTTGACACCCATGTCGTAGGAGTGACTGTAAAAAATGTAAATCGCCATGTTGCGGCGGTCGTCATACTGAATTCAAAATGACGTCACTTTGCTTATTGTGTTTCTCTCATCGAGCCGTTCCATTTGATACCCATATCATAGGAGTTACTATGGAAACGATGCGTCATCATTTTGTAGCATTCGCCCTATTGGATTCAAAATGGCGGCGGTTAATTCAATCTGTATTGTCACGCAAACCTAACGTGTGTTCAAAAATTTAGCGTGATTGATTTTTTTTTGTTTTCAGATACAAAGCGCTTACTTCTTCCGGCCGGACTGGGTGTCCTGGCTTCACCTTGATTTTTTCGATAAACAGGTGTCTGACTACATGATCGAAGTTTTTTCAAACGTGATGAAACAGAGAGAAGACACAAATACTAAAGGGAACGATTTTCTGGATATGCTGATTGAGCTGAAGAAAAATCAGGATCTCAAAGAAAAGTATTCGTTTGGTAAGCATTTTTACATGTCTGAATCGACACAAAAAATGTTAAAATCCTTCCTACGAAAGGCATTTGTACAAGATAAATAAAACTATGTGGCGCGTGATGGAAACATCCAGGAGAACAATCTAAAGAAGCTTGCGAGACATCGGCTGCATATTAAGGGCGTTCACCGTAAACTAACATCCAATCGACAAAATGGTTATTACTTTAGGATTGTACCAGTTTCGTGTCCCTCATCAAATTCTATTCATTAACTGATTCTTCGCACTTTTCAACATAAAAAAGCTCTCTTGTGAATTTTCCTTATAGTTAGCCGTTTTTGAGATATTTCGATTTCTAGGGTGCGATGCATTTTTAATTATTTATGATAAAATAACGTTAAAAAGTCAGTATCTCGATAACTTTTAGAAGTAGTATTTTTGAAATTGAAAGCAGAATAAGGTTAAACGTCAATTAGTTGACAGTTAGTTTTGTTGTCTGTTCAAACCTGAAACGTTTCTTTGCAATTGTGAATGCACGAAATTTAGTTTCTTTTACCTGTTTTTTTTTTGTAAGTTTTATAAAAATGCCATTTTTATTCTCCAATCAAGAGTTAGCGGATATTCATTTTGTGTATGGCTTTGTAAATGGAAACGCAGCAGAAGCAGCCAGAGAATACGCACGAAGATTTCCAATCAGACGACATCCAACTCGCTCAGTATTTGTAAGAGTGCATCGCCAAATAATTGAAAATGGTTTTGGAAATCTCCAAAGGGATCAAAACATAAATGTTTGTCTGAATGGACACAAAAAAGGTTAAAATCCTTCCCACGAAAGGCATTTGTACAATATAAATAAAACTATGCGGCGCGTGATGGAAACATCCAGGAGAACAATCTAAAGAAGCTTGCGAGGCATCGGCTGCATATTAAGGGCGTTTACCGTGAACTAACATCCAATCGACAAAATGGTTATTACTTTAGGATTGTACCAGTTTCGTGTCCCTTGTCAAATTCTATTCATTAACAAATAACTTGGTTTAACCACACAGCACGCGGAATCTGGGTTGGATGCTGACACAAGTCGTATCTCTTTACCTAATCCTTTGCTTGAGGCTGGACTTAAGACCGCATACAAATAGACAGTCTTTAAGGGATGAAACATAATCAATTCTAATGAAGTTAATATACTAAGTGACATATAAATCCGAACACCCAGTTTAAATGGTTTTATTTTAATAAAAGTTGGTGAATGTATTTATCTTACTGTAAATAACAAGTGAAAAAATTTTCAGCCTTATCAGTTGGACATTCCGGTTTTTATACTGCTTCTTTTTAATTCACTAACGCTATAAAAATGAATATTTCAGCCGTAGTAAAGAATCAACCTTTTTCGGATTTTGGTTCTTGACATCCTTTACGATCGGTTACGATGCCTAGAGTACGGAGACCTGTACGATTTCGTCAACTTAGTGAGTTTGATAGGGGCCGTATAGTAGGACTTCGGGAAGCTGGACTTTATTTTCGGGCAATTGCAGTTAGAGTGCAAAGAAGTGCAGACACTGTGGTTAGGTGTTGTCAGGCATGGCTTCGAGAAGGCCGTACGCAGAGAGCAAGGGGCACTGGACGCCGCCGTAGAACAACAGACCGTGAAGATCGCCGCCTAAGATTATTGGCCTTAAGGGACCGTTTCTCCACTACCATGTCCATTGCAAATGTATGGTTTGCAGAACACGGAAGACCTATTGGCATGCGAAGTGTTTACCGACGAATGAGAAGTTTTGGCTTGTTTTCATACCGGCCACACTGGGTCCTCCCTTTAACTCGAGAACACCGACGTAATCGCCTTGAGTGGTGCAGACAACGGTCACTCTGGGATCAGGAATGGAACAGTATTGTCTTTAGTAACGAGTCTCGATTTTGTTTAGGCATGCACGATGGTCGTGCCAGGGTTAGAAGGCGACGTGGTGAAAGGAATAATCCACAGTTTTTTGTTGAAAGACATGTTCATCACATTGTTGGAGTTATGGTTTGGGGTGCTTATGGTTCCAGGTCACCTTTAATCTTCATCAGAGGTAACACGAACGCGCAGCATTATATCCACGAAGTTCTAGAACCCCATCTTTTACCCTATCTTGACACCCTGGCAGATCCAACTTTCCAACAAGATAATGCCCGACCACATGTTGCAAGAGTCACAATAGACGTCTTTCAACATAATGATGTCACATTGTTACCATGGCCACCAAGATCTCCCGACTTATCCCCAATTGAGCACGTGTGGGATATGATGGGTACGAGATTGCTCAATTCGCAACGTCCTCCTCAGACTCTAGAAGCACTTCGAGAGGAGTTGGTGGTTGCCTGGAATGAGATACCACAGGAGGACATTGACCACCTGATCAGAAGCAAGCCTAGGCGCGTTGGAGAATGCGTAGCACATCAGGGTGCATTGAAATTTTTATCATTTACTTATTATGCTTCATTAAGTACTTATACAAAATTTTATTAAAATAAAACCATTTAAACTGGGTGTTCGGATTTATATGTCACTTAGTATATTTGTATTTGCAGAAGGAAACAAAGTAATAGCCCAGGCATTCCAATTTTTCTTGGCTGGCTTTGAAACAACCAGTTCGTTGATATCATTTACGTTGTACGAATTGTGCAAGAATCCTAAGTATCAAAATACCGTGAGAGAAGAAATAAAGACCACTATAGACAAAGATGGAGGTATCACCTACGAAAATGTGATGGGGATGAAATATTTGGATATGTGTGTTCAAGGTAGGTGTCAAATAAATAGATAACAAGTGCAGACACAACCTCGCGTTCGTGTGTTAAACATTTCCAGCCGAGTTTTTCATATTGACGTATGTCGGATACTTTTTTGAACAAAAAAGATCCTTGATTACTAACTACAAAGTTTACGGTCCTCAAGCTTTGAGCGATTTGACGTCTGAAAAATCCTAAAAATGATCAGTTTGGAACACAATATCTCGTATTAGTACAAGTTACAAGTAAATTCGCTTGTAATTATCACCCCATGCGACAGGCCGTATTTCAGCTGAAGGTTTTTATAGGCATCAGAGAGCCGCCAATAAGTCAGAGTCTAGCGCCATCTATGATGCAGTAGCAAAACACTTTACACTTTCGTCTTAAATTAGATTTATAAATTCATTTTTTGTGTTCTGCTGAGGATGTTGGAAATAATGAAATCCAAGCGTCGGGCTACCAACTCTAGAGCTAATCACCGCGTATTTACACATTTAATTGAGCAATTACATTTTACATCATCAAACGATTATTTGCCCATATTCTTGATGATTACATGCCACTAAAAACAAATAGTACTAAATTATATATATTTTTGCGGTGCAGTAATTTCCACAAATATTCATACATGTGTGTGTAATCATAATAAAATGACAATGGACCAAGGTTCTAAACATGTGAAACGGAAAGCGAGTTTCTTCCAGTATAGAGGTATGCTATTAGACGAAGCTCGAAGCAAACCTTCAGCACATAGAAAATGAATGACCGCACGCTGATTATATTTGGATTGCTAACAATAAACGCCTTTTCTAGATCACAATACTTAAAGCATCCCACAAACCGGCGCGAAATAATCGCGGCGAAGTATTCGCAACGAAATTCAGAGCGAAATTCGCAATCTGTTTCGCCTGTTTATTCATACCAAAGCGTCTTATTCGCTCCGCGAACGTGAAGGTTTCGACAGGTTGCGTACATTTTATTTTTGCCTTTTGCAATGAGCTCGTCTTCAGAAGAAGAGGAGGCACTTCTATTTCTTGCTTTAGAAGAGGAACAAAATGCACGGTAAGTTATGTTTATTTAACGCCATTTGATAGTTGGGTATGTATTAAGTTTAACGAAGTACATAAAACAAATATTTTCAATTTTGTTTAGGAAACGAAGGAAGTGGGTACATGATATTAACTTGGAACGAAATAAATTAGGGGAATAACATACCTTCGGCTGAATGAACAGCGCTTTTACGTATATTTTAGAATGACTCCAGAGTGTTTCGATGAAATATTGAACTTGGTGAAAGATGAAATACGAAAATCTGACACAAATTATCGTGAAGCTATTTCGCCAGAAGAACGACTTGCTATTACACTCAGGTAAAAAAATTATATGTATTAAAATTAGTAAGCTTATCGAATACGAAAACTTCAGGGATCGTGAAATAAATATTTTATTGTAATAATTGGACTAAATGTTGCCACTAAGATTAAATGTTGCTAAATAATTCGAGGCAGAATTTGCCTCCTCTGTTGGGTATATTATTGGAGTAAACCCGGTGCCGCTTGGAAAGGACGACATACTACTATCATACATACTTGCAGAATTCTGGGTAGACGCTGAAGACATTTCTTCAATATGTTCAAATTCTTCGTGCGCTATTAATTCGGCTATTTTTAGTTTTATTCGGGCTTGACGCTTTAAGGGAAGTGTTTTCACAGTCTGTGCATGTGCCAAGAAAAGTGACTCGATGGCCTCGTTCTCTTTTTTAGGTTTTTTACCTTCAAAATAATTAATGAGCTGTTGTACAGACGAAGATGGTGGTTCATAGCGTTTTCTGCTCGTTTTATATTTTGGTGTAGTTGCAGTCTGCGGAAAGGTGTGCCCTGGAGTAGTCACTGCTGTAGTGTTCAATGAAGAAGGTGGTGCTGTCTGTGTTGCCGAGGCGTTCTGTGCATCTTCTGCATCTACATCAGCATTTTCATCTTCTCCATGGCCGCGGTCTTCCAAATTTTCGGTTTCTACATTTCCAGCCCTTTCCTGATATATATTTGAGTTAAATTCGGCAGTCTCATAATGTATGACGACAATATCTTTCACATTAGACGACGTTTTGGCAAATGCCAAAAAAGGACGGAAAAATTCCATGTAGTCAGCCCACTGCCATTTTTTTATGTTGCCCACTGCTTGGCCGGTCTTTGGTTTGGTAGATTTTATATATTTTGCAAATGTGTCTGTGATATTCTTCCACCTTTTTTTTACTTCATCACCTAAAAACGATTTTTTTATAGATTCCTTGCCACTGGTGACACCTTCTATACCATTGGGCATAGCTTTCGAGTTGGCTTTACAACAGTGAGTGCAATCGTAACCGAAGTCTGTGAAGCGATATGCAGACATATGGAGCATATATATTTACCAAACCAACAGAGAATATATGGAAAAAATGTGCTGAAGAATTTGAAAATAGATGGGGATTTCCCAATTGCATTGGCAGCGTGGACGGTAAACATGTAACAATCAAGAGACCTAACAACAGTGGCTCCAATTACTGGTGCTATTTACATAAATATTCAATAGTACTTATGGCCATTGTTGGCCCAGACTATAAATTTATATGTGTTGATATTGGTGGTTTCGGAAAAAATAGTGATGGGGGTATTTTCGAAACCTCAAACATGGGAAAACGATTTAAACAAAATTTAATGAGTGTACCTGCACCTAGATTTCTCCCTGGGCAAAATGAAATCTGCTCGTACGTCTTAATTGGTGATGAAGCATTTGCTTTAAAACCATACCTTATGAGACCATTTCCTTATAAGCAGACTTTAACAGACGTCAGAAAAGAGAAATACAATGTAAGACTTTGTCGAGCTAGAAGGGTCGTGGAAAATGCGTTTGGTATTTTGTCTCAAAAATGGCGAATATTTTACAGGCCATTAGAAACTAAAGTAGATACTACTATTCTAATTGTATGTACGGCATGTGTTTTACACAATTTTTTACGAAGTGAAAGTGGCGATGACAAATATTTTCAATTCTTAGATCCCCCAGAACCCGTGCTTGGAGCTTTTACTGATATAGCAAATGATCCTCGGCGGGCAGCAAGGCTAGCATTTTCTACTCGTGACAAATTCGTAAATTATTTTAATTCTGATATGCCTATGCCCAATATATAGAATGTTCGTTTTCACATTTGTGTAGACTGTAAATTATTTAACAAGTTAATAAAAAATATTAGGTACATACCATTTGTATTTAATTCTTTTCCTATTTCCATCCAAACCTTGTCTTTCTTTCTCACATTCCGGTATTCATCGTTCGACAAATCATACAAACAAGGATACTTTTTCACTATTTCTATCAATAATTCCGTTTTTGCCATTGCGTATTTTTTAAGAACGGCGTCAAAAACGCGGTCAAAGGCGAACTGAAATACGCCGCGATAAAAACGCTGGAACAATCGCATTCGCTTCGCACAAGTCTGAGCCTGTCCGTAAACCGCCGCGTTTTAATCTGATCGCGAATTCATCGCCGCGAAATTTTCGCAGCCAAAGCGAATATTTCGCGCTGGTTTGTGGGATGCTTTAAAATCACGAACTACATTGCAAAACGTCAGTTAAGCGATAAGAATTGTTTCCAAGGCTAACCTGACCAAAGATGAGTTTCAATTGAACAGGCCTCGTATTATATCTTGTTTGTTAATCAGTTAAGTGTGAACGGCCGATGGCTAGATTTCGCCGACAAAAAGTCATTTATTTATTTATATTACAGAATCTCTTCGAATGTATCCTGTGCTACCGTTCTTGGATCGGCGATGTAACGCAGAATACAAATTGCCAAACTCCGACTTAGTAGTAGAGAAAGGACTTCCAGTGTATATTCCTATGTTTGGACTGCATTTCGACGAGAAGTATTTCCCAGACCCGCTTAAATACAAACCAGAAAGATTTGAAAATGGCACAAACGTATACAACAAGGACGGAATTGTATTCATGCCTTTCGGTGAAGGACCCAGAATTTGTATAGGTTTGTACAATTTTTTTAATTGAATTTTTACCAATAACCGACAATCAAATTTTGAAAAGCTGATCCAAGTTCAGCTGCAAAACTCTTTTGCTTTCTGATGTTGCAAGGTGTTAGAATGAACATTTCCAACGCTCTGTTCTCGCAGCTTAGGAGACAAGGAGACTATGTTGAAAATAAAAAAAAAATAATGAGAAAAAAGTCTTGTATCTTTGTTAGACCGGAAACTTTTCAAATCACCCTCGTAAAGTACCCATAATAATAATATAATATTTATTCACTCAATGTACAAAGATAACAAACAATATGAGTAAATAAATATAAAATCAAAACAGGCCCAATAGAAGGCATCGCCTGTACATGGACCAATAATTTAACTTGAAACTGTAGAATGCAAATGACAAAAAAGGACAAAAACTAGCTACAGTAGATTATGTATTTAGTTGATGTTCGTATTTATGAGTTTATGAATTTCAGTCCTAGATATAGAATGTAGCCACGTTTTTAAATTTCTTTTGAAACAATTTCCGAAACGTAAATCTTTTAAGTCTTTAGGTATAATTTCATAAAATTTAGGCGCTAAATAGAGATATGATCGCTACATTATAGATTTATGCGGTTGAGGAACTACTGTGCCACGAATTTTGTACCTGGTATAATGATTATGTTTAATTTTTTGGTCGGTGTTTACAAATTTATGGTAGTGAGTGATACTGTGTGAGAAATAAAGCTGTCTTATATCATACATTCGAACATCTGCGTATAATTTTTCAGTGGGATAAAGTTTCGGTTTTTTAAATATCATTTTTAGAATACTTTTTTGAAAAACATCTAAATTATAGATATGTGAGGAACATGCAGCTCCCCATGCTAATATACCATATGTGAGATGAGGCTCAATCAGTGCATGGTATAATGTTCGAAGATATTTTTCTGTCAATATATTCCCAAGGTATTTAATTTTGTAGGATACAAATCTAACTTTTTTTAAAATATAATTGACATGGATGTCCCATCGTAAGTGAGGATCCAAGACTACTCCAAGGTATTTTATGTTGGGCACTCTATTAATTTGCATGTTTTGATCATTAATATTGAAGGAGAAATTTGTGTAATTTGGCAGATGTCTAGCATAAGATCCAAATGGTAAAAAATGTGTTTTAGAGTAGTTAATGCTTAATTTTCTACTGTTAAACCACCGAATAATTTTGATAAAATCATTTTCAATTATATTTTTCAGATCAGACCAGTCAGTGCCTTCATATAATATTGCAGTATCATCTGCAAAACTAGTTATTTTGCCAACACAATTAATTTGGAAAATATCATTTAAATATATATTGAATAACAGCGGACCTAAGACAGTTCCTTGTGGGACACCACACTTTATATACATTTCTTTACTAAATGATCCTGATATCTGCACAGATTGTGGGCGATTTGACAAATAACTTTCGATCAGTGAGTACGCGTTTCCTCTGAAACCAATTCTCTCCAATGCTTCTAATAATAATTTGTGATTAACTGTATCGAAAGCTTTCTTTAAATCAACAAAAATGCAGATTGAAGGGATTCTGTTATCAATATTTTGATGTATTTGATTTACAATTTTAGTTATTGCGTCCGATGTAGCCTTCCCTTCTGTAAATCCATATTGATTTTCACTTAAAATTTTGAATTTTGTGAGGTATCGAATCATTCTAGTAGATAAAACTTTTTCAAAAACCTTTGCTACACTGGATATTATTGATATTGGTCTATAGTTGTTAACATCTGTTTTTGTTCCTGATTTATGTATCGGTATTATATTACCTTTTTTTAAAATTGAGGGATATATGCCAGATTCAAAGCATTTGTTGATTAGGTAAGTGAGTGGTTCTGTTATGTCTTCGGCTATAATTTTCAAATGCTCGCTTTTAATACCATCGAACCCAGGACTTTTCCGATTTTTTAAGGACATAACAGTGCTCGACTTTATCCAAAATAAATAAGTTCAAAGTTCTCTTTGGAGGCTGAGTATTTTGTACATTTGCTTGTATATTACTTGCTAAATTTTCGCCTATGTCAGTAAGGAATTGTACAAATTCATCGCATATCTGTTGAGTATTTTTTAATACTGTTCCCGATGTTGTATTTAACTCAGCGACACACTCTTTAAATTTTGTTTTCCCAGTAATCTCATCAATAGTTGTCCAAAGCCGCTTAGGATCATTTAAGTTATTATTCAACTTATTTAGGTAATGTTTTCGTTTGGTTTGCCTTACAAGTTCTATAAATTTATTTTTATATTGGTTGTAGCAGTCGGTATTCTCTGTAGTTGGCGTTAGTTTCATTACATTATATAGTCTTTCTTTTTCTATTGCCGATGTTATTAATACTATGGTAATCCAGGCATTTCTGCTTTTCTCTTTGTGACTAATTATTACTTTATTGGTACTAATATCTATTAGTTTTTTTATTTTCTCTATGAACAGTCCCGTTGCTTTGTCTATATTATTTATAGAGTATAATTGTTCCCAGGATTCTTGTTTGACATTTGATATTAGTTTTGAATTGTCGACAAAAAATTAGAAACATCCATCAAATTAATAAATAATATATTGGCCATCTAGGTCTATGGCGATTTATCGTTTCCATATTAATCTCTATAATATAATTGCCAAATGAGAACGCTTGAAGAGATAATTGTACCGTTCAGTTTTAAAGTGAGCGCACTGTCACCGCGCCTTGCGTATTTATTCCGTTCAAAGTAATCGCGATCGTTCTCGAACAGATCGCTCACCGCAGTGTTGCCGCTGCTTGTCAATATTATTAAAATTTACAAAATGTACGGAAGCTGCTATGATTTTTACAACTTTTTAAAATATGTTCTGAGCCACCGGAATTGCCTAGCTCGCGATCGACACTGAACTAAACTCGTTCTTAAAAATGCATTTTTTCCGTTTATTTACTGTGATATCAACATAAAAATTGGGAAACGTGGTTTCTGGAGATGAAATATACGATTAATATCATATCCAATTTTCAACGTAGTAAGTAGAGGACACTTATCAGTTCATTTCTTATGCTTTGTTTCAGGTGAACGTTTTGGACTATTAGCTACGAAGTTAGCGCTGGTACGCATACTGTCTGAATTTGAGGTGGTGAGGAATATGAAAACGCCCGACGTCATAGATTTCACTCCTAAAAGCTTTATACTACAATCTAAAATCGGCCTTCCGATGAAGATCAAGAAAATTACATCGACGCCTGCGTAATTGTATTTATTCAAAGAAATTACACATTGTGTACGTTATATAATCCCATAATTGTGAAAAACGGCGATGAAATACATTTTAGTATTATGTTTAAAGGACTTTTGTTATTTTCAGTGCCACTGTAGCAATGTTGCTTATAGTTTCTGCTTCCGATGCCACGGAATGAGGATTCTCAACTAGCAAAGACATGCTATAAGTTTCTGTTAAGCTGTAAAAGTTGTTTTTCGCTATTACGTTGAGCACGGTTCACAGATTTTGAAAATATTCACAATGTTGAGGAAGGATCCACTCTCATTAGAGTTATATTTGTTTAAAGGAATTGTCCTGTATTTTATATATATGTTCGTTTATGGACTGGGGCGTTAAAAAGTGTTATTAGGAATTTTGTGTAAAAAAATAGAGATCTTTCGGTTTTGCTCTGAAGTATTACTTTTCAAGATGACATAAAAGATTTCATTTGTGTACTAATTTCCACCGAAGGCGCGTCACTATTAATTTTGCACAATGTCCTGAACAACCCCCAATAGAAATATCAGCTGCTTTAGAAAACATCTAGATAAGTCATCAAGTCGTAAGCTGGCTGGCGTATTTGTTATAGGTATTTGAAGATTTACATAAAATGTCCTTTATCGATTAGTGTATCATTATGGAACTATGAAGAGTGAGATGCTAGCAAACAAGTAGGAAATGGGGCGGGTCACATTACTTTCACGTGACTAGGTATCTTAATGTTTATTGCACAATTTATCGCATACTTTGACAGCACACATGATGGAAACGTCACTTTTCTAACCTCACTTCTTCTTCTGCTGATGAAATTCAAAACTGGAAGGCTGGTGAAAATCTATGAAAAGTGAACGTTCCCAGTTCTTTTTCCATTAACCTTTTAGTGTTCCAAATTTGTTTACTCGATAACTTAGTAACCTTTTATTTGAATGTAAGTTAATGTAATAACAGTGTTACCGTGTTACCATATGTCCTATACAGAATTTCAGAACCATGGCGTTGTCTCCAGAAGAAAAGTACAATTTGCTGTCAAGGAACTTGCAAGAAGTCCTTGGTGAAGACAAGATCAAATCAATTCTCAAAGAAAGAGATTTAAAAATATACTGGGGTACTGCGACCACGGGCAAGCCCCACATTGCATACTTTGTGCCTATGTCAAAGATTGCAGATTTCTTAAGAGCTGGTGCAGAAGTGACTATCCTCTTCGCTGATCTACATGCTTATCTGGACAATATGAAGGCTCCGTGGGAGCTCCTTGCTCTCAGGGTGCAGTACTATGAGCATACCATTAAAGCTATGCTACAGTCTATTGGTGTTCCAATTGAGAAATTGAAGTTTGTCAAAGGTACAGATTACCAATTATCCAAAGAATATACTTTGGATGTGTACAGGTTGAGTTCTGTAATCACTGAGCATGATGCGAAAAAAGCTGGTGCGGAGGTAGTGAAGCAAGTGGATCATCCTTTGGTCAGTGGACTTTTGTACCCAGGTATATAATGAATGATTGCATGTTATGTACTCGTTATGTATTATTTTGTTCCATTTTAGGGCTACAGGCTTTAGATGAAGAATATTTGAAAGTAGATGCACAATTTGGTGGTGTAGATCAAAGAAAGATTTTCACTTTTGCTGAAAAATACCTGCCACAACTCGGATACCAAAAACGAGCACATCTAATGAATCCAATGGGTATAATTTTTACTTACTATGACATCTGCATAACTATATTTCTTACAAATCATTTGAACTGCAACTATTAAATTAAATGCAACTTAATTTTTTTTCTTAGGCCCGATTTTTCTATCGCAGGTTAACTTTCTCATTAGATAACTATAACATGGAAGTTAACTATCAGTTACCTGCAAACAAGTTCTGGTTAACTAACCCATAATTCTTGATCTAGCAATGCTGCTGTTACATCTGAACTATCGTGTCTGTGTATTTCATGATCCTCTGTGATATTTTTTCAGCTTAGTTAGATGTTTTTATGATTCTTTTTTTTTAGTTCCTGGTTTAACTGGTTCAAAAATGTCATCATCCGAAGAAGAAAGCAAGATAGACTTGCTAGATTCACCAGCGAATGTAAAGAAGAAACTGAAAAAAGCGTTCTGTGAACCAGGAAACATCGAAAATAACGGAGTATTATCTTTTTCGAAGCATGTGATATTCCCTCTTTTAAAACCGGATGAGAAATTTATAGTACCCAGAAAAGAGGAGTATGGCGGCGATCTCACTTTTGATACATACGAACAGTTAGAGAAAGCTTATTCGGTAGAGGAAGTTCATCCCGGAGATCTAAAACAAGCTGTTGAAAATTATATAAACAGGCTACTAGAACCAATCAGGAAGACTTTCGAAAAGCCAGAATTGAAGAAACTCGCCGAGCGAGCCTATCCATCTGGCAAATCAAGTAAGAAAAAATAAAAGTTCCTAAAAACATATTATCGAGAATTTTCGAAACAACATCTGTTGTTAGTTTCAGGAATACTATAATACTTTTTTGCCAATTGTCGAAGTGAAGAACTGCTCATATTATGTTTATATAAAGAGAAGAGGATCGTGCAGAGAAAGGTATATAACAAATAGAAGAAATAATAGGCAAAATCCGCAAAACGGATGAAAGTGGATTAGAGCAGAAAATGGGATAGGCAACCCGAGCGATAAATTATTCTTTCTATTTGTTATATATCTTTTTCCGCATGATCCTTTTCTCTTTGTCGATCCTTTGGGCTTAAAGTACCACGGCAAGTCGCTATAACCGGCGCGTGGTTGTGGTTAGTTGACGCCTTGAAAACTCGGCATCTTCTGGCCATACAAAGGTGTAGGTGGGATCTCGTAAGTTGTTTTGTTCCTCTCCATCTTCGTTTCCTCAGGTTACACCCGTTTCCGGATGTATGGGCATGTGCGTCTACTTTTGTAGTTGCATATGTGCATCTATTTCGGGTATGACGATGCCAACAAGCAGAAATACGTATCGCTCGAGTCATCTATCCTACTTTCTGCTCGAATCCACTTTCTTTTTGCGGATTTTGCCCATTATTTATTTATTTGTTATACATAGTCGTCCTAACAACTAGTTACGTGTAAGAACGTGTCTTTGAGGAAATCTTACAACTCAAGCTTTCGACAGTCTATGCTGTCATCATCACGAGTGCTTCAACGAGATTGGTTCTAAAATTTGATCTTAGGCAATGTGGATGAGATCAGATAGTAGGACGATTAAAAACTGGATTTATGAGGTTTTTTTGAACCGTTTGTAGTTTTTAGTAAAACGGCCAAATATTTTAGTTTCCTTAGTGTTGCTTTTAAGAAAGTCAAAAAAGCTACTTTTTGCCTTTTTTTAAATCGACCGCATTTTTTGGGTCACCCAATGGGAAGGCTAGTGTTTTTAGGTTTGCACCCATTGTTCACTAAGCGAGTCTCGAATCAGGTCCCCTCGTAATCTTCGCTCAGCGAGTGTTACCAAATGCATAACCCTTGAACATTGTTCATACGGCAAATGTTGAATCTCTTGTGGAAATGCGTTATGTTGCAATATTAACATTTATTGTTTCTTGGAACCAAATAAAGGGTGTCTGGCTTGTGACCTCTTCACAGAAACTTTCGCGTCCCATCCTAGCTCTGTTGAAGTTCATGCATCCAGAACTAGCTGATTTGTTCCTATGGTACCTCTTAGCCCACTCTCATCATTACCAATCCTGTTCTGTTTCCAGAATCGACAACAAACGCGAACGCCGCAAACGACGAACTTGTTCCTAGTAGACTAGACATCCGAATAGGTAAAATAGTCGAAGTCATGAAGCATCCAGAAGCGGATGCGCTGTATGTAGAGAAGATTGATTTGGGCGAGGAAGCACCAAGAACGATCGTCAGTGGACTGGTGAATTTCATCCCCATAGAAGAAATGCAGAATCGCATGGTGGTGGTTTTATGCAATTTGAAACCTGCAAAAATGAGAGGTGTCGAGTCGCAAGGGATGGTTTTATGTGCCTCAGTGTAAGTGTGTCAAATACTATTTATTTTTCAGAATTTGAAACGTATATGATGCAGGATATTTTTTTCTTAAAATCATACCTTACTTTTAAAACATCATGCATACCTGGAAATATTTATGATCAAAAGTGGTGCTGAAGTTTTATGTTTCAGAGATGATCCTAAACAAGTAGAAACACTCATCCCGCCGGAAGGCGCCGTGCCCGGTGAAAAAGTCTACGTAGAAAACTTTGAGGATGGAAAGCCAGATGAAGTTTTGAATCCGAAGAAGAAGGTATGGGAAAAATTGCAAGCAGATTTGAAGACAAACTCTGACTGCGTAGCTCAATGGCAAGGGAACAGTTTACTCACAAAGTCTGGCGGGAAGATTAAGAGTAAAAGCATGGCAGGTGCTCCCATTAAATAATAAGTTCCAAACACTGCGCTTTTTTACTGATGTTTTATTTATTGATGCATTTATAATAAAACGCGTTACGCTTCAATTTACCTTTTATTTTTCCTAGTCGCCTATAATTTCATTGAAAAAACTGCTGATTCTGGTTATACTATGCTCCAAGTCACACGTTTGATATGTATCGAAGATTCATGGTACACAAGTGAATCTTCCTAATCACTATTCGATTGTACGAAGACGTAGGTAGTCAATATACTTGACACCAAGTGTTGAAAAAAGGGACTACACTTACCTGACTCTCCAAGTATCAAAAATCTCGTACTTTCTGACGCGGCTCTACAAAGAAAAATATTGAATTACGAGGCTTATCCAATAAGTACGCGTGTTTGACGCCAGAGGGCGTTCCCGAGGGAAGTTGGTGTTATCATCGTGTGCTGACATCTATCAAACGACGGCAAAACAAATTTCAGACTGATTGATAGGTTAGTTTGGATTTGGCGGCCATTGGAGTAACATGTGTTACGTGATTTTCGCCAAGATGGACAAAGAGCAGAATCGTTCGGTAATTCGCTTTTTGTTTTTGGATGGGGAAAAAGGCAGAGTTGGATGCTGTTTATGGGGACATTTCGCCATCTATGAACATAGATATTGGTTGAACGTGGGCGAACATTCGTTTTTGATGAGGAGCGACCAGGACGCCCGTCAGACGTGAGGAAATCATTCAAAAAGTCCACGACATGATTCTCGCTGATCGACGAACGAAAGTGCGCGGAGTAGCAGAGGCCGTAGGTGTGTCGACCGGAACGGCAATCAATATTTTACGTGATAAGTTGGAGATGAAAAAATTGTTGGACCGATGGGTGCCGCGATTGTTCACGGTGGACAACAGGCGGATGCGGCTGTTAACTTCGAAGCAGTGTTTCGAGCAATTCAAGCGAAATCCGAACGAGTTTTTGCGACAAGTTGTCAACGTTGATGAAACCTGGATTCATCATTACACGCCAGAAACTGAGCGACAATCAAAACAATGGATTTCTCTTGGTCATGGCCATGTTTTTTTGGGATGAGAACGGCGTCAGTCTCATGAATTTTTTAGCAAAAGCAAGAACGATCACTGAACAATATTACAGTGAGTTTTTCGACAAAAAATTGAAGGAGACGGCCCCATTTGGCGAACAAGAAGGTGCTGTTTTACGATGGTAACGCACCAGCACATTCATTGCGTTATGAAGTGCTGCCGCATCCCCCGTGTTCACCCGATCTGGCCCCCTGTGAGTTTTTCTTCTTCCCTAACATGAAATGTCTCGCGGGAAAAAAATTAGCTCAAACGAGGAAGTCAACGCCGAGGCAGAAGCGTATTTTGGAGAGCTCACGAATCCTATTTTTTTTGAGTTAAAAAAATGGCAGGAACGTTGGGAAAAGTATCTTTCTAAATGTTGTAAAATAAATGTTTGAATCGCCCTCGTAGATACTCTGTACGTACACAATAAACCACAATTTGTAAAAAGATCTTTTTTCAACATAATGTAACATTTACATCAATAATACACAATTTGATCTTACACACTTCTCACAATACCGGAATGACTATAAAAATAAATAGCTATAAATGATTTTAAAGTCTTCGCAGTTCCTTCTATGTCTGTGCTATGTTAATTTCGACCTGCCTTCGCCGCACAACCACAAGCAAATTCTGTCTACGAGGAATGAGAAAAAGAAGTCGGCGACCAGTACCTGCAGCAGCGTGATTCGAAACTGGAAATAAATGAAAAATTCATAGACACTTTACACGATCCGATAAACTGAACAATTTAAGCCTGAAGTTTGTTACCTTTTAACGTTTGAATTAAATCGGCTTTGACCAGCGACTCAGCCAAATTTAGACCACTGCATTGCTGGTAAATATACTAAGTGACATATAAATCCGAACACCCAGTTTAAATGGTTTTATTTTAATAAAAGTTGTTGAATGTATTTATCTTACTGTAAATAACAAGTGAAAAATTTTTCAGCCTTATCAGTTGGACATTCCGGTTTTTATACTGCTTTTTTTTAATTCACTAACGCTCTGAAAATGAATATTTCAGCCGCAGTAAAGAATTAACGTTGGCGGATTTTGGTTCTTGACATCCTTTACGATCGGTTACGATGCCTAGAGTACGGAGACCTGTACGATTTCGTCAACTTAGTGAGTTTGATAGGGGCCGTATAGTGGGACTTCGGGAAGCTGGACTTTCTTTTCGGGCAATTGCAGTTAGAGTGCAAAGAAGTGTAGACACTGTGGTTAGGTGTTGTCAGGCATGTATTCGAGAAGGCCGTACGCAAAGAGCAAGGGGCACTGGACGCCGCCGTAGAACAACAGACCGTGAAGATCGCCGCTTAAGATTATTAGCCTTAAGGGACCGTTTCTCCACTACCAGGTCCATTGCAAATGAATGGTTTGCAGAACACGGAAGTCCTATTGGCATGCGAAGTGTTTACCGACGAATGAGAAGTTTTTGCTTGTTTTCATACCGGCCACACTGGGTCCTCCCTTTAACTCGAGAACACCGACGTAATCGCCTTGAGTGGTGCAGACAACGGTCACTCTGGGATCAGGAATGGAACAGTATTGTCTTTAGTGACGAGTCTCGATTTTGTTTAGGCATGCACGATGGTCGTGCCAGGGTTAGAAGGCGACGTGGTGAAAGGAGGAATCAACAGTTTTTTGTTGAAAGACATGTTCATCACACTGTTGGAGTTATGGTTCCAGGTCACCTTTAATCTTCATCAGAGGTAACATGAACGCGCAGCGTTATTTCCACGAAGTTCTAGAACCCCATCTTTTACCCTATCTTGACACCCTGGCAGATCCAACTTTCCAACAAGATAATGCCCGACCACATGTTGCAAGAGTCACAATAGACTTCTTTCAACATAATGATGTCACATTGTTACCATGGCCACCAAGATCTCCCGACTTATCCCCAATTGAGCACGTGTGGGATATGATCGGTAGGAGATTGCTCAATTTGCAACGTCTTCCTCAAACTCTAGAAGCACTTCGAAAGGAGTTGGTGGTTGCCTGAAATGAGATACCACAGGAGGACATTGACCACCTGATCAGAAGCATGCCTAGGCGCGTTGGAGAATGCGTAGCACATCACGGTGCATCCACACATTATTAAAGGTCAAAGGGCTTTGAAGCAGTGCAATCATTTTGAAATTTTTATCATTTACTTATTATGCTTCATTAAGTACTTATACAAAATTTTATTAAAATAAAACCATTTAAACTGGGTGTTCGGATTTATATGTCACTTAGTATATTTAAGGATGAAAAGACCTTGGTATTTCCAGCCTATACCTGCTTACGTCAAAGGCTGTATATCGCGGTTAGATGCAAGCAATGCCAATATCAAACTTTAACATCGCATTATCGATAAATTGTACGAGGTTTGTCCGGAAAATAACTGGAATAACTTTATTTTACAATTGTTCAGGTATTTCAATATGGTCTCCTTCAAAGAACTCCCCCTAAAATAAAATGCACTTCGGGCGGTCTAACTCGGGCCACACGAGCCCTGGGACGACGCAAAACTTCAATGTAGAAATTTTTGTTCACTGTCTGGCCGGTAGGAACAAAATCCTGGTGAACAATGACCCGAGAATCTAAGAAAACAATCACCATTGTTTTCACATTGGACCTTGATTTTTTTCGACTTTTTTGTTCTGTTCCCCTGCTTGCTTCCACTTCATGCATCGAATTTTCAACTCTACATCGTATCCGTAGAACCAAGACTCGTTTCCAGTGAGAAAGTCTCCCCTTTCCTCTGCGTCCAACCAGTCCTCACAGCAAGCAACCCTCCTTGCTTTCTGCACAATTTCTTCATTTCAAGTTTTACTGTCAGAATTTCGTCGACGATTGTTTTGGGGATTGACAATTCCTCAGTTATCATTATGTCAATCGACGGTGTTTAAGAACACAGCCCCTAATTCGTTCAACATTTCCCGCAGAGCTCGATGAGGAGGAGCGTCCTGAGCGTTGGTCATCTTTCACATCTCGGCCTTCCCGGAACATTTTCAACTACTTGTTAACGGCTGGTTCCTTCAGAGAATTGTCTCCGTAAGCTTGTTCCAAACACTCAAAAATCTCACGACCATTCTTGCCTAGTTTTGGCACGTAAAAAAAGGGTTATTTACTACTAATTGCTTAGACAGAGGGAACCACCGGGCCATCTCTCCACGGCGTCCCGAATTTTATAAAAAAGTCCGAAATACATAATAAATGATGGCTGAAAATATACTTACATCTGGTGAGAAATCGATTATTTCAAACTGTTCAGACAGTTCCGGGACAATTCCTAAAGCCAGAGCCAAGACTATGGCCGCCGATCCAAGTATACTATACAATAAGGCTTTATTCTGTCTCAAACTTTCCATGTATGGATTTCCCTAAAAAAAAACAAATAATCTTAATCCATCTCATATTTTGTGCTCAGTATGACTTTTTTCATTTTGACCCCAACCTAAACTTATTTCTACAGGTACATAGCCAAAGGGTAGTTATACAGGGTGTCCCAATCCCAGTTATCGGAAAAATATAAAAAAATCGAAGTCGTGTATACTTTATCTGAAGTCACTTGAAACACTGTGAAATACCGGGTGCGTTTTATATATCTATATTTAACACGCTCTGTTGCTGCAAAAATCGCCAAATTTCGCAGCAAATATCAAAGGCAGTTTCACCGGTCCACGTGGAGTAAAGCACGCCTATGCGTGGACATAGCCGATGAGAAAGCGTGTATTTCAGAGCTCCGAACAAGTGCAGGTGGCTACTGAAAATTGAAACAGTTTAGCCAGTGCCGAACAGCGGTGAATAAACGTGTTTTCTTTAGTCTGTCCGTGTTTTTTCATAGATTTTATTAGCTTGTGTGTTTTTGACTTTTGAATACTCAGTTTACTTGTTGATTTAATTGTTGTGTTGATTATTCTTGTGTGTCCTAAATATGGCTCTTTGGAGACCTTGGGAAAATGCTCCAAGCCACGAGGAGATGGTTGATGAACCTGTGCAGGCAGAATTCTTTCATAAAGATTTAGAGGAACAGACACAAAGAGTAATCCTAAATTTGTATGATTGTCTGAAAAACGAAAATCCAGATTCCTCGCAAAATCAAATTTTAAACAGAATTTGTATCCTGACAAAAATCAGTCGGTCTACCATTTATCGGGTTATAAAAAGGGGAGAGTAGTCAACCATTCCTTCCACAGAAAGCGCATAGGGCAAAAATTAAAAAGAATAGACGTGGGTTTTCAGGAAGATATTCGTCGTATAATATACGGATTTTATAAAGAAAATTTGGTGCCCACGTTGGAAATGATACGGGATAAATTAAAAGATTATCCTGAAGATTTTTATAATTACAAATGCTTAGACTCACTGCACTGTATTGTAAAACTGTGTGGTTTTCAATACAAAAAATTAGACAAAAGAATGGTGATTATGGTGTCGTCTCGAATCGTTGAATTGCGCCAAGAATTTTTGCACAAAATTAAAATCTATAGAGAGCAGAAAAGAAATCTGATTTACCTGGATGAAACGTGGTATGATACCCATGATGTTGTGCAGTACGGCTGGGTTGACGACAGCAACAAGTGCATTTTAAATGCACCATGCAACCGTGGAAAACAAATCATTATTCTCCATGCTGGCAGTGAAAATGGATTTATACCTAATGCCTCGCTGTTATCTGCCAAAAACATCAAAGAATCATGTGCCGACTATCATGAGGACATGACCTCCGACTTATTTGAAAAGTGGATAGAGCAGCAGTTAATACCAAACATTTCCCCAAATTCAGTGATTATTATGGACAATGCGCCATACCATTCCCGACAGAAAAACAAAATTCCGAAGACATGCACAAAAAAACAAGACATTATTGATTTTATGAAGGATAAGGGAATGGAAATACCACAAAAATCAACCAAAGCCATATTATTGGATCTTATTAAAAGACAAAAATTTGAAAAAGAGTATGTTGTTGACAATCTGCTTCAGCAAAATGGAAGTATTACGTCTACCTCCCTATTACTGCATTTTTAACCCGATTGAGTTGGTCTGGGCTGCTTTAAAAAAAAAAGTAAGAAAACATAATCAGACCCCTCAATTAAGTGAATCGCTATTGGCCACAATAAGAGATGCAGTATCTCATATTGCTGCCACAGACCTATGGAAGCAGTGTTCTATTCATATTATTGAAAAAGAAAATGAATATTGTGTTTTGCCTCCTGTAAATCCCGTTGTAATTCCTCTACAAGATGACTCTAGCGATAGCTCCGAAGGCGAGGATGATATATAAATACCTATAATGTAAGTATTTATATACCTTTTTATATAGCTACCTGCTATGTAAATATTTGCCTATGTCAAACGTTGGAATTCTGTAATTTTTCCATTTCTCAACTTTCAGTCAACATAAATTAAACTCCCAATATAAGTATTTTTTATCCCAAATCAAAAAAATAAGAAGATAGTAAAATCCATTTATTGTGATATAAAAACATTATTATTATCGTTCTAAATAAATGACCGCACGCCTATGATACGTCATGAAATTACAAAGGACCCGACCAAAGGTTTTTATGCTATTTCAAGTGACTTAAGATAAAGTATACTTTTCAAATTATAGGCTTCAAGAAAAACACTGAAAAATCTACAACCTTTGATGATCTTTCATTTCCCAATACTACAATTTTTTTTAGACGTAGTGACAGCAAGACAGATAGTAATGTCACTTTTATTAATTCGTGAATGTGTTTGTCAAATTCACAATAAATGTTCAAACACCAATGCAAGCATAAAAATGATCAGGTTATCAGACGGTCGAATCTTTCGTTATTAACAAATCCAGGTGGTTCCGTCATTGTCCCGTAGCTCGGCTAAATTATCGATTGTCTTTGAGTAAGCTTTTTCTTCTAACACCTCCCAGTAAAAAAAAAACGAGTGTATTTAAGTCAGGTGAACGGGCTGGCCACGAAATTGTCCCGCATCAAGATATTCTCCAACTGAACGAGCGTAGTTTTGCTGGTACGGACATGTCTCTGTAAATGCTTAGTGGCGCGTCTCCAATAAATTGGATAAATGATTCTGTAAAAAGCCTAAATAAATTTCCCCGTTCAAGAACTCTGCCAACTCAAAGGGTACAATGATTCTTCCATTTGGAAACTTTAAAACGACATAGCAAACAATAGTACTCGGCCAAATATGACAAGATATGTAACGTATATTTGTTGTTTCATATAAAATCGTAACTACTTACCCTGTAGTTAATGGCAAATGTAGCGATCTGCAACGCCATAGAAATAATATACACAGTGCTATTTATAATATTTGGTTTGAACAATTTATCTTTCTCTTCTTCTGATAGTTCCTCTGAGGACAGGGAATTGTTAAGCTCATGATCTTCCCTGTAAAAATGTACAGGCTCAACGAAGGATATAAAAAGCATCGATGCTAAAGGAAATTAATGAGTAGCTAAAACAAAGTAAAACTCTATACGTGAGTTTCATAGATACTGCATTATTTTTAAGATAGTCTGTCTATAAAAAAGTATCTATTCCAATGTTTCTCTATTTCCTAAAAAGCAGATTTCTCATAACACTTACGGAAGTGCCCTTAACTTTGCCTGCTGTACAAGGAAAATCAAACATACGAAATGTACGGTGAACTGCAAGATGACAGTCATGATAGTATACAGGTTGAATATATTCGGTAGCGGTCTCTGTTTAGACAGCACCTTGAGAGGCTGAAACAGAAAAACGCATTACAGAAACCAATGATTATGCATAGGATGATAATACATGCTGATAAATTCACAATTCGAGCTTATAACTATACTCACCTTCGATCTGGAAATAAATAGAAAACATGCAGCTAATAAGAGACCTTGCAAAGTCGCCTGCAAATCTCTCAGTTTGATTCCATCTAAGTACAATACAGATTGTGTATAAGCTGCTATCAAGGCGTTCAATGCTAGAATTTTGAACATCTGCAAAGTAGTGACTAAGGTACACCTGCCTTGTTTGATGATGTGACACACTGAAAAATGTAACAATTATAATATGTTTTTATAGTTAGTATACCAGATTTCTTTTCTAGTACCCTCGTATGTTATATTGCGACGTAATGGTTTTATATCCTTTGTTATTTTCATGTTTACTGTTCGTTTATATACTAAGTGACATATAAATCCGAACACCCAGTTTAAATGGTTTTATTTTAATGAAAATTGGTGAATGTATTTATCTTACTGTAAATAACAAGTGAAAAATTTTCAGCCTTATCAGTTGGACATTCCGGTTTTTATACTGCTTTTTTTTATTCACTAACGCTCTAAAAATGAATATTTCAGCCGCAGTAAAGAATCAACGTTGGCGGATTTTGGTTCTTGACATCCTTTACGATCGGTTACGATGCCTAGAGTACGGAGACCTGTACGATTTCGTCAACTTAGTGAGTTTGATAGGGCCCGTATAGTGGGACTTCGGGAAGCTGGACTTTCTTTTCGGGCAATTGCAGTTAGAGTGCAAAGAAGTGTAGACACTGTGGTTAGGTGTTGTCAGGCATGGCTTCGACAAGGCCGTACGCAAAGAGCAAGGGGCACTGGACGCCGCCGTAGAACAACAGACCGTGAAGATCGCCGCCTGAGATTATTGGCCTTAAGGGACCGTTTCTCCACTACCAGGTCCATTGCAAATTAATGGTTTGCAGAACACGGAAGACCTATTGGCATGCGAAGTGTTTACCGACGAATGAGAAGTTTTGGCTTGTTTTCATACCGGCCACACTGGGTCCTCCCTTTAACTCGAGAACACCGACGTAATCGCCTTGAGTGGTGCAGACAACGGTCACTCTGGGATCAGGAATGGAACAGTATTGTCTTTAGTGACGAGTCTCGATTTTGTTTAGGCATGCACGATGGTCGTGCCAGGGTTAGAAGGCGACGTGGTGAAAGGAGGAATCCACAGTTTTTTGTTGAAAGGCATGTTCATCACACTGTTGGAGTTATGGTTTGGGGTGCTATAGCTTATGGTTCCAGGTCACCTTTAATCTTCATCAGAGGCAACATGAACGCGCAGCGTTATATCCACGAAGTTCTAGAACCCCATCTTTTACCCTATCTTGACACCCTGGCAGATCCAACTTTCCAACAAGATAATGCCCGACCACATGTTGCAAGAGTCACAATAGACTGCTTTCAACATAATGATGTCACATTGTTACCATGGTGACCAAGATCTCCCGACTTATCCCCAATTGAGCACGTGTGGGACATGATGGGTAGGAGATTGCTCAATTTGCAACATCCTCCTCAGACTCTAGAAGCACTTCGAGAGGAGTTGGTGGTTGCCTGGAATGAGATACCACAGGAGGACATTGACCACCTGATCAGAAGCATGCCTAGGCGCGTTGGAGAATGCGTAGCACATCAGGGTGCATCCACACATTATTAAAGGTCAAAGGGCTTTAAAGGAGTGCAATCATTTTGAAATTTTTATCATTTACTTATTATACTTCATTAAGTACTTATACAAAATTTTATTAAAATAAAACCATTTAAACTGGGTGTTCGGATTTATATGTCACTTAGTATATTTTGTTATCAGTACCATATTGCGAAAAATCCACAAGCTAAATAAATAAAATAGACGGTCATTCCAAATGACAGATTCCTCCTTCGGATAATATGAGGGATTTAAATGAATTTTAGTGTATATGAAATATGTTTTTTCAATACATGAACCGAAAAACTTTAATAAACTGCAACATCCCTGAAAAATGGATGCTTCTGGTAATCTCCATGATTCATTTTGGATCGAATTTTAACCCATATAGTGCACATCAACCCGACTGATTACGAGTAACATTTCAACATTTGAAACCAAAATACCATTAGGTTGTTCGGAAAATTCTTGCGGTTTTTAACCTTCAAATTCAAAGGAGCATATCTCAGATTTAACAAAACTTTACTTATCAAAATAAAAACCATTAGAATCAGAACACTTTTGCGAACGAGCAACAAGTTCATTTTTGCTGCTAACGTACAAATCCGGAGATCTGGAGGCGATGAACTTATTGAGAGCATTTTTGGCATCGTGACGGTTATTGAAGCATTTCAACATTTGAAACCAAAATATGGGGTTGTCCAAAACGCACGCAGGAAAGTAAACGCATATTAAAACAAGAAAGATTGATATTCAAATCAAGTTTCGGTACTTTATTTTGTAGGTTCATTTATACCATTTATGTATGAAAAATAATATCGCTCAAATGCTCACCACGACTGGATTTACAGACGTCCACGCGATGGTCGAAATTTTCAATGACATTTTGCAACATGGTCGGTTCTATGGCATTTATCTCGGCAATGATGTTGTTTTTGTGTTCTTGGAGGGTGGCTGGTTTGTTGACGTAGACTTTGCTTTTCAAATATTCCCATAAAAAGAAGTCCAAGGGAGTCAAATCGCACGATCTTGGTGGCCATGGCACATTTCCTCTGCGCGAAATCACGCGATCACCGAAGAAGGACTGCTATCGATGGATATTGACGTTGGTTGTGTGGCATGTTGCACCGTCTTGTTGGAAACAAACATCGTCCATATCAATTCCTTCAAGTTGCGGTAAAAAATAGTCCTCTATCATCACGTGATATCGCTCAGAATTGACGGTAACGGCGTCCCCGGCCGCATTTTCGAAAAAGTAAGGCCCGATGATGCCTTTTGACCACAATGCACACCAGAGTCACTTTTTGAGGATGCATCGGCTGCTCTTGATACTCACGGGGATTTCCGTTCGCCCAGATGCGGCAGTTTTGCTTGTTTACCGTCCCATTCAAAGTGAAATGCGCTTCGTCGCTGAACATGATTTTTGATGAAAAATTGGCATCAATTTGGCGGTGTTCAAGGAGCCAATCTGAGAACGTTCGGCGCAAAAAATGGTCGGCCCGACGCAGCTCTTGCGTCAATTGAATTTTGTAGGCGTGTACATTCAAATCCTTGTGGAGAATGCGGAGCAAACTGGTTCTCGAAATGCCCAATTCTTGGGATCGACGCGTTGTTGATTGTTTCGGATCGTCTCTCACACTCTCCTTCACAATAGCAATATTTTCCGGTGTGCGAACGGTCCTTGGCCGGCCAGAGCCTGGCAGATTTGCCACAGAACCTGTTGCCTCGAATTTACGCACCAGACGACCGATGGTTGTTTCGTTTGGGCGGTTGTTGCGACCGAAATGTTCACGAAGCGCGCGAAACGTGTTTTTTATTTTTGTACCATTTTTGTAGTGCTCTTGAATAACTTTAATGCGGTCTTCAATCGAATACGACTCCATAACGATCAATGGTAAACATTCAACTAACAAAATGACATGTCGGTGACAGAAAACAAAGATGGCGTCTATGTCAAATTGACGTTTACTTTCCTGCGTCCCTATTGGACAACCCTATACCATTAGGTTGTTCGGAATTACGACGGCGACGTGTTCCAATCCGACGTGTGTGGTTCCAGCAGGATGGGGCGACCGCCCACACAGCCCGAGCATCCATGGACGTTATTCGCCCTCTCTTCCCTGGTCGCCTTATTTCCAGGTTTGGCGATGTTCATTGGCCTCCTCGGTCCCCAGATTTATACATATGCGATTTCTTCTTATGGGGACACCTCAAGGCTAGAGTGTACGCGAACAAGCCCCGAACTCTGGACGAATTGAAGGGCGAAATTCGCGTGGAAGTCGGCCAAGTTGAGAGAGCGATGTTCGAGAGAGTATACGCGAACTTCCAAGAACGCCTCCAGCACTGCATCAACGATTTCGGCCACCACATTCCATATGTGATTTTCCACACTTGACTGTCTCAAATGCTGTTTCCTTGTGAACCTGATTCCAACAATAAATTTGTTTTCGAGTAAAAATTAACTATTTTATGATTTTTTTTAAAACCGTCCATCCTCTCTGCCGCACCCTGTATTTGTGAAAACCAGAGTGTTGGCTTTTTCCTTTGATATACCACTTTCCTAATTTGTGCGTCTCTCAAGCAGTTCTCCATACAATCCATAATTTTTGAGAAGTGTCAGCATCATTAAAAATTTCAGTAATATTGGCTTGTAAGAGTAAAATACATCATTAAAAATATAAATGACGAAAACCGCAAGAACTTTCCGAACAACCTAATATTTTAAAGAATGATGAAAAATTGTTCAAAAACTAAAAAAAATCCGTACTTACCGCACATAATAGACGACAATCTGCTGGTGAAAGGTGACGCGATGCTAGCATCGCCCAACTTGACGATTTGCGGCTGGTCAAGCTCCTCCATTTCTTTTACCATCTTATCTAACTTAGCTTGCATCCGCTCCCGTTGTTCGATCACATTTCTCACGTGGTTCGGCTTGGTTTTCATTTGCGCTTCTCTTAATTCCCGTTGTCTCTTTTCCCGTTCTCTCTCGAGCATTTCTCTTTGTTCCCTGAAATCGGGCAATTTTTCGGGCGCGTTCGCCAGGATTGCCACGCCTACGTCTGCGTGCTTTAACGCGCCTACGTCGTTCGTGCCATCGCCGCACATCAGCGTGACATAACCTACGACAAAAATCACGTCGTACCATTTGTGGGCCACATCATTTATTTATAATAATCCATACACTGCCTGAACAGAGTCATCCAATTAACAGGCAGGGAAAAAACGAAAAATGATACAAAAAGAAAACTCTAAACAGTACATGATAAAAAAGACATAAATACAGCAGACGCTCGATAACGTAAACACGGGATAATGAAAACTTGCGCTAATGTAAACACAAACTTCGTTCTATAGGATCAAACGGAACGCGCGATAACGTAAACAATGTGTACGCTCGATAACGTAAACAACTCTAGGCGCACGGAAACAGCGCGACGGTAAAATGCTGAAGCCTCGATGATTTATGTCGGGCGTCGGGGAGTCCCCGATTTATGATGTAGAGTGTAGGGGATTCACTTCTGCGATAAAATACGACAAACTCGGTCAGTCATATGATCGTTTAGGATACGTTTATACGTACGTATGTATTTCATTTTTGAACTTAAGTGAATACATTGCACGCGTTAATATATTTTACGACTATGGCATCCACATCCTATAAAAGAAAGTGTTTAAAGTTGAGTGAGAAAGTGAAAATCATAGACGAAGTTGCACTAGGTGCGGGAGTGACACAGTTAGCAAAAAAATATGGAGTATCGAAAGCAACAATCTGTAAAATTAAGCGTATGAAAACTCAAATTTTACAAAGAACGTGCTATACATTTGGAGGTCCGGGAAAAAGAAAAACTTAAAAAAATGCGAAGGCACCTAAAATGGAAAATTCCCTGTATAAGTGGTTTTTAAAACAACGGGAAAATCATGTCTCAGTTAGTGGCGAAGTACTTAAACAGAGAGCGAGACTGTTAAATGAAAAACTGAAAGAAACTGAAAATTTCGTAGCTAGTGATAGCTGGCTACAAGGATTCAAAACAAGATATGGAATTCGACTGCTGTCTATATCTGGTGAAAAATTATCAGCACAACCACAATTAGTGCAACCATTCAAAGAAAAATTGATGAAAACAATTACCGAGCTAGATTTAAGAATGGAACAAATTTACAACGCAGATGAAAGTGGCCTTTATTGGAAAATGTTACCAGAGAAAACCTATGCTGCATCATTTGAAAAATCTGCCCCGGGAAGAAAGCCGGAGAAACAACGAATAACGTTTCTAGCCTGCACTAATGCTAATGGTTCACACAAAATAAAACCACTGGTAATTGGGAAAGCAAAAAATCCGCGCTCATTTAAAAATGATTATGACTGTTCAAAAACCGCTTGGATGACTAGCAGTATTATATTGCTGAAATGGTTCCACAGGTGCTTTGTCCCTCAGGTATGACAATCAATTATCACAAATGCTCTATTCATAATTTGAAGATGTGTTTTCAATTTGTAGGTAAAAGGTTTCCTAAAACAACAGAAGCTTCCAATAAAAGCGTTGTACTATTGGATAATGCACCAAGTCATCCTCCCGAGCAACAACTGAGGAGCAGGGATGGGTCAATATTCGTCATGTACATGCCGCCCAACGTAACATCGTTAATTCAACCGATGGACCAGAACATAATAAGACTCACCAAACTATACTATAGGAAGTTTCTACTTTCGTCTGTCTTATCAAATAATCCTGAAAACTTATCTGAGGCTTTAAAAAAAGTAACATTAAGAGAAGCTGTTTTAGATTTACATATGGCCTGGAATGAACTTAACCAGCAAACTATTCAAAAATGTTGGAACAATCTCTTTTGTACCAATAATGAAGATGATGAAGAAGACGATGCCCCCTTAAACGTAATTAGAGAACCTTTGCGATCCAATAATAATAATGTTATTAGTGTGTCATTGGATGTTGTTGATTTATTGAAAACAGTGAATCCCAACATTATTTGTATTCCTGCTGATATTAATTTATGGAACGAAGATTAGCAGACGAATGATGCTCATAAGGAAGAGGATATGGACAGTGAGGATGATGAGAACGATCCCATTGAAGTCAGAAGTGTAGTGACTGACGCGCAAGCTATACAAGTTTTTAACCAAGCTTTGGATTGGGCTGAACGAAAAGAAGTTTCATACACGGATATTTTAGTTCTTCGTAAATTACGGGCGCAGGCATTGGAAGACAATGCTAAGCGCAAATGTACGCAGACAAAAATTGTTAATTATTTTTCTTCTAATTAAAAAAATACTTATCGCTATTAGAATATTTGTTTATTTTGTTATAAACAGTATGTATTAAATGTTTCTTTTAATAAATCAAATATTATATAAATCACGTTCGCTAATGTAAACATTTCGATAATGTGAACCACACTTGGATTAAATTAGTTTACATTATCGAGCGTCTGCTGAATAAATTATCCAACTGTTAAAATACACTTCTTGAGATCGCTTTTGGTGGAACTAAAGATATCAAGTTCACTTGCACTGTTACAGACATTACACATAACATAAAGAGGCGAAAATAACAATAAATTTGTCCGCGGAACAGGCAAATAAAATGAGTTGTAACCACCATGACGAGTACGCAAATCGGAAACGCGTAGAGAGATCCTGTCTAGAAGAAAAGGGCAATCAGTTGTCCCATTCAACAAATTACATAAAAATTTAGCAGCTAACAGAGTCATAGGTTTGACTAAATTATGTAAATTATATCTATTTAAGAGAATGTCATTGCGTATACCCCTTTCAGGGTACGCTCCATCATCTTTAAACCATAAATATTTCACAAAACGACGTTGGAATCTCTCGATGTTTTTAGAGTGTATATCATAGGCCGGATACACGATCATCGAACAGTATTCTAAAATAGATCTGACAAAAGCATTAAAAAGTAAAATTAATGTAGTAGTAGTAGTAGTAGTAGTAAAATTTATTTAGCACATTTGGCTACATAAACAGACTAATTGTAAATAACTTATAACTAGTAAATTCAAGCCATATGGTGTATGATGTAAATGCTGGGCAACCTATAATTGTAGATTTAACAAGTGATTTCTCAATTTTACTTTAAAGTTTGTCAAAGTTTTCTGGTCTTTTATCTCCGAGTATAATTTATTATATTCAATCAACCCTTGATGGAATACAGATTTGTAGCATGTTATACTTTTTGGTCATTAAATGGAAGTCATCTTTATTTCTGGCATTATGTAAATGATGGTCGACATTTGATGATGTTAAATTAGTTAGACTTGATGGAAATATATTATTTTTTACTTTATAAATGAATATCATTACAAGATATTTGATAAAATTTTTTACATTGTGCCATTTTAATTTGCTAAGCATTTGCCTAATTGGAGTATATTTATCTTTATTTAGTATTATTCTCATGCACTTATTTTGTAAAATTTACAGTCTTTCAAAAATGGAATTAGTTGCTAAATAAAGAATAGTCGAACAGTACAAGAAATTTGGAAGAATGATGGTATTATAGATAATTTTTCTGCTATATGAACTCAGACATCCAGAAACTCTCGATAAATATCCCACTTTACTACTAATCTTATTTATAACTTTTTCATAATGAATATCAAAAAATAATCGAGAGTCAACAAAAACCCCCAGGTATTTAAAATTTTCTACGAATTCAATATCTTCACCATCAATATTCAGTTGAACATTTGTACATTGTTTTTTTCCGATTAACAAGGCTTTCGTTTTTTAAATTTTAGTCTGTTAGATGCTAACCATTTTAAGACAAGCTTCAAGTCTTCATTTATATAAGAGATACCAGACTGAATATTTTTCGTACTTATATAAATCATAGTGTCATCGGCGAAAATCTGAATTTTGCATTTTTTGACTATGGCAGGTAAATCATTTATATATAAAATAAAAAGAAGTGGTCCCAGGATACTGCCCTGTGGAACACCCAACGTATTTTCAATTTTTGATGAAATAGTGTCATTAACTTTTGTAACTTGCATCCTTTTAGACAAATAATTTCTAAACCAATCTAAAACACTTCCTGTTATACCATCTGCCTTCAATTTACCTAACAAAATATCTCTATCAATCGTTTCAAATGCCCTCTTCAAATCTAGTATTAGTATTATTGAAATGTCTACTGTTTCTTATAAAAAACGAAGATTTTTAAAGGCTTTTGCTATTATTGCATTACTGGGATCAATAAAAGAAAGCTTTAGATCGAATAATACGCCCAAATCCTTGACGATATTAACACGACAAAGAACATTGCTGCCGATTTCAAAATTAAAACATGTCGGTTCCACCTTGCGTGTAAACGTCATAGTAGTACATTGTAGTAGTATCATGAAAAGGTCGCACCCCCATTTGTGGCTCCCCTCGTATATTTTGGGAAAACGTTCGGACGCGTCAATTTTCATTTCTAGGTGGACGTCTTTTCATCTACAGCAGTACAAAACAGGGTGATCAAAAAATAAGACATTGCGTTATACTTTCGATTTTTGAATGGAACCCTGCTTTTTTTTGTTTTTAGATGTTCGTTGGGCCATCGTGAAGGCGTTGGTGATGACGTCAAATTGTAGATACTGGGTAAAAGTAAAAGACGAATTTACGAAGTTGTGTTAACACAAAACGTTTTTGTTTGTTTGTTTAAGATTTACTTAGCATGATTGCTACAATTACATTCTTCTAAAAAACTAAACAATTACATAACATACAGACATTGAGAGAAAAATACAAAATTTGCATCTCTAAGAATTTTCATTGTCCATGAAATATTCCTTTAATTTTCTTTTAAATATCTTTAAATTACAAGTAGACTTTATATCATTATTTAGTTTATTAAATTCAAGTAATCCTTTCTGAAATATTGATTTGTTAGTTATATTAGTATTGCAATTTTGTAAATGAAAATCTATATTTCTTCTTGTATAATAATTGCGGTAATGATTATTCAGTTCTATGTTGAGTTCTAAATGTTCTGGCAAAAGATGATTTTTTATTTTAAATATAAAATTAAGAACCAAATATGATAGGAATTTTTTTATATTCAACCACTGCAATTCTTGTAACAGATTCTATTTTGGTGTAGGTACTTATTTTTATTCAATATTATTCTCTAGGCTTTATTTTGCAAGACTTGTAATTTTGAGAATACAGCTACATTGACAGTGAACAAGATAGTTGAACAATATAGTAAATGCGGTAGAATAATTGTATTATAAACTATTTTCTTGGAATAGATACTAAGACTATGAGAAGCCCTATAAAAGTAGTTTGTTTTTTTGGCAATTTTTGAAATAATGTATTCATAGTGATCCTCAAACTTTAGTTTACTATCAATATACAGGGTGACTTTGAAGTTGAGTCATTAATTTTCAGATAATGATTGTAGAAGGAAGATAAACCAAAATATGTGTGTAAAAATAAAAAAAAATTTACCTTGTTTTATAAAGTATCCTCCCGACAAGTATTTCAGTGCGGACCTGTATTTGATCGTGAGGTCTTGGAGCACCGGCATGCCGTCCCCTGTCAGGTCTCAAGTCACCTGATTCACGAGCCCGTTGTACTACATTAACAAAGGCACGAGGGGTTGGTTGCACTCGATTGGGAAACCGATCCGCATAAACATGTGCCATTTTTGATTTCGTTTGAGCCACGCAACAGACACCACTATTCACTCACGCGTTACCGACTGACACTGACTGTATACAACTGAATAAAATAATTGTAAAAACATCGTTCCAAATTCTTTCGCTTTTTTGTTTCCGATGCGATGAACCGATAAGGCGGATTATATCCGTTGTTGCCAAACACGAGCACATAATATTATTATTGAGACAGGGCGGTACTCAAACTTCCAAAGGGCTATAACTTTGTTACTTTAATTTTACCAGAAAAATGGTAAAGGAAAAAAACATTTCTTTTGATCAGATCTACTCACTGTTAAAATAAATGACTCAACTTCGAAGTGTATATACCTAAATATTTAATTGATTCAACATTTTCAATTATTTCATCATTTATCCTGTGATACGATTTTCATTTACTTATTTCCCTGGTAGCATACATTTTGTTTTAGAAGAACTCTATTATAGTTTATTTACATTTAACCAATCTATGATTTTTGTCAAGTCAGAATTTAGAATTTTTAAAGCAATGTCTATATTTTCATCTGATATGTATATTGTTGTATCATCTGCAAATATCTGAATTTTACAATAATCTAAAATATTACAAATATCATTAATGTATAAAATAAATAGTCGTGGACCTAGTTTACTACCTTGTGGTATACCAACAGAAATATTTTTTGATCTTGATAACGTAGTTCCAATTTTGCTTTTTTGACTTCTGTCAATTAAATAGTTTTGTAGAATTTTGAATACAGATCCTTTAAATCCGTAGTGATGCAATTTTGTAAGTAATTTATCCCTGTCAATAGTCTCAAACGCCCTTGTGAAGTCCAAAAACACTGTAACTGTATGTTTACGATTATCCATACATCTCCTCCAGTCCTCTAAAACCATTTCTGTTGCCGTTTCAGTTATTTCTTCCTGAATCCAGCTTGAAATTTGGTTAAAATATTATTTCCCTCAATAAATTCGGTGATCTGTTCGTAAATAATTTCTTCAAAAACATCTGGCAGAACATTTATTGGCCGCATATTGGTGTACAACTCAGAATTTTTAACTTTAGAAACAGTTATGGTAGCACACTTTTGTTGGTAATTCGGCATATTTCAAACAGTAATTTATCAGGATTAATATCCTTGCTCCAATAATATTTACTATTTAAGTTAAACAAAATCATTTACTCACCTAGGTTTTTGAGCTGCACCACCACAAACTCTTTCTGTTTAGGAGCAAACCTAGCAAATACCGCAACGTACGGCAGGATCAGGTTCAAAAATACGTGGTAATTCTCCCGAAGGTATCCCAGTCCGTCACCTGTGATGCATAAATCGTATTTTTGTATCAGAATCTTGTAGTCATACTCTAAAGGTAAGCGTTCGTCTTCGTTTATGGACTGCCATGTGAATATTTCCTCGTCCTGCGTAAGAATCAGCGTCTTTTTCGTCGTAAGTTTCAGCTCTTTCGCTACATGACAAGCAGTTAGTGGATTGTCCCCTGCAACGAGAGACCATTGTAACGTTTGGCATCTGAGTAGAATCATGTCACGTTCTCGCGGAGACATTTTTCACAAAAAAATAAATTTAGGATTTTTTGCGTTGATTTCTAATTAGCTCTGTACAAAAGTGACATAACCATTGCTAAAACTAACCATTTAGCTCATCTCAAAAAAAACACAGCCCTAAACATAATGGTTTAGTTGTAATTGCGATTGAAAGTTCATCACGGTTTTTTTTTTCGAAATTTGACTTAACTTTACACCCTGTATAAAAGCTTACCTGTGATCATTATAGTGCGGTGCGATGAATATTGCAATTCCTTAATCACAGCCTTTGAATCGGTTTTCAATGGGCAAGAAATTATCAAAAACCCCGCAAATATCAGATCTGCTTCTACATCTTCTCTCGTCATGTCCCTTAACTCCTGAGTGCTCAGCGAACCGATTTTTCTATAACCTAAGGCTAGAACTCTTGCGCCGCGCCTTGACAGCTCCAAATAAACGTCATCGTATTTTTCAGGAATCTCGGCGTACATTTGCTTCAGCGTCTCTGGGGCCCCTTTTACGCAACCGATGTATATCGTTTCAGAAGACCCTACTTGGTTGTAGCCCGCGATTACAGACATCCTTTTCAAAGCGGACGAAAAATAGAACCTGCAAGGAATAGTAGCGATGACCAGTTTTGCTCCCGATAGGCAAAGCTGGTGTGGTTGGAGGCCAAACTGTTGTACAAGGGTCGTTTCAAAAACAATGTTCCCAACGATGTAACTGTAAGCACCGCGCGTGATGCTAGGCGAATTCTGGCAACAATTAGAGAAGAAAAAAGAAAATTCTACGATAAACAAATCGATAATAACAAGTGCGACAGTGTAAAGATGTGGAAGACTTTAAAAAGACTGATCAATTCGAAGCCGCATGATTGTGTAAATCAAGTTCAATTTGAAAACGGTACCGAAACAAATTCTTTGGTGATTGCAAACAAACTAAATGAATATTTTGTGGAAAGTATTGTTGATATTGTAGGTACTGCCAATGCTGCACCTGACTATATGAAAATCAGTTTCCAGGGGGAAATGTTGCATACACTTTCAAAATTTCACAGCGTATCATTGAATTATCTAAGAAAAAAAGTAAACAGTTTAAAATCAAATAACAACTGTGCCGAAATGACTACTAAAAACGTGCTGCAAAACTGTTTCGAAATTTTGGGATATCCTGTATTAAATTGGATCAATTGTTCACTGAGAAGCAGTTCTTTCCCTGAAAATTTGAAATGCTCTACAATAACACCAGTTCCCAAAATAAAAAATTCTAAAAGATGCAGCGATATGAGACCAGTAAATGTGTTACCAGACATTGAAAAATTATTAGAGTCCATAGTGCATGACCAATTAATGCAGTTTATAGAAGAAAACAAAATTTTAGTGGAGGCGCAAGCAGGCTTTCGAAAAAAATATTCCACAGAAACAGCTTTCCAGTTGGTAACTGAGAATTGGAGAAGAGCCATAGACTCAGAAGAAGTTGTCATAACAGTATTTTTGGATTTGAAGAGGGCATTTGAAACGATGATAGAGATATTTTGTTAGGTAAATTGAAGGCATATGGTATAACAGGAAGTGTTTTAGATTGGTTTAGAAATTATTTGTCTAAAAGGATGCAAGTTACAAAAGTTAATGACACTATTTCATCAAAAATTGAAAATACGTTGGGTGTTCCACAGGGCAGTATCCTGGGACCACTTCTTTTTATTTTATACATAAATGATTTACCTGCCATAGTCAAAAAATGCAAAATTCAAATTTTCGCCGATGACACTATGATTTATATAAGTACTAAAAATATTCAGTCTGGTATCTCTTATATAAATGAAGACTTGAAGCTTGTCTCAAAATGGTTAGCATCTAAAAGACTAAAATTAAATGCAAGTAAAACGAAAGCCTTGTTAATCGGAAAAAAACAATGTACAAATGTTCAACTGAATATTGATGGTGAAGATATTGAATTCGTAGAAAATTTTAAATACCTGGGAGTTTTTGTTGACTCTCGATTAATTTTTGATATTCATTATGAAAAAGTTATAAATAAGATTAGTAGTAAAGTGGGATATTTATCGAGAGTTTCTGGATGTCTGAGTTCATATACTATAATACCATCATTCTTCCAAATTTCTTGTACTGTTCGACTATTCTATATTTAGCAAATAATTCCATTTTTGAAAGACTGCAAATTTTACAAAATAAGTGCATGAGAATAATACTAAATAAAGATAAATATACTCCAATTAGGCAAATGCTTAGCAAATTAAAATGGCTCAATGTAAAAAATTTTATCAAATATCTTGTAATAATATTCATTTATAAAGTAAAAAATAATATATTTCCATCAAGTCTAACTAATTTAACATCATCAAATGTCGACCATCATTTACTTAATACCAGAAATAAAGATGACTTCCATTTAATGACCAAAAAGTATAATATATGCTACAAATCTGTATTCCATCAAGGGTTGATTGAATATAATAAATTATACTCGGAGATAAAAGACCAGAAAACTTTGACAAAATTTAAAGTAAAATTGAGAAATCACTTGTTAAATCTACAATTATAGGTTGCCCAGCATTTACATCATACATCATATGGCTTGAATTTACTAGTTCTAAGTTGTTTACAATTGTTCTGTTTATGTAGCCAAATGTGCTAAATAAATCTTTCTAGTACTACTACTACTAACACCGTCATGTCTGACAAATTGGTTAAGGCTTTCGCGGCCTTTAGACCCGAATCAAGACAGCAGTCTACCGTCATGTCTGTCGCCTCCCCCGCCGCCGGTCCCAACAAGAAGCGCCTATTGGCGACGCTCAGTACCGGACTGGCAGCCAAGTGCAATCCGTCAGGTGCGAAATTCGCAAAAACGTTACCACCCATAGAAATTCATCGCCACTTGATTGATGTATATGGGAAACGCGTATAAGCATCCAACATGTCCTCAAATAGTGAAGAGAAGTCTTTGACGGCCGTCGATCTCCGAGGAAGTTATGGCGACGATTGAGCAAATCTTGCTCGCAGAGGAAAACTCTGCAAAGCGTAAGACTCCTCGGGGCGGGAGTGAAAAAGTGGATTCCACCCCTAAAGAAATGTTTAGCACAAATGGCGACTATGTAGAAAAATAGCTCAACGTTTCCGATGGTAAATTCGTCTTTTCAAATGAAAAATTCTTTGTGCCTGAAAAAAATGTAGGAACCTTATTTTTGAGACAACCCTCGTAGCTTTTCTGATTATCCCCATTACGTCCACGCTCACACTAAATGCTAATATCACCTATAAGCCTGAATTCGAAATAGAATGGGGGAAAACATTATAATTACATATTTATGAACATAAGATATGAAATGGTCAAATATGATATCAACATCCTATTTCTATTTTGACAGTAAAATCGTAGCTGTTGAAAGTCAACACCGAAAATTAGACAAAGCATAAGTCTAAAAAAGTGTTCTCTAATCAGGAAGCCTAAAAACCGTAATTTTGTATTATATTTTTGCGCGAAAATAATATAGAAAATTATGGAAAATTTCGTGGATATGATTTTTGCGAAAATTTGGGTGGTCAATATAATAAAAATAATTATGCCTTTAATTGCCATTTCGCAACATTTAAATCTATTGATATTTTTTTTTCAGAATTTTGGAGTGGTGAATTCAGTAAATGAATTAAGAAACCGCAGGTAACACTGGTCAACACTGGTTTTGCCACACGAACTTTGACAGCTAATTTTGTTTTATCAGTCTACCCTCATTATTACATGACAGCTGTCATATGTCTATTAGCCTCATATTTGTTGTGATACGGTAATACTCATAACTAGTACTACGGCAGTAAATTAACAGAAACGCTTACAAGTAAATCCTTATAAAAATATTTGTTGTTGAATTTGAACACTTTTTTGTGATTTATTAACCCTGTGAATATGTCGAGGAAGTGTAATAATGATCCTAACTCTTTTTGTTATGTCTGCGGAGAACTAACATTCAAAAAACAACGACGAAATTTTACGAATCTTGTGCTGGAGTGTTATCACCAATGTTTTGGTTTTTCTGTCGCCCATCAAGACGAATCCTGGGCCCCTCATGTCTGTTGCATAACGTGTGTGAAAAATTTAACTGACTGGAAGAAATGTGCACGACCTATGCCGTTTGCTGTACCCATGATATAGACTGAACAGCGAGATCACGTTTCAGATTGCTATTTTTGTCTCACAGACATGAAAGGTATAAATTACAAGAAAAAACCACAGTTATTTACCCTAACTTATCTTCGGCTATAAGACCAGTCTCTCATTGTAAAAAATTGCCAGAACTAATACCAGTTGCAACTACGTCTGTTGAGAACAATTCACAACCGTCCACTTCAGGTGAATGTGTTGACGAGGACGATGACTTTGAGTTAAAAGGAATTGTAAACGAGCCACATATGATAACTCAAGGAGACCTAAATGATTTGGTTCGGGATTTAAATTTGTCAAAAAAGCAGTCAGAACTATTAGGATCACGTCTAAAAGAATGGAATTTGCTACATCATAATACAAAAGTTAGCTATTTTCGAAACCGTGATCAACACTTCAGAACGTATTTTTCTCAGGATGGAGATTTGGTGTTTTGCAATAACATAAATGAGATTATGAAAATGTTGGACATAGATTTTGATCTCTCGCAGTGGCGTTTATTCATTGATTCTTCGAAAGCAAGTCTAAAAGCAGTGTTATTGCATAATGGAAATAAGCTTCCGTCTGTACCTCTGGCCCATGCTGCAAATATGAAAGAAACCTATGAAAATATGAAACTTTTACTTGAAAAAATAAATTACAGTACATATTCCTTCAAAATCTGCGGTGATCTTAAAGTTGTTGCACTATTACTTGGACTTCAGCTGGGTTATACAAAGTTTTGCTGCTTTTTATGTGAATGGGATAGCCGAGACAGAACTAATAACTATATAAAAAAAACATGGCCTACGCGTGCATCGTTAGTTCCTGGGCAAAAAAACGTAAAGTATTTACCCCTTGTACAGCCAAATAATGTGCTTCTACCACCATTGCATATCAAATTAGGATTAATAAAAAATTTTGTGAAGGCAATGGATCGCAATGGGAGTGGATTTTTGTATCTAAAAGAAAAATTCCCTAAAATAAGTGATGCAAAGATAAAAGAGGGTATTTTTGTTGGCCCTCAAATTAGGGAGTTAATAAAAGATTCAAGATTTGAAGCAAAATTAAGCAATTTAGAAACATCTGCATGGAAGGCTTTTAAAAATGGTGTTTCAAATTTTTTGGGTAACCACAAGAGTGACAGCTACAGAGAGTTGGTTAGCGAGCTATTATTGTCATATCAAGCATTGGGTTGCAACATGTCACTTAAGATCCATTTTTTAGACTCGCACCTGGATTTTTTTCCTGACAATTTAGGGGCTGTCAGCGACGAGCACGGTGAGAGGTTCCATCAGGACATTTCTAATATGGAAAAGCGGTACCAGGGCAAATGGAGCCCAAATATGTTAGCAGATTACTGCTGGACAATTAAAAGGGACCAACCAGAAGCTAAATATTCAAGAAAATCTTAGATTATTAAGTCATTTATAAAAAAAATAACTTTTGATTTAAGAGATCTGTGTTTTTTCTTAATATTTTAAATTACTCAATAGAATAAAATCCTTGTCTAGCAAATTTTTTTAACTGTTTATTTTTTCTTACAATCACCAATTAAAGTAAAAAATATCAAAAAAGTCCGTGTGGCATGACAAAGTTAAAATTTTGTTGACCAGTGCGCTCTGAATTTTAAATGACGGAAAAAACTCCCTACTTTACTTGACTAGTAGCACTTCTTACAATAACCCTCAGCAAAAGTTCGACTACCTGTGAAATATTTTCAAGCCTGAAATTTTTCCTTTCTTCGGTACAACAGCATCAGCTTTAGTCACATTCCACTCTAAGGCCGTTACGGTAGCCTTTTCCAAAGGATCGCCAACCAGACCGTCATCCAACTGTGCTAACGAGTGACAGGTAGCCAGCACCTGAAAAAAATATAACCAAACTTATGTCCATTACAGGTATGTCAGAATTGATCGATGAAGCAATTTAGGACAATTAACATCAACAATCTAAGAAAAGCTATCTCAAAATTGAAATCTAATGAAAATCCAAGTGAGAATCTCTCAAAAACTATTCTAAATGATTGTTTCAATATAACTGGAGAGAAATTATTATTATTGGTGAACCATTGTTTAGTACATGGTGAATTCCCATCAAAATTAAAGTGTTCCACCATTACTCCTGTGCCAAAAGTTCAAAATTCTCAGCTGTATACAAATATGCGACCGATTAATGTCTTGCCCGATGTCAAGAAGCTGTTCGAATCATAGAATTTATTGAAGAATTCAAAATTTTGATAAAAAATCAAGCTGGATTTGTAAAAAAATGTTCCACAGAAACAGCAATCCAAATGGAGGTGGAAGACTGGAGAAGAAGTATAGATGAGAAAGAATATATTGTAACAATATTTTTAGACTTCAAAAGGGCATTTGAGACTATAGATAGGGAAAAATTGTTAATGAAATTGCGTCACTTTGGCTTTAAAGGATCAGTATTACACATTTTACAAAATTATTCAGTAAATAGAAGTCAAAAACTAAAGTTGGAACCATTATGTCAACTGTTCAAAATATATCAGTAGGGGTGCCACAGGGCCGTTACTATTTATTATTTATATAAATGATATCTCTGACATTTTAGAACACTGCAAAATTCAAATATTTGTGGACAATGCACTTATATATATGTACAGCAGACGCTCGATAACGTAAACACGGGATAATGAAAACTTGCGCTAATGTAAACACAAACTTCGTTCCATCGGATCAAACGGAACGCGCGGTAACGTAAACAATGTGTACGCTCGATAACGTAAACAACTCTCGGCGTACGGAAACAGCGCGACGGTAAAATGCTGAAGCCTCGATGATTTATGTCGGGCGTCGGGGAGTCCCCGATTTATGATGTAAAGTGTAGGGGATTCACCTCTGCGATAAAATACGACAAACTCGGTCAGTCGTATGATCGTTTAGGATACGTTTATACGTACGTATGTATTTCATTTTTGAACTTAAGTGAATACATTGCACGCGTTAATATATTTTACGACTATGGCATCCACATCCTATAAAAGAAAGTGTTTAAAGTTGAGTGAGAAAGTGAAAATCATAGACGAAGTTGCACTAGGTGCAGGAGTGACACGGTTAGCAAAAAAATATGGAGTATCGAAAGCAACAATCTGTAAAATTAAGCGTATGAAAACTCAAATTTTACAAAGAACGTGCTATACATTTGGAGGTCCGGGAAAAAGAAAAACTTTAAAAACTGCGAAGGCACCTAAAATGGAAAATTCCCTGTATAAGTGGTTTTTCAAACAACGGGAAAATCATGTCCCAGTTAGTGGCGAAGTACTTAAACAGAGAGCGAGACTGTTAAATGAAAAACTGAAAGAAACTGAAAATTTCGTAGCTAGTGATGGCTGGCTACAACGATTCAAAACAAGATATGGAATTCGACTGCTGTCTATATCTGGTGAAAAATTATCAGCACAACCACAATTAGTGCAACCATTCAAAGAAAAATTGATGAAAACAATTACCGAGCTAGATTTAAGAATGGAACAAATTTACAACGCAGATGAAAGTGGCCTTTATTGGAAAATGTTACCAGAGAAAACCTATGCTGCATCATTTGGAAAATCTGCCCCGGGAAGAAAGCCGGAGAAACAACGAATAACGTTTCTAGCCTGCATTAATGCTAATGGTTCACACAAAATAAAGCCACTGGTAATTGGGAGAGCAAAAAATCCGCGCTCATTTAAAAATGTTAATATCCCTGTTGATTATGACTGTTCAAAAACCGCTTGGACGACTAGCGGTATATTCTTGAAATGGTTCTACATGTGCTTTGTCGCTCAGGTATGACAATCAATTATCATAAATGCTCTATTCATAATTTGAAGATGTGTTTTCAATTTGTAGGTAAAAGGTTTCCTAAAAGAACAGAAGCTTCCAATAAAACCGTTGTTACTATTTAATAATGCTACAAGTCATCCTCCCGAGCAACAACTGAGGAGCAGGGATGGGTCAATTTTCGTCATGTACATGCCGCCCAACGTAATACCGTTAATTCAACCGATGGACCAGAATATAATAAGACTCACCAAACTATACTATAGGAAGTTTCTACTTTCGTCTGTCTTATCAAAGAAACCTGAAAACTTATCTGAGGCTTTAAAAAAAGTAACATTACGAGAAGCTGTTTTAGATTTACATATGGCCTGGAATGAACTTAACCAGCAAACTATTCAAAAATGTTGGAACAATCTCTTTTGTACCAATAATGAAGATGATGAAGAAGACGATGTCCCCTTAAGCGTAATTAGAGAACGTTTGCGATCCAATAATGATAATGTTATTAGTGTGTCATTGGATGTTGTTGATTTATTGAAAACAGTGAATCCCAACATTGTTTGTACTCTTGCTGATATTAATTTATGGAACGAAGATAAGCAGACGAATGTTGCTGATAAGGAGGAGGATATGGACAGTGAGGATGATGAGAACGATCCCATTGAAGTCAGAAGTGTAGTGACTGACGCGCAAGCTATACAAGTTTTTAACCAAGCTTTAGATTGGGCTGAAAGAAAAGAAGTTTCATACACGGATATTTTAGTTCTTCGTAAATTACGGGCGCAGGCATTGGAAGACAATGCTAAGCGCAAATTTACGCAGACAAAAATTGTTAATTATTTTTCTTCTAATTAAAAAAATACTTATCGCTGTTAGAATATTTGTTTATTTTGTTATAAGTATGTATTAAACGTTTCTTTTAATAAATCAAATATTATATAAATCACGTTCGCTAATGTAAACATTTCGATAATGTGAACCACACTTGGATTAAATTAGTTTACATTATCGTGCGTCTGCTGTATGTATATAGCACATAAGCATTTGGACACTGCTTTAGTACTGTTAAATAGTGATATTAAAAAAATTACGAATTGGTTAAATGTCAATAAAACATTATTTCAAAAATATCGAAAAAGATGAATTACTTCTATAGAGTTTCCCATAATCTTAGTATGTATTCCAAAAAAATTGTGTATAACACTATAATTCTTCCCCATTTTTTTATATTTTTCAACCAACTAGTTTACACCAAATGAAAACATATTTTAAAAATTACAAATACTACAAAATAAAGCTATGAGAATCATTTTAAATAAAAACAAATATAATAATATAAAAATAATAAGTCTATGTTAGAAGAACTGCAGTGGTTGGATGTACAAAATTTCATATATTATTTAGTTCTCGTTTTCATATTCAAATTAAAAAATCATTTATTACCACCACATTCAGAGAACTTCACAAAATTAAATAGACATTATCATAACTACGAAACTAGAGGCAGTATAGATTTTTATCTGCAAAATTGTAATAGTAGCATAACTAGTAAATCTATATTTAAAAAGGGAGTATTTTGAATTGAATAATGATATTAAACAGGGTTCGAATTTAAAAATGTTTAAGGCGAAATTAAAAAATCACTTTATGAATAATCAAAATACATGGTGACGTAGTTTTAATTTTTAATTTTTAAAGACAAAAATGTAAAATTACAGAAAATGGATTGAAGAAAAATATGTAAGCGAATCAAACTAGGCTCACAAATGAGGCTCTTGATCAAAGCATTGCCACCAATGCGTCGCCAAAAATAAAAAGGACATCAAAATAAAAAAATAACGCGGAATACGAAAATTGAGATGAATAGTTAAAGCACATGGTATTTTCGTAATTTATGGCAAGAAATACCGAATAACTTTCTGCAAAGTTTATTAATTTGCGAAAATAAAATTTTGGAAATCGCCAAATGAGACATGTTAGTGGTGCATTTATTCTGTTCCTGTTGTAATTATTATTACCTGTACAGTCTCCGTTGGCAAATCAGCGATAGGCGTGGCTCGAGAATCCTTCTGGGCCAACGCTACACCCTCCACCACGAGATCGTCGCTGGTAAGTGTGCCCGTTTTGTCGAAACAGCATATATCCACCTTGCCAGCAAACGGTATGCGGAAAGGCTCCGTACAAAATACACCTAGTGGAATAAAATATCCCAATTTCAACTTCAAGTTGCTGTTGCGTTACCGCTAAAGCAACTGGCAATCTGAACTACAGTGAAAGCTCCCATAAGCGGACACTCATGGTTCCGTAACTATTGTCCGCTTATGGGAGGTGTCCGTTTAAAAGAGAGTATGTAAGTATAGAGTATAAATAACGGGGTATATAATCATGAGGAAATGAGGTATTATAATCATGAGAAAAATGAAACAGAAACTCGCCACATTTTTAAAGTATGTATTTATGCTATATATCTATATAATATATGTACATATACGCATACAAAAACATAAATGCTTCAATACATGGTACGAGAATTTAAAAAAAACATTATTCTTTAGCTTGTTGAAAAAAGTTTAAAATGTTTGTCTGACGAAATTTCACCATCTTTTGCTGAAGGAGACAATTTTCGTAATAACTTTCTAAATTTTTCAAATGTTGAAATGCAGTGAAATCATCTTTAGCAAATTTTTTCAATATAGAAATATGATTTAGAGCTTCCCCATATGAATTTATCGTTTTTGAACCGCTTAGTGAGTCCACCAGTTCCACTTCTTCTTCTGAGTCGTTTGGACTACCATATTCAAGTTGGCCTGGGCTTTCTACATCCAAATTCGAAAAGTTGCCAATGGCATTTTCTTCTGTTGTTATGTTATTGTCTATGGCCAGGAAATCATCTACTTTCTGGGGATCTGCTACTCCTAAATGTTTGGCATGTCGCAGTAACTGAGCAAGTGTCGCTAAGGGCAGATCGTCTTCAGCATCGCAATAATTTTGCTCAGCAAATTCTGAGCTACATTCACTTTTTCTGAATCCAGCTTTGCCAAAACAGTTTTTAATTGTAGAGGAATTTACTTTATTCCATGCTGTTTTTATAAAATACAAAGCTTCTAACACATTGATAGACTTTGTAAGCTCAGATAAGCTTTGACCATCGTCAATTTTTGTTAAAATATGTTTTAAAATCAAGTGCCGATAATAAAATTTAAAGTTCTGTATGACACCTTGATCCATGGGCTGACAAACAGAAGTTGTGTTTGGCGGTAAAAATATAATTTTCACATTTTTCATTTTCATATCACGAAGATGAGAGCATGCATTGTCTAAAAATAAAAGAACTTGCCTTTTTTGGATTCTCATTTTCCGGTCGAATTCGACTAACCACTCAGACATGATTTCTCGGGTCATCCATGCCTTTTTGTTGGATTTCCAAGTCGCTGGTAGATCCTTAATAGCAACGTTTTTTAAAGCACGGGGACGAGCCGCTTTCCCGATCACAATCAAATCGCATTTTTCACCGGCCATATTTGCACAGAATAAAATGGTTAGTCTATCTTTAGACAACTTTCCACCCACACATGTTTCTCCTTTAAAGGACAGAGTTTTGTCGGGCAATGCGCGAAAAAAAGTCCACTCTCATCTGCGTTGTACACATCTTCTGGTTTGTAGCCAAGCAACATGGACGGAAGTTTCTCCAAAAATTGTGACACATCAACTTGATCTACTGCAGCAGCTTCGCCAGATATGCATTTGAAACTCACACTATGTCTCTTGCGCCACTTTTGCAGCCACCCGTCGGACGCACTGAAATTATTATAGCCCAAAGTAGTGGCGATTTCTTTAGCTTTCATTTTCACTAACGGCCCTGAGATTGGAATGTTCTGACTTCTAGCTTTCACAAACCACTCAAAACATGTTTTGTCTATAGCAAAACCTTCCTTTTTTAAAAAATCCTTCTTTTGATTTATATTAGTTCCTGATTGCCATTTACTCCTGATATCTTCCTTATTTTTGGCAATTTCAGCTGCTTGCGTTTTCCCAATATTAAACCTCTTTGCCAAATGACGAACTGAAACACTTTCTCTGTCTAATACCTTAACAACTTCCATCTTTTCCTTTAACGAGAGCATCATTTTTTTTGGTGCCATTTTACAGTTACAATAATAAAATACGTAACTCAATCAACTACGAATTTGCCTGAACTGAAGACAAGCCACAAGATTACATACAGGCTACCCAACGAAATGCGTAAATGGGGAATCACCTAATATAAATCGGGGAATTACCGAATTTTATGTATGTAGATATGTGCATTGCAATAAGCGGAACTAAAAAATCGTCCGGGTATTAGAGTTTCGCGTCCGCTTATGGGAGATTTTTTGATCACATACAGGAAAATCTAGTGTCCGCGTCCGTTTATAAGAGCGTCCGTTTATCGGAATGCATTTAACATTGAAAATTGATGGCTGAAATTCGGTTCCAGGAACTTTGTCCGGTTAAAAGAGATGTCCGCTTATAGGAGCTGTCCGCAAGGAGAGCTTTCACTGTATTTAGAACCGTATTAAAAATAAAGCGAATTATGAATGGCCTACTTTCGTACTTGAAAACCCCGAAAGCAAAGTCATCCATAAGTAACGTATTTCACAAATAAAATGATCAACATAAGGTACTATTTTTTAGTTATTATAAAGATATACTAAATGACATAGAAACTGCAAATTTATTTGGATACGCCGAATCGGGTTATCGTCGTAACTTACCTAACTTTGATAAGGCGATCAGCGACGTATTAACAGCTAGCGAAAGCTCAATTGGCAACTCTGGCGGGATCACGGAGGTGAGTATCAAAACACACTCCAGGAACAACTTGTAACGATTTCTCTTAGGATCCTCGATACCCGTAACCCAAACGTACCTAAAAGTAGTACAGCGTTAAAATACGACATTGGCATTTATGAATATACACTTACCAGGCAGCAGCAACTGCAAACACCAACAGGAATAAAATGAAACCAAATGTTTCTTTATTGTTAGCAGTAACTCTTTTTACTCCGAACAAAATGGTTCTCAACAGTTTTCCCTGTGACGTATTGAAACCGGTCCTGAGGACATAAGCGACGCATCCGTTATCTTGAGGACGCAGTCCTGAGGTCGCCTTTGTAGGCGGGGTGTGCTGGATGACTTTGGTACCTATAATTTATACAACTTTTTACAAGCGTGTCTGCAAACTACCGCAATATGCGCAAATATTTCTATGCCATTTATACGATACTCAGTACAGCAATGTTTGGTTTGGTTGCCGCTTTCAAATCCGAAATTATTTTGTCTCTGTGTGGGCCTTTGAGGGTTACTTCAAGATCATATCAAGAACATTCGGAAGAAGCTGAGCAGTTTAGTAATAGTGACAGATTCAAAAGAAATCTAGCATTGGAGTCCAAATACGCGTCATATAGGATTTTGCGGTCGTCGATTCGAAATCCAAGATCGTTCTGTTTCTATACTAAGTGAGATATAAATCCGAACACCCAGTTTAAATGGTTTTATTTTAATAAAAGTTGGTGAATGTATTTATCTTACTGTAAATGACAAGTGAAAAAAATTTTCAGCCTTATCAGTTGGACATTCCGGTTTTTATACTGTTTTTTTTTTAATTCACTAACGCTCTAAAAATGAATATTTCAGCCGCAGTTAAGAATCAACGTTGGCAGATTTTGGTTCTTGACATCCTTTACGATCGGTTACGATGCCTAGAGTACGGAGACCTGTACGATTTCGTCAACTTAGTGAGTTTGATAGGGGCCGTATAGTGGGACTTCGGGAAGCTGGACTTTCTTTTCGGGCAATTGCAGTTAGAGTGCAAAGAAGTGTAGACACTGTGGTTAGGTGTTGTCAGGCATGCATGGCTTCGAGAAGGCCGTACGCAAAGAGCAAGGGGCACTGGACGCCGCCCTAGAACAACAGACCGTGAAGATCGCCGCCTAAGATTATTGGCCTTAAGGGACCGTTTCTCCACTACCAGGTCCATTGCAAATGAATGGTTTGCAGAACACGGAAGACCTATTGAGAAGTTTTGGCTTGTTTTCATACTGGCCACACTGGGTCCTCCCTTTAACTCGAGAACACCGACGTAATCGCCTTGAGTGGTGCAGACAACGGTCACTCTGGGATCAGGAATGGAACAGTATTATCTTTAGTGACGAGTCTCGATTTTGTTTAGGCATGCACGATGGTCGTGCCAGGGTTAGATTTCGACGTGGTGAAAGGAGGAATCCACAGTTTTTTGTTGAAAGACATGTTCATCACACTGTTGGAGTTATGGTTTGGGGTGCTCAATTTGCAACGTCCTCCTCAGACTCTAGAAGCACTTCGAGAGGAGTTGGTGGTTGCCTGGAATGAGATACCACAGGAGGACATTGACCACCTGATCAGAAGCATGCCTAGGCGCGTTGGAGAATGCGTAGCACATCAGGGTGCATCCACACATTATTAAAGGTCAAAGGGCTTCAAAGCAGTGCAATCATTTTGAAATTTTTATCATTTACTTATTATGCTTCATTAAGTACTTATACAAAATTTTATTAAAATAAAACCATTTAAACTGGGTGTTCGGATTTATATGTCACTTAGTATATGAAGGTCAATTTAAGACCACTCCCAAGAGCAATTCACAGAAAGTTATGTAGTCGATTGTAACCATCAGTCATATGGCAGAACTTTATTAAAAACCTCTCTGAATAATACTGTGATTAAAAAGTTTGTTAATAATAATCCGTACATGAAAACACGGTCAATGACCTACTTTATTTTTCAACAAAAAAGGTACTGTCGAATGATGCACCACAAACTTTGAGTTTGATACTCTGCCATTTTAAAGACGCCAAATTATTGTTTGTGGTATATTAACTTTCAAATAATAATGAAAATCATCGTTTTGGTTACTTTTTATTTTATTTTTACAATACAAATTTTCTACAATGGTCAGAAATTACTTGCCAGGACATGCCTAATAAAACCCTGTATGTTGAGAAAATTTTAATGCAAAAATATTCACGTAATACGGATCGAATACGATGATTATTCAACCATCACAAATTAGAAGAATTATACTTCAATTTGGCAAAACACTAAGTTTAAACGGTAGATTGACATACCTCCAAAAAGTACGTGTAGCTTTCCATCTCCCTCTGGATCTAGAATAGTATTCTGATCTTCGTGTTCGATAGCTTCCTTCATTTGAGGCACACTTTCACCAGTCAACATACTCTCATCTACTATACAAGATCCCCTCAACAACAACACGTCACATGGTATCAAGTTGTCTTTTATTGATCTCGTAATTGATATTATGTCACCTGGCAAAAATTAAACTGTTAAAAACGAAAAAATAGTTGACTCTAAGAGAAGGTTTCACTCCTGGGATCCGATTCTTAAATCTATCATATTTCCCATAAGAATAATAACTGGTATAGAAGATTGTGGTAGGTCACACGTGATACTCAACAAAGTTCATTTATGGTGTGTTATTAATATATTGCCATACATAGTGTAAAGTAGTCACTTTCTCCAGGAATCTTATTTGATTACAACATTGATGGTATTTTTATTAAGCACCATCTAAACACTAAAGATCTAGGAGTGTTATCCACTTAGCACTTAGACCCTATACTGGAGATTTTGCAAAAAAAGGATGGTTCGAAAATGATTTAAACAAAAATATTTTTGTCTTTTTCCGTCTGATGCACCGTTTTCGCGTAAAAAAATAAAAACCTGCCCTAAAATTTATAGAAATGGTGTTTTTTAAGATAGTAGTAATATGCATCATGCAAGAATTTAAAAAACCAACCTGGGATAAGATCACATGTGGGAATAGATCTCCATTTCCTGTTTCTGTAGATCAATATACTATACGGCTTGTTTCCCATCTTCCGAATCTCCTCCATATTTTTCAACTGTTGTACCACCAGAGTAGATTCAAACATGACCAACATCACCAACGTGAATAAGGAGTAGTACCAGAAGTCGTCAAGACACCACAGCAACACGCAGAAAACTTGGAACACAAAAAATGGCGCCGTAGCTCGCTCGATAAAGAGCTCTATGAATTTTGGCACAACCATATCCAAATTATTTTTTCCGTATCGCTGTTCGGCTTCAGTAATGTCCGATTCTTCTTGGAACCCTTTGCAGCTTGAATATTCTTTGTAAGTCTTGTCAATAGGAAACTCGATACCTCTGAAGGTCTTTTTGTCGCTATCCCATATGTATTTTGTTTTTTGGAACATGAACCATGGTAGTATCTGATTATCTTTCTAAAAAATACATACATATATATATATATATATATATATATATAATTATGCTTAAAGAAGGAAGAAACAAATTTGATTCTGTCCACCACCAAATTCACCAAAAAGGAAAAAACATAAATCAGTTTCCGTAAAAATAACCAACAGCACTGAATTTTTGAGCATCTATACCGATGAGATCTTAGACTGGTCTGAAAATATAGATATTTGAATGGAAAACCAAACAAAACTTGTTACTGCATCCAATATATCTCAGAATACAAAATAGGTCACTGGGACACTGCAATTTGCAAACTTAAAGTACTATTTTTTATTTAATTATAAAACCTGGAGATATATGTTTCCCTAAAACTTTACATGGGAATTAAACTTTATAACAAGCTGAGCAATGCTATTAAACCTGTTATGGATGTAAAAATCTTCAAAAAGAGAGTTCTTGATTGACCTGGGGCCATACAGCACTGAGAAATTCATGCGACAATGGATAAAATATTTAACATTGTTTTTATGTAGGGAAATGTGTTTGAAAACAATTGTTTTTTGTGTTAAGGATAAATGAGAAAAGACTTGATTGACAAATCTTTTTTATGCTTAATTTCACAGTATTGAATCACAAAATCTAATTAGAGATAAATAAAAAGACTTCTGTTTTCATGAAGTTCATTTCTTTTGATAAAATACATGACTAATCATCTGGAGCATTATTGAGGGAGATATCTTAGTTCAGCAACTACATGCACAATTTTCGAGCTCAAAAGTCTCCAAAATCACCAATTTAATTAATTGAACTAAATTTTGTAGGTTGAAATGAATAACACTATTACACTACATAAAAAACATAGGACAACCATGTAAAGATCCTAGACTTTACTTATACCAAAAATATGTCATTTCTCTGTTTTTAAACCACATTCATCAATTTTTCAGATGACTGTTAATATGGTGCTAGCTTTCTGACAAGATAAATATGGAAAATTAGTGAAACCTTCAGAATATCAGTTTGGCTAAATTACAGTGATTAACTATATCTCTATTTGTCTGACTCTTTTGATTATATAAGTTCTCTTTAACATGTCCGTAACTTGCAGATTATGAGGCTTAGCTAAGGAACATACATACATACTCACTACTTATTGTCTCAACCATAATTTATAGAATTAATTTAAGAAACAATTAGGAATAACATACATGAACTAATAAATATATATTTATCAGCTTGCTCTTAGATTCTACTTCAAATATTATCTTTCAGAACTAGCCTTTTATATTTTTATCAAAGGCTATATGAATAGATAATTATTATAAACTGAGAAATAAATAGTGCTGGATAGTTACCTTACTGTGCTGCAACCTAACAAGTTCTGAGCTACCATTGTTGGGTGTTGGTATAACTTTGGCAATATCAGCCTTGTTCGGGTTCTTTTCCTATGATAAAAAAATGGAAATGAGAATGAACAGATGTATTCTCAAACAGAGGACGTTACCTTTCTGCACGTACAAAAGCAGTTAACGTGAACCGACCAGTAACAAGCTAGCGCGCAGAGAGCTTGGCAACAACCTATTGCAGCTAAAACTATGCAACCTCCTTCGTAGAAATCAAAAAATCCATACACTCCAATCCACAAATAAATCCAAAGTGAATAAACTATAATAAAGGGCAACACATACAGATGAATTATAACAGGTTGTAGGGTGTAAAGGGAAACAGACTGGATCAAGTCGTCCAGTTTTGGGCTTGCAGTCATTTTGTTTGTTATGTTTACTTCATTTATCGAATAAATAGGTTTGATGATACATATGTTAACACATCGAACACATCACAGATCAAATACATATTAATACCATATCAAAAATGAGCATGCATATTTGAAAGCTGAAATGTGTTAAAATTTTGGAAAGTGGGTGTCACATTTGACAACTCACGATAAACACGTCAAAGGCTGTCAAAGTACGGCTGTCAAAAATCTCAAAACTGGCAAGTGCGTTCAGCTATTAATAAATGTAAGCTACCGAATTTATCGAGCGTCACTACGACAACGGAATTTGGTAACTAAATAATTATTGTAGTTCAGGGAGGCAACGACGGGTATAGAAAAATCAAACAAATAAGAGAAAATGCATAAAGAAGTGAGTCCTTTTGGACCAATCGATCAGGTTTCATTGGAATATTCTATTATTATTATATCCGCGATTTATTTTTGGTCGCGGTACAGCTACTAGCCGCGTGTTTGTGTAATTAACAATAAAGTGCCTAGTAACCTGCAAGCTTTGCAACCAAGACACTTTGCAAAACTTTACTGTCACATAGTCTCCAATAAATTAAACCTCTCAGATAAGGCAGCACTAGGACCTTTCGTATACAGTGAAATCCATATACCACTGTGATGTGTACGAGCTCCTACAAAATCCAAATCATACGTCCTCGAGTTCGTTTTGCGAGGCCACCTTTAATGCTGAACCGTGAGCGATCGTGTAGAGGGGGCAACAGGGGGCCGATTTTTCGGTGGATGACCTCGACCAGACCCGCCTAAAAGCTGGTGACTCGGCTAATCAGATGATTCGTTGGATCACAGGCGTCCTGGACGTATATCTGGGACGCCTGCAGCTCAATGGTCATCGTGGGCAACCCTAGGTGTGATGCGATTCCAAACAAAAACCCCGAGGTCCGCCTAACGGGGGGCTCCGAACGAGAAAACCTCCGTGGAAGCGGGGATGAGGGCGGCTGCGACAGTTAAGACTGTGGCGGCATCGGCCGTACGCCCGAATATCCGGTTTCCGAGAGGGTGCAGAACGATGCTGATGATTTAAGCGTAGTGGTTAGGGGTCGTTTTTGTAGAACGGTATCTGAGATCATGCAGGGTCCCCTGCGCGCTCTAGAATCGTGGTGTAGAGTAGTCGATCTTTCTGTCAACGCTGGAAAGACCGAGCTGGTTCTATTCACTAGGAGAAGGAAGCTTGACGGGCTTGTCTTGTCGACCTTCTTTAAGACTAAACTAGTTCTATCCCAATCAGTAAAATATATACGAATTATCCTGGACTGCAAACTGGAATGGAGAGGCATGTTAAGTTTAAGGTTAAGAAGGCTCGCAATTCATTGTGGGCTTGCAGACGTGTTGTCAAAGTGAGATGGAGGCTTAAACCCAAAGCAGTACTTTGGATCTATACCACGATAGGACGTCCATCTTTTTGTACAGCTCCTCGATTTGGTGGTCTTGCATTGGAGCCGAGACCACCAAAGCAAAACTTGATAAAACCCAGCGTTTGGCTTGTATCAGGACGCGCGGACAACGCCATTGAGTGCAATGGAAACTCTATTGATCTCCCAACGTTGGATCTAGTAGTCACACATCGACGACAATGGAGTCAGGGTAACTGGGCCTTTTTGAATCCTGTCAAGGGTCACACTGCCATTTTGGATTGGTATTTACCGATTCGTTCAAGCGAGTGTGGTTATCAGTTTGGTTATAAGATCCGCGACGTCATGAGTCAGCTGCTATATGTCATAGTTATCACCGTAAAGTTGTGGTATTTACCCAACTCAAGAGTTGTTTTATATTTCTGGTTATTATTTGAAATGTGACAAGTTAGAATTTTGCCGGGTATCGGATATTGTTATTGTACTTCAGCTTCATTTTTGGGAAACTTGATACAGGCTGACTTCAGTTGTAGCATAAAGTGGAGCACCTTTTTAGTTATACTCATCACTGTTATTGGGGACACTTTAAATGTAGTTCCTATACTTAACAAAGTACCTATCCTGTGTAGCCATATACCACAAGAATATTAAAATATGGCCATATAAACTCACTAGATGATGTCCACCTGTATTCAGTTTTGCTAATATCTTTTTTCATCATTTCTGCTGAATCGATATATATTTTCTTTGTCATGCGGAAAACTTTAGAGAATTGAAAGTTATCATAGCTAAAAAGCCGTGGTTCCATCATTAAAAAAAAAAATCTGAAAAAGAAAATATTTCTCCCATGAATATTATGAAAGGTTTCTTTTTTAAACTTTCGATACACAAATGTAAAAGCACCGATTATTATATTCAGAGATTATATACGTGCTTTTCTAAAATAAACAACTTGCAACAAAACCGCGGTTAAAACCAACGCGTTCAAGCGATTCGTGTAACTGACGTCATCAACCCGTGTGTCATCTTGAACCATATTATAACCGCGGCACATAACACAGACATTTTGGTTATTCGCTTGAATTTGATTATTGTAACATGCTTGTGTCTTGTGTCTTGTCACGTTGTCACTAGTGGTGTTGGTTATCGTTACTTTCGAGTACTCGTTACTAATCGTTACTCTTCTACAAAGTAATCGTTTATTGTATTCGTTACTTTGATTACTATGAGTAGTATGAGTATACCCATTTGGCAATGTGCGTCGTGTGATTAATGTCGAATTTAAACAAGTTGAATGGAACCGAATCTTGTAAGAAAATAGACGACCTTAAAATTTGTAAAATGTTATAAGCATAGTTTATTCAAGACTATCGTGTTTAATGCAAACATTGTATCTTCAAACTGTATGCTTATCGAGATGAGTTATCATAGGATGGAGTGTCATATGACTCATATGAGCCTACAAACTGAAAATACTTTGTATTTACTAGAAATACTTAAAAACATGTCTTTTAGTCAGAAAGATGATCTGTATATGGGCTTAAGGAAATTCGGAATGGCATGTGACTTTTCGAAGCATTTCAATTAAGCATAATATACCAGTATAAAAATTCTACGTTGAGCTTGGTCTACACATACTATTGGTGGTCATACTGAATTATATTTTTTTTAGCAAAACAGTGCATGGAAACACGAGTCAAATTGACATAACTTTTATTATTGTGGTTTTCCTTAACGGTGGTTTTACCTTGTTGTCGCTTTTCTGTTTCATAATACTGCCGATCCAATCGACTACTTATTCCTTTTCAGGTTCCCAAGATCACAACAATAAAAGCGAATTTGTGTCACGGTGTAAATAGGTAAACTTCAGATTTAAAACCAATTACCAAATTCTATGTCCGCCAATAAAAAAAAAATGAGTTTCCAGGTTTCCATCTGAATGTGGGATGTCTGGCAACCCTGGTGCATGAGCGACAGTGCTACAGTCTAACCAGCGTTACCACTCAACGATCAACGATTGTACAGGTACCGGGTAGGGATACGGAAAACAGAGTAATCAAAGTAATCATTTCGTGCTCGGATTGGTACTCGTTACTTCGGGTATCTATGAGTAACGAGTACTCGAGTTTCGTATGATTACTCTTTCAACACCACTAGTTGTCACCCCAGCTGTCAAACCGATGCGTCATGAGTCAGTCGCTGAAAATTTCTCCTAGGGAATTTTAATAAATTTTAGTGTATGTGTTTTGTGAAATTTAGTAATAACATGAGTAAATATTGGTGAGATGTGTAGTTTATTTATTGTGTTATCATATGGGCTTGGCTGAGAGCTAACAGATGTATCAAACAGCTATATTCTTCCGACAATGATGTGAATACCACAACGAACACCATGGGTAAGTGCTCCCAGACATCAAAATGTTTATGAAATCATCAAAGTCCTTGTTTCAGTTGAAATGATAGTAGAATACGACTACACTGCCAAAGAGCCTGACGAGCTCACCATCAAAAAGGGCGACATTATAAAAGATGTTGTGAAGAAGCAGGGAGGCTGGTGGCAAGGAGTGCTTAAAGACAAGAAGGGCATGTTCCCAGATAACTTTGTCAGGCCTATGGACTCCTCCTCTGTAGTGATGCGAAACAAAAAAGACGTGTCGCGAATTAGACAATGCAGGGTGATCTTCTCCTACAGTCCTGATCATGAAGATGAGTTGAGCCTGAATGTAGGTGACATCATCGATATTATTGGTGAGGAAGAGGAGGGATGGTGGAGAGGTACGTTGAATGGAAAGGAAGGCGTTTTTCCATCCAACTTTGTGGAAGAAATTGTGCCACAACCTAAGCCTAGCACAAGGGAAGATTTGAATAGTATTAATCATAGTTCTAGTGATGAGAAAGTTCCAAAATTACCCCATAAACCTGGTAAGTTTGTTTTTATCTTATCACCTTAACTACACTGAATGTTCCATTCAAAAAATGTAAATAGTGCTCACATAATTCACCATGAATGTTGACTCATCCTTACATTTGAGGCAAAATTTTCTAACTGTCAAATACTGCTGTTTCCAGAAGTATTTTCGTAGATATGTATGTGTGTAGAAAGAAAGTAATGTGTTGGTGGGTAGGCAAAGCCTAGCAATTATATTTGCCCCATTTTGCCCACCCAGAATGCCTGCTCTATTCCACATGAGGTCAGGATATCCAACCACTCTGCTTCACTATCAAGGCTCCATGTCCCTAAAGATCTCCGCTCTTAAACTGGGACAAAAGCCTAGAAAGTGAAATACTATTGTGTCTTCTTCCTAGCACAAGGGGCAGATAGAATCTCTTTTCAGAAGGGACAAGTGACTGTTCAGTGTACAATGGCTGGTACCTCCACCAAGATATTGAGCAATCCTCTACCACTTAACCCATGTCCTGTACCCCTAGAAGAGCAAGAAAAGAAAAATGATTTAAAAACTGATGTTAGATAGGTCCTAGCTGAAAACATACATTCAATTACACTTCACTAAGCATAGGAAAAAATGCCCTCGGTATGATTGTCATATAGAATAAGATTAAATATGAGCCCCTTCCCACTTCAGTCAGCCCAACTATTGAAATCTTAGTTTTTTCTTATCAAACACAAATAATAAAAATGTAGCAGGGTGTTATAGGTTTAAAATATTAACAATGAATATTTTGATAATATATAGTAGAAAACACCAACTTTATCACTCCCTAATCAAATTTGCAGCATAAAAATAACACATGTTATAAATAAGTCTATAACGCATAGGTGGCTGTGAAAAATAAAAGCCATGACAATTGTTTTTATTAATCACAGCTGTCAGAATATGTTTAAAATAATTTTGGGTAGTTAAGGTTTCGAAATCCGTAGAGGAAGGGGGGAATTATCTGTAGCATCCAACCAAACTTTTGGTTTTGACAACTTTTAGTATGAAATCTCGGTTTCGGTTTACTTTTGGTTCAAAGTCTATTAATGTCACATTTGAAACTTACCCTGTGGTTTTCATGATGACAATTCTCAGTGTTTTTCTGGCCAATAAATGTTAAATGAGACCACACATAGAATTAACATTTTGGGCACCTCAGTAGTCTTTTTCAATGCATAATCAGTTTATGTTTATGGAATTACTTTTATATAGTTAATTGTCAATAATAAATGTAATTGAGACAATAATAATGAACATTATGCTGCGAGAATTATAAGCGAAGTTGAGGAAAAAAATATAAACGGTTGAGATTAAATAGTGTATGCAAAAATACAGAAAAACAGTGATGGAGGAATGTCTTTAGATTGTGGCAATTCTTTATTTCCAAACCCAGTGTGTAAACAATGTTTAGGCCATTAATATTGGGGCCTCATAGGTGTGTAATACTCTGACCACATGTAACAAAATACTATATAGTTTTTTTATAAAACTACTTTCTATTTCTGTCGGACACCCTGCATATTTTATCAATTACAGCCTAAGTTTCACAAGTAACTCATAGATTATGGACAAGCCCAATAAAAATAAATGCTTGAATTCAATAATTACGAAGAATATATTTATTATATAATTATTTGCAGCCAAGCAATTCTGTGAAGTTAAGTATCCCTACAAGGCACAAAATGATGATGAGTTAACCCTGAAAGAAGGCGATATAGTTACATTAGTAAGTAAAGAAAGTCAGGACCCCGGTTGGTGGCGAGGTGAACTAAATGGTAAAGTCGGAGTGTTTCCTGATAATTTTGTGATCCTACTGCCTGGACTAGATGGAGTTAAAGAAGATAAAAAATCGCCTAGAATAGTCACAGAAACAGGTTAGTAACAATACTTGCTTTAAACATATACAGGGTGACAGGTAAATAGGTGTAAATCATTTTAGGAGGTGATAGTACAGCTCCTTTGCTATCAAAATTAGTACATAATACCATACCCTATATTCAAAGGTTAAAAAGTTATGGAAGATTTAATTTTTTTTAAAAAAACAACCCAGATTACAGAGTAAAATAGTTGAGATAAAAAAAAGTTGGTGATTAAACATTCTTTTTTCGGTGGTTTCAGGTTATTATTTAAATAAATAATTCTCATAAATTAAAAAACATATGAAAACACTACTGAAAACGTATTTATTTTCATTTAAATGTTAAATGAAAATTTTTATTTTCAACTTTCACATTAAGAAGTCTTTTTTTTCAAAAAAATCATAATAAAGAAAATGTACAAATAACTGCAAAAACTTCCTCGTTTCATTAGGTTTCTAAAATGATATAATAACATATCTGTAAGTAAACTATTTAACCAATATTACTTTGCTAGAAAGGACCGCTAAACGCATTTCATTGTACTGAGCAGGTAAACCGAGCCTTTCATGGTTCGACCCTTTTCGTTATTTTTTGTGCCCTGTGCCGTTATTCGGGTTTAAGTATTCGGAATCTGTCGTCGCTCCTCGGAAGCAAGCTCTGCGTGCGTTATGAATTGACACAGCTGATTGATCAAGGAAAGGGAACTAAGGCTTAGGTTAGTTAATAGAATATCAACCTTTAACGCGGTAGGACGTTCTTTTACTTTTTTGATCAGTTTTAATAATGGCGAGTTACCGTAACGAAGAGTACGCTGATATTCTGTTTTGTTATGGTTTAAGTGATGGAAATTCCGTTGAAGCCAGGCGAGAATACGAAAACCGTTTTCCGAATCGGCGAATACCGAGTCATCGAGTATTTCCTTCTGTGTACCAACGCGTCAAGGAAAGTGGACAGGTTCATGAGAGACGTCATGATGCTGGTAGACCTCGGTTGTTTGACGACGAAGATCGAGAGGCAATACTGGAATGCTACGGCAGAGACCCGACGACGTCTACACGAGTTATAGCAAAGCAGCTTGGTTTAACTCAGTGGAAAGTTTGGTTCGTTTTGCATTCGGCGAGACTTTACCCTTTCCATTACACACCGGTTCGAGTATTAGAAGAAGGAGATCCCGCAAGAAGAATTGATTTTTGTCGATACATGCTTCATCAGGATCAAGAAGAAAACGACTATTTAACTAAAATATTGTGGACCGACGAGTCTAAGTTTGACAGAGAGGGGACGACAAATTATCACAACTTACATTATTGGGCCCCACAAGAGGCAAATCCCCACATGGCAAAGCCAAGAGCCCATCAAAGATTTTCGGCAAACGTGTGGATGGGAATCATTCATGCGTATCTAATTGGACCAGTTTTTTTGCCTGACAACCTGAATGGCGAATCCTATGAAAACTTTTTGAGATCCGAACTCTGGGAGTATCTCGAAGACCTGCCTCTGAATATCAGGATGCAGACGATCTACCAACACGATGGCTGTCCCGCGCATTTCCGTCTGGGTGTTAGACAGTGGCTGGACGAGAAACATCCTTGTCGTGGCCGAGGTGGACCGACACCGTGGCCAGCGAGAAGCCCAGATTTAACACCGTGTGACTATTATTTATGGCGGCACATGAAGTCACTGGTGTACGCTGAGCCCATAGACACTCTTGCACAGTTGAAAGAAAGACTTAGTGCTGCTGCTGACACTATCAGAGGACAACTAACTGGCCGCATCACGCGTACCAACATGAGAAAAAGACTACGGGCTTGCATAAGAAACGGCGGGCGTCAGTTCGAACAACAATTGCAATGAATTTTACCTTCATTTTATTATTGTATTTTACTTACCAATTGTAGTAAGTTTTAGTCAGTTTTTATTATTCGGTAGTACAATTACACCTGTGTAAATAATCTAATCGTGTAACTTAACCGTAGTTTAAAATAATAACTATCCCATAGCTTACAGTTACATTATTTTCACAAAAACACTTTCTTATCAATCAGAGAGTTGTGAAAATAGGAGACAATACATTATGTTTAGTTTCACACAGTTTTTGTGCACTTATCATACCAATTTAGATTCCTTATGAAACAAGGATATTATTTAAATTGTTTGTACGATTTTTTGTATACTGATTTTTTTGTAAAACACCTTACTTACTGTAAAACGTTATTTGTTTTTCTTAGTTAAACATTTTTGAATGAAAATAAATACGTTGTTTGGTATTGTTTTCGAATCTTTTTTAATTTATAATAGTTAATTATTGAAATAATAACCCAAAACCACAAAAAACAAATGTTTAATCGCCAACTTTTTTCTCTCTCGACTTTTTTACTCTGAAATATGGATTGTTTTTAAAAAAATCTTAAATCTTCAATAACTTTTCAACGTTTGAGTATGGTATATAGGGTATGGTATTATATACTAATTTCGATAGCGAAGGGGCGGTACTATCACCTCCTAAAACGTTTTACACCTATTTACGTGTCACCCTGTATATACAAAAGCTCTTTAAAATATTCAAGGTTATTCATGTTACATTGCAGGTGCCATCAAGCCTAGCTCTATAGCCTCACAACGTAAATCACTGGAAGTGAAATCGCCTGCCATCGATGCCAAGCCATCTCCAGAGCCTAAGCCAGACCTCAGCCCTTCTAGTACTAGCGTAAAAACTCCGCCTGTGCCAAGCAAAAAGCCTCTAGTTTCACTTAAGAAGTCTCCCTCTGGCAGCTCCGGAAGTTCGGGAATTTTTTCGGAAATCCGGAGAAAGGTTGGGAAGGTAATGTCACAGATTTTACTTTACATCATCGGCGAGCAACTTATCTCACATTTCTTCTGTATTAAGCTTGTTGATCACATTTCTGTACGTGGCTGCTGATTTTTGTGAAGGGTTGTAGTGGTATATGCTTCAATAACTCGTGATTTTTTACGCTTTATTCAAAAAAAAATTTGGTTAAATTTTTTCAATCCCTTTTCCATACTTTCTCGAAAAATAACAGTATGACAGGAGATATTTGTTTTAAAAAAACTTGTATTTTTTTAGACAATGTCGATATGTGAAAAAAATTTTGAGACTGTTCAAAAAATAAACGAGATAACAAATATTTAAAAAAGAAAGTTATGCTGCCGCGCCATGCATTATGTATTTTTTTATACATATATCTTGAACTACACACTTTGAAGTATTTATTTGTTATTATTTTTTTTTATTTTAGTTGGCTGATGCTGTGGATGGAGCTGCAAGTAGTAAAAGTTCAAAAGCGTCCGCGGAAAAGGAAGAGGGTAAAGACGATAATGCTTTTGATCAAGTGGAGCGCAAACAGTTACTTACAGACGTTAGAGCTACCAGAGTCAAAGCACCAGGTAATATTTGGTTATCTGATTTTTTTTTTTGTAGTATTGATTCTTCTTTAAAGATATGATCGAAGTCCAGTCTTAGAAATGGAGCAAATGGATGCAATTTTTTTAGGGCGACGTGTGAGTTCTGATGAGCACAAAATTGTGTTTGCCAGATAGAGATATTCTACTAACAAGCACAAAATGTCGACAGTGTTGCTTGTGTAATACAACAAAAAAGTACCGGTGCTTCTATTTTTGGGGGGGCTAACGAATCGGACATGCTTGTTGCCTTATTCCGGTGCTCAGTTGTATGTACTGGGTTGTCCAATAGGGACGCAGGAAAGTAAACGTCAATTTGACATAGACGCCATCTTTGTTTTCTGTCACCGACATGTCATTTTGTTAGTTGAATGTTTACCATTGATCGCTACGGAGTCGTATTCGATTGAAGACCGCATTCAAGTTATTCAAATGGTGCAAAAATAAAAAACACGTTTCGCGCGCTTCGTGAACATTTCGGTCGCAACAACCGCCCAAACGAAACAACCATCGGTCGTCTGGTGCGTAAATTCGAGGCAACAGGTTCTGTGGCAAATCTGCCAGGCTCTGGCCGGCCAAGGAGCGTTCGCACACCGGAAAATATTGCTGTTGTGAAGGAGAGTGTGAGAGACGATCCGAAACGATCAACAACGCGTCGATCCCAAGAATTGAGCATTTCGAGAACCAGTTTGCTCCGCATTCTCCACAAGGATTTGAATGTACACGCCTACAAGATCCAATTGACGCAAGAGCTGCGTCGGGCCGACCATTTTTCGCGCCGAACGTTCTCAGATTGGCTGCTTGAACACCGCCAAATTGATTCCAATTTTTCATCAAAAATCATGTTCAGCGACGAAGCGCATTTCACTTTGAATGGGACGATAAACAAGCAAAACTGCCGCATCTGGGCGAACGAAAATCCCCGTGAGTATCAAGAGCAGCCGATGCATCCTCAAAAAGTGACTGTGTGGTGTGCATTGTGGTCAAAAGGCATCATAGGACCTTACTTTTTCGAAAATGCGGCCGGGGACGCCGTTACCGTCAATTCTGAGCGATATCACGTGATGATAGAGGACTATTTTTTGTCGCAACTTGAAGGAATGGATATGGACGATGTTTATTTCCAACAAGACGGTGCAACATGCCACACAACCAACGTCAATATCCATCGATTGCAGTCCTTCTTCGGTGATCGCGTGATTTCGCGCAGAGGAAATGTGCCATGGCCACCAAGATCGTGCGATTTGACTCCCTTGGACTTCTTTTTATGGGGATATTTGAAAAGCAAAGTCTACGTCAACAAACCAGCCACCCTCCAAGAACTCAAAAACAACATCATTGCCGAGATAAATGCCATAGAATCGACCATGTTGCAAAATGTCATTGAAAATTTCGACCATCGCGTGGACGTCTGTAAATCCAGTCGTGGTGAACATTTGAGCGATATTATTTTACATACATAAATGGTATAAATGAACCTTCAAAATAAAGTATCCAACTTGATTTGAATATCAATCTTTCTTGTTTTAATATGCGTTTTGGACAACCCCATATAATCTCTCGAATTTATATCCGAACCATGATGATTTTTATGGTACATAAGATCGCAGGATATAATTAATCGTTATCAAACGCTATTAAAAAGATTATCATATTGGAAAATACCTTATCTTTTCTGCTGGTGCGTGATAAGGACCTATAAAAATTATACCCGTTTGTCAATAGCAAATTTATGAGCTGAAATCAAGGAACAAGTTTCACACTCAAATCTTTAATTCGATCAATTATTTCAAATTTCGTCCATAGCAATCGCGCGCATTTGAACTTCATGAAATTTCATGTGAGCAGTTCCTGTCAACTTGTTAACTTTTTGTGCTGGTCAGCTGGTGGGAATACGCACCGCCTATTTGGGACCTTGTACCAAACGCAACAAAGGATGTTTTGCCGAATTCATCAAGTAATAGGACGTTTTTTGGCTGCTCACACATTTGAAGCTAAACAGTGCTATCATGATTCCATCTTTATCTTGGTGTTATACTGGGTGCGCCATATATTACTTTTTTTACCTATAAGTTTATGTGTTACCATGTACCAAAGGTATGCCACGGGGAACGTTATCGCGGCATGTTAACAGACTTTTTGTGGCCACAATTGATCGTATTGATGCCGACGATCTTTGGTTTCGTCAAGACGGAGTAACGGCTCACACATCTCGCCAAACAATCGTCTTATTGCACACGAAATTTCAAGACCGCATAATTTCACGAAATTCAGATGTCAGTTGGCTCCCGAGATCGTGCGATTTAACACCTCTTGACTCTTTTCTTTGGGGTTTTTTGAAAGAAAAAGAGTATGCGAATGGTCCCCGGACCATTCAAGACCTAAAGCGCAATATTCGGACTGAAATTGCGGCCATAGACCCGATTATTCTGAGAAAAGTCATTGAAAATTTTGATGTTCGGATGTTGGACTGATGTTATTTTTCATACATAAATGGCATAAACCTACCTTCATTTATCAATGAAAAAATTCGATTTCATCTCGTAAAAAGCGTGTTGATTTTTCAAATAGAAAAAAAGTAATAGATGACGCACCCTGTATAAGTATAACTCAAAAATGAGGAGACATCATTTTCGCCATATATTGGTATATCATACATCGTCTTTTATTAAAAAATTGGTAACGCGACAGTTGTTAAATAATTATGCGTATTCTTAACTTGCATCAAATATGTTTTTACGATCTCAGATACACCAAATTTTGAATAAATTGAAATGAATCATCCGCGTTACATCATCCATATACGATGAATAATACCCATGGAGTAACGTATTAAAATGTTTGCCGGTGTCTCATTAGCTCACTTAAAATCAAGTTCTGCTTTAACAGTGAAACAATTGGCATTTGAACAATTCGCCATCGAATACGAGGGTGGCTAATTAAATTCAGAGCAATCCTTGTGTATGTTAGCAAAGATGTAACTTTGGCGAGTAGCGGTCAAGTCCAACATAATATTTAATAGATGTTTGATTTGTTGAAATCGGCGCTCCCAATCACAGGTGATAATATCTTGCATTCCAGATTCGTTATCCTAAAAGTGTACCTTGTGAGGCTTGCTGTAGTGCTCTAGAAATAATGCGATTCTTACCTTTTTATATACGAGGTATGTCCGGAAAATACGAGACGAGTCTTTGTTCTACGATTTCGATCTGGAGCTGAAATCACAAAGGATGGAGTGAAAGCAAGCAGGGGCACCGAGAACAAAGTCGAAAAATCAAGGTCCAATGTGAAAACAATGTTGATTATAGAAAATACCTGAACAATTGTAAAATAACGTTATTGTTCCACTTTTATACGTATTTTCCGGACAACCTCGTATTTACCAGATAAAAGTTCAATATACTTTCATAATATACTAAGTGACATATAAATCCGAACACCCAGTTTAAATGGTTTTATTTTAATAAAATTTTGTATAAGTACTTAATGAAGCATAATAAGTAAATGATTGCACTGCTTTAAAGCCCTTTGACCTTTAATAATGTGTGGATGCACCCTGATGTGCTACGCATTCTCCAACGCGCCTAGTCATGCTTCTGATCAGGTGGTCAATGTCCTCCTCTGGTATCTCATTCCAGGCAACCACCAACTCCTCTCGAAGTGCTTCTAGAGTCTGAGGAGGTCGTTGCAAATTGAGCAATCTCCTACCCATCATATCCCACGCGTGCTCAATTGGGGATAAGTCGGGAGATCTTGGTGGCCATGGTAACAATGTGACATCATTATGTTGAAAGAAGTCTATTGTGACTCTTGTAACATGTGGTCTGGCATTATCTTGTTTGAAAGTTGGATCTGCCAGGGTGTCAAGATAGATGAAGATTAAAGGTGACCTGGAACCATAAACTATAGCACCCCAAACCATAACTCCAACAGTGTGATGAACATGTCTTTCAACAAAAAACTGTGGATTCCTCCTTTCACCACGTCGCCTTCTAACCTTGGCACGACCATCGTGCATGCCTAAACAAAATCGAGACTCGTCACTAAAGACAATACTGTTCCATTCCTGATCCCAGAGTTTCCGTTGTCTGCAACACTCAAGGCGATTACGTCGGTGTTCTCGAGTTAAAGGGAGGTCCCAGTGTGGTCGGTATGAAAACAAGCCAAAACTTCTCATTCGTCGGTAAACACTTCGCATGCCAATAGGTCTTCCGTGTTCTGCAAACCATTTATTTGCAATGGACCTGGTAGTGGAGAAACGGTCCCTTAATGCCAATAATCTTAGGCGGCGATCTTCACGGTCTTTGCGTACGGTCTTCTCGAAGCCATGCCTGACAACACCTAACCACAGTGTCTACACTTCTTTGCACTCTAACTGCAATTGCCCGAAAAAAAAGTCCAGCTTCCCGAAGTCCTACTATACGGCCCCTATCAAACTCACGAAGTTGACGAAATCGTACTCTAGGCATCGTAACCGATCGTAAAGGATGTCAAGAACCAAAATCCGCCAACGTTGATTCTTTACTGCGGCTGAAATATTCATTTTTAGAGCGTTAGTGAATTAAAAAAAAGCAGTATAAAAACCGGAATGTCCAACTGATACGGCTGAAAATTTTTTCACTTGTTATTTACAGTAAGATAAATACATTCACCAACTTTTATTAAAATAAAACCATTTAAACTGGGTGTTCCGATTTATATGTCACTTAGTATATTTTCGGCACAATAATATATTTCTAGTTTTTCATACCTGTTATAAAATGTTTCATCACAAAGTGTACTTCTTCTTAAACATGAGATGTGAGACTTCCGAAAAATGAGGTTTTAAGAAAATCAAAGATTTTTCGAAGAGAAAAAGTGATAAGAATAAAAGTAATCATCCATCTCATTCTTCCATAAAAGTGGAATATTCGAATACAATTTCAGAGCTGTACTAATATTTGTTAACACGTTACGAATAAAAATGCATTTTTTGACAAAAAAAAATGAAAACATTGTTTTTAGTCATCTCTATACACACCAATAATCAGATGAAAAGGATTTAGGGACAGCATTTTTTTAAACTAAATTCTTTTGGTTCATGATGGACTACATGAAACCAATGGAAAAGAAAGCAGGAGCAACAATGAATTTAACTAGCTCAACCAAGTATTTTTTTTGTCTGTAAGGACGTCGTCCGCCGTCGTCCTTCCACAAGGAGGAGGAATCGTCAATACCAAACGGCAATGCAGAACATTTGCTTGACTCCACGGAATCTCATCATACTTCCGAATCCGAAGGGGAAAAATCACGACTGAAGGACTGGGAGCGGGGAAGTTCCTCTATAGACAATGCTGGTAAGTATAGTATCGTAAATTTAAATCCCATCGAAGATGGGCGGGATATGATGGGGAGGAGACTTTCCACTATGCACCATCCGCCACAGACTCCGCGAAGTTCTAATTGCTTGGAATGAGGTGCCACAACCAGACATCTCATTTTGCCGATGCCTTGATATTTTATTATTTTTTTCTTATTGTCAATAAAATTTCGTGAGAATGTTATCGATTCATTCTTGATCTAAGACGACCTCATTGCCAAAAAATCAAATTGAAGAAATAATTTTTGCTGGGTGTAACACTTCTAATGTCACGGAGTATATTTCGAAAACTAGAAAGAAATTTTCAAACAAGAGTCGTACGGTTTCGAGGTGCCAAAATGATGGTAACCTTGACGATGACCTTGACTGCAACATCCAAAGTCCTTTCAAGGTTAAGTGAATATTTTAGATAGAACGACCACTTTTCACCTCGGAATTGAAAAGGAGTAAGTTTTACGCCCGAAAATTGGACATGATTTTGACCTTTATCTTCAAGGTCATGTTAAGACATCAAAAAAAATTTGCTCTGACAAAAATGTTGGACAGCATAGTTGTGGGGATCGCCTAAAAGTGACCTTGACTAAGGTGAAGTCAAAATTTCTAAAGGAAACGCTCTCATTTTAATACTGGAAAAGGCCGGAAATATTACGTCCGAATGTGACCTTGACCTCGAATAATTTAAGCTTGACACGACCTTAACTCAAAAGTCAAGGTCACATCAGAACCTAAAATTTACTATATTTTCCATTTTGAGTAGGTATAACAGTGCGTAGATATTTTGACTTGACCTTGAAGGTCAAGGTCAAGGTCACCTTTGGGTGACCCCACAAACTTCACAACTGTGACATTTTTTGCTAAAGCAAATTGTTTTCGATGCATTCGTTTGACCTTGAAATGACTTTGAAGGTCAAGGTCACGTCCAAGGGGATGTTTGGACGTAAAACGCACGACTTGACCTTGAAATGACGGTGACGGTCGTTGTCAAGGTCATTATCAAGGTTGCCATCATAGAATGTGCAGTTTTCGAAATATTTAGGTGGGGAGAGTAAAATGAGACATCGTATATAGGAGAAAGGGAGGGGACGTCACTCGGACTCCAGCGAGGGTGCCTTAGAGATCCGCCGGGTGGTACCGCCAGAGACCGTCTACCACCAAAGGACAAACACAACATCCATAGCAAAACACATTCTCTTCGAACGGGACTCGAACCCGCGTTACTATGTTATCCAGATTGGTAGACAACAACGCGACCGCGCTGCCTGACTGATTTGAAACTATTTCAGATGGGGAAAAACCTAAGCTGCGCGAATGGGAGAAGCATAAAGCGCCATGGTTAGAAGAAATGAAACTAAACCAGGCCAAAAGGAGCTCCACGTCGCCTGGGAGGGAAGCGTCAGCTTTGCGGCTTACCCCAGCCGAAGCACCTGCTGCTGCCCTGCCCGTCGAGGAAGCTAAGACTTCTGTTGGTGAAAAGGAGGTAAGTGTGACTTGAACGTAATGTCATACGATCAGCATCAAAATTTGGGGAAAATAGAGATCCATAAATTAGAATATGCAGGGTGATTCACAAGTCGTGACCAAAATTGAAACATCATATACAGGACCGCATTTTGAGGGGATCTTCTATGTAACATTTTTTTCTCGAGGGCCTCATTAAAAAGATGTAGGAGTTTGAAAATATTTTTTTTTACTATTTTCATTAGAAAAAATCCGCTGTATCTCCGCAATTGGCGCACGTTGATTTTAAGTAAAGAATTTTGAATGTGGACAATATTTAGGTAAATCCACATACCAAATTTTAGTTCATTTCGGTTGACGGTTTTGAAGATATTAAAAAAATGTTTTGTTTTTGTTTTTAAACTTCAACACCTCGTATCTTTTTAATGAAGGCCTAGAGGAAAAATTGTTACATAGAAGACCCCCATAAAAATGCGGTCCTGTGCATGATGTTTCATTATTGGTCGCGACTTGTAAATCCATAACACGTTTTACATGTAATTGAGATACTTTGGAATAAATGCAGAACATTATTCATATACGGCATCTCCGTTTTTCAAGTTTTCCACTCAGTAGTCCTTGAAAACTGCACTTACTGAATAATGTCATATTTCGTACATAATTTAAAAAATTGACCGATACTTATTGAAAAACCGTTCGCAAAGCATGCCGCATCGTGACATATTTTTCTTTCTAGCACGTTGAAAGCCCCTCAAAATCGACATCCCCGACGGACTCGACCGCTTCAGTCTCTCACCCAACCACGCCACCGTTCGTCCCGTTGCACTTGAAACCGAAGACTTCGCCGCAAGCTGAGGCCGCCGTTCGTACGAAGACTCCTCACAGCGTGACCGCAGCGCACAGGCACTCGACCGGATCCCCTGTATCTGCCGCGGCGGGCAAGGATGCGCCCAAGGAGCAGCCTGTTCGCCTACAGAAGGAGCCTAAGCCGTTGGCCCCATCGCCGCCCAAGGCGCTGCCCTTTAACGCGGTAAGTTTTCTTTGCGAAAGTAAAATCGAATGATCGAGATCCTAACGGCAGAACCTTGCGAGTTCTCAAGGCCCAGCGCGAATCTACTTGGACCGCTAATATTTATGACTTTCGAATATCTTATACAGGATGGCAAACGTTATGGTAGTTATTATTTAAATGAGTGATAGAGGGAGTTAAAAAAAGCAAAAAGTTTCATATAACATGGGAGCCAAAACGGCATTTTTTAGAGAAAAGCGACTTTAAAGTAAAATATATCTGAGAACGCCGCAAAACTATGCAAAAGGATAACTAACCACTGTTACCGTTTGCGATCGATTGCCGGTTCGATAAGGGTGATGAAAGACCGACGCGCTGTTGTCATGTGTGTTTTAAATATTTAATTTAATGAATCTTACTTACTGACTACAAATTTTGGCTTAACTTAATGCCATTTATTTGTTAATTACCCAATTTAAAAACGTTTTAGATTAGATTATAAAAATTAGTAAGATTGTGGTCTATATAAAGCACTTAAAGTTGAAAACTATATTTGAAAAAAGCAATGGCACCTCTCTTTCTAACATATGTGAACTCAAAGCGTCAGTCAAATTCGGTTCTCGCTACGTACTCTAATTGCAAACAAATATCTGCTAAATTTCAAGGTACGTAAAAAATATGTGAATCCTTGGTCAAATGTGTTCTAAATTATCGTAATATAAACTGGTGGACAGTTGCTTTGCAACATGGAAAATTTTACCTAAATTTAAATCTCGATATTTTCGGAACGGAAAGACATATCGAGTTGTAGTATTCGGGAGGTTCTTGACCAACTCTTTGAGAACACGTGCATGGTTCGATCGGTATATTTATTTTATTTATCCATTTATACGGGGCGAGCAAGGAAATCAGGTTTTTTTGCAAAAATTGGGGCTGCCAGATTCTCAATTTTTGATCTTGGAAATTTTTCTATGCATCTTTTTGATCTTCGGACTATCGTAAAAAAATAATTTCTCAATTTTTTTCGCAAATCAAATTATCGAATTTTAAAAACATTTATCCCTAAAGAGGAATTTTTTGGGGTTTCTCTTGAGAATGGGTATTTTTTCTCATCCTGTTGCATAAAATGGAATTTCTCTGCGCCCGAGAAGATATTGAAGCACTCATTGAACGTTAGTGCCTCCAGTGGCGTGCAGTAAAAATTTGCTACTTTGACATTGTATAATTTAAACCGAATTTATAAATTTTACTATGCATTTAAACAGCATAATGAACAAGTCGAAGTGACTACTCTTAATATAGTAGTGTATTCCAGTGGCGTGACGCTAAAATCATTTTTTGGTTTGGTAAGAAGTGCTAATTAACTTGAAAAATTTTATTTTTCAAAATGCTATGATTCTGGCCAACACTGCAATCTTTTATCTGGAATTTTTTTATCCTTCTCATTCAGCAATGGCGTACGCGTCTTCAGTGGAGATGTCTTCCAATAGATTATAGACTCTATTAAATTTTTAAACATCAAATAATTGATTAACATTAACAATATGTAACATTTTAGAAAACAAACTTTTTAGGACCAGTTAAACACCTAAATTATTCATTTATGACAAAAACGACCTTTTTACAAAACATCGGCTACAGCCTGGCATCTTTGTGGCATACTTTTCAGAAGGTTATTAACATATTCTTGGGATACATTTTCCCGCTCTTCCTGAATGGCCTCAAACAGCTCTTCCATTGTTTTGAAGAGCATTTTGAAAATTAATTTTTTTAAAGTCAAAATGCTTTCGGTGTACGCCACTGGAATACACCCTTATACTAAGAGTTGTTGATTAAGCTGTTCAATTGCATAGTAAAATTTATAAGTTCTGTTTAAATTACATAATGTAACAAAGTAACAAATTTTTGCTGCACGCCACTGGAAGCACTAACGTTCAATGGGTGCTTTAATCTTTTTTCGAGCGCGAGAAATTCCAGTTTATGCAACAGTGTGAGAAAAAATACTCATTCTCAAGAGAAACGCCAAACTCTGCTAAAAAAACTGACTTTCTTCGCTCACCCTGTATAAGTGGGCAAATAAAAGGAATATACCGGTCGAAGCCTGTACGTGTTCTCGAAGAGTTGGTCAAGAACCTCCCGAATACCGCAACTGGATATCTTTTTCCGATAAAAAAATATCGAGATTTTAATTTGGGCAAAATTGTTCAATGTCCACCAGTTTATTATATACTAAGTGACATATATATCCGAACACCCAGTTTAAATGGTTTTATTTTAATAAAATTTTGTCCCTTTGACCTTTAATAATGTGTGGATGCACCCTGATGTGCTACGCATTCTCCAACGCGCCTAGGCATGCTTCTGATCAGGTGGTCAATGTCCTCCTGTGGTATCTCATTCCAGGCAACCACCAACTCCTCTCGAAGTTCTTCTAGAGTCTGAGGAGGACGTAACGCAAATTGAGCAATCTCCTACCCATCATATCCCACACGTGCTCAATTGGCGATAAGTCGGGAGATCTTGGTGGCCATGGTAACAATGTGACATCATTATGTTGAAAGAATTCTATTGTGACTCTTGCAACATTATCTTGTTGGAAAGTTGGATCTGCCAGGGTGTCAAGATAGGGTAAAAGATGGGGTTCTAGAACTTCGTGGATATAACGCTGCGCGTTCATGTTACCTCTGATGAAGATTAAAGGTGACCTGGAACCATAAGCTATAGCACACCAAATCATAACTCCAACAGTGTGATGAACATGTCTTTCAACAAAAAACTGTGAGTTGCTCCTTTCACCACGTCGCCTTCTGACCCTGGCACGACCATCGTGCATGCCTAAACAAAATCTAGACTCGTCACTAAAGACAATACTGTTCCATTCCTGATCCCAGAGTGACCGTTGTCTGCACCACTCAAGGCGATTACGTCGGTGGTCTCGAGTTAAAGGGAGGACCCAGTGTGGCCGGTATGAAAACAAGCCAAAACTTCTCATTCGTCGGTAAACACTTCGCTTGCCAATAGAATAGGTGTTCTGCAAACCATTCATTTGCAATGGACCTGGTAGTGGAGAAACGGTCCCTTAGGCGGCGATCTTCACGGTCTGTTGTTCTACGGCGGCGTCCAGTGCCCCTTGCTCTTTGCGTACGGCCTTCTCGAAGCCATGCCTGACAATACCTAACCACAGTGTCTATACTTCTTTGCACTCTAACTGCAATTGCCCGAAAAGAAAGTCCAGCTTCCCGAAGTCCCTCTATACGGCCCCTATCAAACTCACAAGTTGACGAAATCGTACAGGTCTCCGTACTCTAGGCATCGTAACCGATCGTAAAGGATGTCAAGAACCAAAATCCGCCAACGTTGATTCTTTACTGCGGCTGAAATATTCATTTTTAGAGCGTTAGTGAATTAAAAAAAGGCAGTATAAAAACCGGAATGTCCAACTGATAAGGCTGAAAATTTTGTCACTTGTTATTTACAGTAAGATAAATACATTCACCAACTTTTATTAAAATAAAACCATTTAAACTAGGTGTTCGGATTTATATGTCACTTAGTATATTTTTATTTGACTTGCGGTGCAGATTCCGTCGAACGCACCAGCACAGAAACAGGAAAGCGATCCAGACTCGCCAGCAGCTATCACCGGCCGCCAGTACGCAGACCTGCTGGACAGGCTGCAAAGGCTCGAGCAGACAGTGGAGAAGCAAGCGCAAGCGATCGAAGAGCTGCGCTACAAGCTGCAGGTGGAGACGGATATGCGCATGATGCTACAGGAGAGGGTGTCACAGGACGTGAACGTGTGATGGCTTGCACGACGGTGTTTGCTTTCCGAATGGAGGTACAATCTTTTGTTTAGCGGCGATGAACGGATGTACAGGGTCGTGGTTCATGAATAACTCAAAACCTAGGAGTCAGATTCATAGATAGAGAGCTTCCTTGAGGCGTGAGAATTCTTTGGAATCGTGAGCGTCCTTTGTAATATTTTCCATAAAAGTATTATTTGGTACCTGCATCAAATAGGACAAAAGAAAAGTTAACATTGGATACTGATGAAAAAAACTAAATTATGGTTTAGTGTGAATTTGCTTTATACTGTCATTGGTTATTGATCAAATATTAATGTGATTTTTGTGGATGTCCAATTGTATGCTGTCCTATAAACCCTATTCAATTTGCTAGCTGGTAAAACTGTCATAGCATTTATTAATAGTTGCTATATACTTAAGCAAGTGATTGTAGCTCCATTCAAGAAGCAGACATAACACATATGAATTCATTTAAGCGGTGTATAGTCCAGACCTTGTACTAGTAGCCGTTACGGCAAGTCGATAAGATTTTTTTACCTTTTAGCCTAATTTTGTTAAATTTATATTGTATAAATAAGCACAGAAAAGTTATAAAACACAAGCAAACGGATATCAGCTTGGTAATTTTAGCCTTTTTTCAAAAATCTACATATATTTACAAGTATTTATTTTGCATTTTAACAAATGTCAATTCGTTTTTAGCTATTTATGATAAATATATTTTTATACATATTGAAGGAAAAGCGGTAAGTGATCGGGAATGTTCCCTTATTGAAATATTTGCTGTAACAGAAAATGAGTGAGACTTGCATTTTACTGAAATGGTCTCACAAGTCACAAATATACAGAGGTTTAAATATGCTTAGATATGTCATCCTTTACCAAACATCAGTATTGATCCAACAATAAAACAGTTACATTTTTTTTTTATATTTGTACAATGATCTTGGAAAAAACAATCTGAGAATTTAAAAAAATTGAAATTTGGAGAAAATTTGAATTTGAAAATTGGGGAAATATTTGAAAAATTCGAAAATATGGAAAATAATTTGAAGATTTGGGATTTTGATAGAAATTTAGTAATTTTGAAAAAAATAGAAATATTAGAATTTGGAAATAAATTTAGATTTATTGTAAAATATATAAAATATACCAAAAATCGACGCTTTTGATTATACTTTTGTTGATTTGAAACTAAAAATTCATAAAAAAATAGTTTTAAAAACTAAAAAACACGCTTCAATAGCAAATCGAACTAAAAAGTAGAAAATAATTTTCAAGTATAGGAGAGTTTGTGATACTGCAATAGAAAGTCCGACAATCAAGTATGATTAATGAATTTGGAATAATAATAATAATAATATTTATTTACTCTAAAATACAGGGAACATGAAACGAGTAAATAAATATAATATATCCATAGGAGGACAACGCCTGTGCATGGATCATATGTATGTTGAATTGCAAAATATAATAAAATAGAGAGAAAAAAGAAAATATTGGTAAGAATGGTAGAGCATTTATTGTGTAATATTTGAGATTATTTTATTAATTTGATTTCTCCCAATCGTGTTAATAAATTTTTTTAATTTTTTTTTGAAGCCTAATGTATTGCGTAATTGTTTTAAATTATTCGGTAAATGTTCGTACAATTTTGGAGCTATATACAGGTGACATCGTTTCATTAGGGATTTGTTTGGTTTAGGAACATTTTTTGCGCGTAATTTATATCTGGTTTTATGATTATGTTTAATTATGTCGTGTTCACTAATAGTTTTGTGATAATGAGTGATGGTATGTAAGAAGTAAAGTTGTTTAGTATCATATACTTGTGCATCATTATATAAGTCATTAGTTGGGTATAATTTTGATTTGTCTAACATTGATTTTAAAATTCTTCTTTGAAGTACATCTAAATCGTTAAAGTATGTCGTGCATGCAGCACCCCACACTACTATACCATATGTTATGTGTGGCTCGACTAAAGCTTGATATATTATTCGTAGATAATATTCAGTTAATATACCGGTTAGAAATTTTATTTTATATGCTATGAATCTAATTTTCTTTAGTATGTGAGAAATATGTACATCCCATCTCAAGTGGGGATCTAGATAAATTCCTAAATATTTTGTATCATTAACTCTATTGATTTTTATATTTTTATCATTTACCTTAAACCGAAGGTGGTTATATTTTGGTAGATGATTAGATAGTGATGAAAATGGTAAAAAATGAGTTTTAGTAAAGTTAATTGTTAATTTTCCTTTATTAAACCACTGAATAATTTTGCAAAAGTCATTTTGGATAATATCTTTTAAGTCGTTCCAATTCTTACCTTTATAGAGTATAGCAGTATCGTCTGCAAAACTGACTATTTTACCAGTACTGTTAATTTTGAATATATCGTTTAAATAAATATTGAATAACAGAGGACCCAAAATTGTACCTTGTGGAACACCACATTTAACAAACATTTATTAATATTAATATTAATAAGATCGATATAAGAATTAAGATATTAAAAAATGCAATTATAGCAAAAAATATATTATAATTCCATAACTCTAATTTTGTAAATATCAACTAAAAAAATTATTGTAATATCCAATATCAAGCACCGCACGCTGTTTTACTGTAATTAAATTTTTTGTTTTTTTTTTATTGATCTTTATTTATTAGTCATACTTGATTGTTGGACTTTTCGCAGTAATACAAAGTCTACTATACTTGAAAATTATGTTCTTCTTTTTAGTTCGAGTTATTGTTTTTTATTCTTTTAAACTCTAATTTGACGTATACAATAACAATAAATGGTAACTCTATAAATGGATTGTTGAACTTTGTAATATCATATTTTATACTCTTTACAATAAGAGCATGCAAAAATGACGTATCTCAAGCATATTTTTATCCTTTTAGCCATATCTTCTGTTTAAACTTGTTCTCAAAAGTACTTATCAATACCGAATTTCAATAATTGATTGTCTGTATTTTACTTGTTTCCATACGATGGAACCTCAATTTTCCACATACACAATAAGCCTAAGGTTAAATATGTCTGGTGTTTACTACATGGAAATTATTATGTCTGTAAAATTGCTCGGTAGATTGTACTGTAGAAGTAATGTCACTTTACAATGGAATATGACATTTTAGCTCATTAAAAACACAACTGTTGGATTAAAGATTGCAAAAAAAGAAAACACCACCTTCCATTTCAGCAACCATAATACCAGGTACAAATCTCTCCACGATGAATATTACTACTAAAATAATTGTTGGAGAATTTATGTTCAGTAACAAAATATCGAGCAATATCTCTTTGATTTCTTCATGTTTTATTGTATTTTTTACATAGTATTAAATGCGTGTTACTGAAAAAGGGTGATAGGTATGCTTAAAAATATAATTTAACGAGAAATATCTATAAATGAGTAAAATATATATTGTATATTTTTAAAATTATGTACCTAATTTTTATTATAATCTAAATGGCAACTGTAACATTCCATTTCAAAAAGTGTTTATCGAGAAACCATTTTTTGTATTGTGATCATCCCTGTTGCCATATCTACTTCATGTTCAACACATATAAGGTTCCTTTCCAGAAACGTAGTAAATAAATCTAATATATAGCATCAAATTACATTATAGATAATATAAATGAATTGGCCTCTAACAGTAAATGTATATTTCTTGATAAACACGTATCTATGTATATATTATGCATTTTTCAAATTGTACTTAAGCATATTTGTTGAATTGAATAAATAAGAAATTTAAGCTATTCTTTTCTTTAATCCTAGTATTCTTACTTTCTGAGAAATCAGGGATAAGTCTTGTAAGCAATAGTTTATCAGAGGAAACAACTGATTATCGAAAGATTAACCTTTTATTTTATTTTTTAACTGATTTCGTTCTGAATATTCTATCAAACACCTGCCAATTCGATAGGTGGGAGAGTTGGACAGTCGTTAACATTAAAGTGACAGCAAGCCCATATTTGATCAAAACTCTTTCAAAAAAACATCTTTCGGCTGTAATTTTTATCATACATAAATAAAGTAACACGACCCACCAGTAAAACCTGCATTGATCACTGCTTTATAAAGGATATTTCCAATATTTTTTCTTACATGCCTATTATCTATGAAACCGATATTACAGATCATTATTCCACTGTATTATTGATATCTTCACAAAATAAAAACCAGAACTGCCCAAGAGCAAAAATGAAAGAAACCTTGAATACAAATATTTCACTGACAACTCAAAGTTAATATTTAACGCACAAACGGAATCGTGGGACGAAATTTTTTTAACAAATTCTTTAGACGAAGCTACAAATTTATTAATACACAAAATTCAAAAAGTAATTGAAGTTAGTACTAATAAAGTGAAAATAAGCCACAAGGAAAAAAGCAGAAATGATTGGATGACCAAAGGACTAATAAAATCTGCAAACGAAAAAGAAAGACTATATAAAATCATGAAATATTTACCCACGAAAGAAAATATAGATCATTATAATCAGTATAAAAACAAATTTATAGAACTTTTGAGAAAAACAAAAAAAAATTACTATATAAAACAATTGAATAATAATTCACATGACTCTAGACACCTATGGTCCACTGTCAATGGTATATTCAATAAGTCATCCTATTCAAAAAACAATATTAATGAAATAAAAACAAAAACAGGACAGAAAACAGACAATATTCAGCAAATATGTGATGAGTTCATAGAATTTTTCACGAATATAGGAGAAAACTTAGCAAATAATATCAAACAAAATGCTGATATTCAGCTGCATGAAACAAGACTGAATAATTCATTTGTATTAACTGAAGTAGACTATCAGGATGTTTTCAATACCATTATGACTCTAAAAAATAAAAAAAGCCCTGGAGTTGACGAAATTAGAACTGAACATCTAAAGATACTGGCCAAACAAATAACAGAACCACTTGCTTATATCATTAACAATTCCTTCCAATCTGGAGTATTTCCATCAGCTTTCAAGACAGCAATCATCATACCTATCTATAAATCTAATGATAATACGGACGTCACTAACTATCGACCTATTTCACTTATATCAAGTTTTTGAGAAATTACTCCTTAATAAAATGATTAATTTTCTTAATAAATTCAAAATTCTAAATTCAAATCAATATGGTTTTATAGCGGGCAAATCTACAACAGATGGGGTATTAAGTATAGTAGATGAAATAACCCAAAATATAGATGGAAAAGTACCATCGATATGCGTATTTGTGGACTTACAAAAAGCGTTTGACACAGTTAACCACAATATACTTTTGGAAATCTTAGAAAGAATAGGTTTTCGTGGAAAGATGTATACTTTAATGGAAAATTATTTATCAAATAGACCGCAATCAGTAAAATTATTAAGCTCGTATAGTAAGAAATGTTGTTAAATGTGGTGTTCCACAAGGTACAATTTTGGGTCCTCTGTTATTCAATATTTATTTAAACGATATATTCAAAATTAACAGTACTGGTAAAATAGTCAGTTTTGCAGACGATACTGCTATACTCTATAAAGGTAAGGATTGGAACGACTTAAAAGATATTATCCAAAATGACTTTTGCAAAATTATTCAGTGGTTTAATAACCGAAAATTAACAATTAACTTTACTAAAACTCATTTTTTACCATTTTCATCACTATCTAATCATCTACCAAAATATAACCACCTTCGGTTTAAGGTAAATGATAAAAATATAAAAATCAATAGAGTTAATGATACAAAATATTTAGGAATTTATCTAGATCCCCACTTGAGATGGGATGTACATATTTCTCACATACTAAAGAAAATTAGATTCATAGCATATAAAATAAAATTTCTAACCGGTATATTAACTGAATATTATCTACGAATAATATATCAAGCTTTAGTCGAGCCACACATAACATATGGTATAGTAGTGTGGGGTGCTGCATGCATGACATACTTTAACGATTTACATGTACTTCAAAGAAGAATTTTAAAATCAATGTTAGGCAAATCAAAATTATACCCAACTAATGACTTATATAATGATGCACAAGTATATGATACTAAACAACTTTACTTCTTACATACCATCACTCCTTATCACAAAACTATTTTATTATATTTTGCAATTCAACATACATATGATCCATGCACAGGCGTTGTCCTCCTATGGATATATTATATACGTATTTATTTACTCGTTTCATGTTCCCTGTATTTTAGAGTAAATAAATATTATTATTATTATTATAATTTACTTTGAATATTTCATTTTATTACGTCTCTAGTCGAACAAAAGTTTAACTTCTTCTTTGGTCGACTTGCAGATCTTTTCAATATACACTGCCCAATCATTGTATTATAAAATGCACAGATGTGTCTCCTGCAAGTCCAATTGTATCGCTGAATGAATTTTTCTTTTATAAATTCTCAGTTTTATATAGGATAAAATATTTTTTTATTCATATGGGACTTATCCCAACAGTTGGGAAAAAGAACAATATTTTATTATATAAATATGTTTAATAACTATTTGATCTAACATTACATCATCATTAATAGAAGTACAATTTTCATTTTATCTACTATTTATTAGGGGAATATGGTTTTTTAGTGACTGCATTCGCACTTGGGCGAGGAAAACCCCTAGAAAACCTCAACCGTCACTGCTAAGATTAATTGTATCATGTGAAGAAAAATCAAGTCGTTCCACAATTCTGGGTTCATTTGTACAATCGAAAATCGCCAGCATGCCACAGTTATTAACCTAAAACAAAAAGTAGTATTGAAGTAATGGTTTCTACGAGGGTAATTTTTTAAGTATGAACCGTTTTGTAGTAGAGTCAGAGAATTTTTTTCATTTTTTAACATAGTCACCATAAACATTTAAACAAATTCAAGTTGTGGCAACAGTTTTCGGTTAGTGTAGCATCTGAAACTCGTCCTGCAGTTTTTATGTCGACTATTCCTCTCGTCTTAATTTCTACCAACAAACGCGCAATTTTAAATTACAAATGGCTTCTAGGTGGAAAATTGTATGATAGCATCTGCTAGCAATTTTTTCCATTTACCCACGACAAAACTTCACAACTGTTGTCTCCAAAAATTACAATACCTTCGATAACAAGTAATTATGGTCGCCTAGGACACCAGAAAACGACGTTAAACAATGTTTCTGATTTTATTGTCAATAAATTTGGAAGCTATGTGTATGCAGAATAATCTGTTACTCATGAAATAGTCTTGTCAAATACCATTCGGGCATCTAATTTTTTCCTGTGAAAAAAATCGAAAAAACAATGCAAAGTAATATTTTTTTAACAAAAAACATTCGTGCAGGTGCCACCAGCACTCATGGTTCTTGTTAAAATACTATTTAAGAACGTCTTTTTACGATTTTTTTCGGATAAATTAGATACCCTTATGATAATCCCCCATATTTCTCTGGTCAATCGAAACCTCATGTGTTGGAAAAAATCTTTACTGTAAACATGAAGAATAAATATGTTTAAGATTATGTAAAAAGTACCTCTTCATATTTCAATTATCAATTCAACTGATGTTCATTCTGCAATCATCTTCAAGAGCGTGAAGAAGTATAACTTTTGGCCTCAGAATTTTAGTTTCCCAAATATGTCCCTCAATTTCTTCAAAAGTTGTATGGAAATCGTTAACATTTTTAGAAGCTTTTGCTAGAACCTGGCTGCAAATATTTCGCAAAACTTCATCAGTATATTGACAGTAGGCCATACTACTATTATCCACAGATTTACCTACAAAGAGAGATCACATAAGTACTCCCATTTAAATAATATCTATGCTTATTTTGAAACATCAAGTAGGTTGACTCTGTATTTATGGGTAGCACTATAAATTTGAGTATAGTTTGAGTGGTCTTCTAAAGGTAAGTTTTGAAGATATATCTCTTGGGAATGTTTCCAAGATCATCAACAGTTCCATCTATACTTCAGTGTTTCCTGAATTTCAAAACCAACCTTCTTAGTGCCATGCTCTCCAATGCTTACCCTGTAAAAATTTTGATGTTTGTTTGATTGCTGTTTTCAGTATTACAGCATACCATAAATCGGGACTTTAATCATTCTTGAAATGTTCCTATTGTTCCTATTCAACCTAACTATCCAGCTAGAACATTTTTTGAAACAGCTGCCTATACAAATCATTATCATCAATATTCATCACGCTCGGGAGTGTCTATAACTTGTGCCATTCCTGAAATTGAGAGTGCCCTCCCTCTGAAGCTTGATAAAAATATTTGGGCTACGATTCTGAAAAAAAAACCTGAAAGTTCTCGGACAGCAATTCTGTAAAATACGTAAAAATAGGAAATGTGCAATGACACCTTAGCTAAAAATAGATAGTTCGTAAAATATGTACCTAAATGAAACGGTAATTACCAAATGTAATTTAAAATTAACAGTGTATTAAATATAGCATTATCAACAATATTTTTCATTGTTCATCACCATTCCTGAAATACGGAACGTCCTCAGTCTCACCTAAAAGCTGAAACAAACTAAGAAAAACACTTGTGCTACGATTTTAAAGCATAAATAATCATAGACAACAGACCTGTGAAATACGTAAAAATATGAATTATGTCGACCCATTCTGCTTGTGAATATATTTTCGCAATAAATCCAGGTGTTTTGTCGAGTTTTCGATAGTAAAATAGAAATCATAATCAAAAAACAAATAATAATAAATATAATTTTGGACACCATCGCGTGGAGAGAGTACGTAAGTTTTACAAACCACCTGGCGTGCTGGGGCACCTTGCCTCATACCTGTAATGATCTACTACTAGCCCTACTATAACTAAGTACTACCAGAACTACTACTACTGCGACTACTACCCCTACCATCTTATCGGGTTAATTAGTATCTACGGACACACTTATGAAACCTGAAATTTTCACATATCTCATCCCTCAGGAATTCCGGTCGATATTACGTCAGTCACGCTTGTCGAAACATTTCTTGACACATTGCTTGTAAAAAGTAATAGTCATTTTTAATACAGCAGCTGGAGTGGATTGTACCATCATACTTGTGTGACTTACATTAACACCATATTAATACCTGGCAGTGATCTTTTAAATTCTCGATTCCTGTTTAATAGCTCGGCCATGGATCCAGGGGAATTCTTTCCTCGACTTCCACCCCGGGCGGGGGCAGTATGAAGAGTCGTCTACCACGTACGTCAACCATGCTCTAGCTCGAGTTCAGTTGTGAAGACTACACCAAGAAGAAAACCATAAATGCACTTACATTTCAGCAAACTGCTATAGTCCCTGAAAGAAGTATAAACAGCAGTACTACGTTATTACACTTTTGGCAGGAAATGCGGATGCGACAATTCTATCGTTTCCGCATGCAAATGGCTATAAAAGCTTTCTACTATCTGAAAAAAAGTTACGCTGGTATTATTTTCGTAGTTTAATTGCTTCCATTGTATTGTGCCCATGTGTTCAAGTAGCTGTTTAAATAAATGCATATACATAAAATAGTTCGCTTTAATATATTGACACCTTTTATAAAAACTGGTTCGCATACACATGGAAAACACCGCTTGCACGTCTCCGCAGTTCTCGGAGGTCGTAGTTACCAACGATGAGCCACTACCAATAACTTCGGTTCTCGGATATATCTGTAGATTTTCAAAATATACGAAAAAAAATATGTCGATAAATTATCAAAAATAAGTCCTATTCATAAAAAGTCATTTACCTCTGATCTGCATCTCGCGATGTGCCCCTGCATACTCTGAGCAAGGGCATGATGAGATGTGCCCCCACTTAGTCTGAGCAAAGGCACCATGAAATGTGCCCCACATGCTCTAAGCAAGGGCATGATGAGTCTTCTGCATCCCGCGATGAGCCCCTGCATATTCTGAGCAAGGGCATGACGATGGGTTGTCTGAATCCCTCGACGTGCCCCCACATCGCAGAGTGCCCAAACAAAAGTCCCTAACATATGCTTTATATGACTATTTCGATTCTCTCTACTCTCCAAGTTTCCAACCGTTTTATTTTTCCTAACTTTCTACTTAACCGACGCTTTTTCTTAGCGATCCCTAAGTATCTAAGTTGGGCACCCTGTCTGGGCGAGGGCAGGTTGATCAGTCTCGCAGCTCGCGCTCGTGTTCAGCTGTGAACCCAACACCAATAAGAAAACCCTAAATTAAATTCACTTACATTTCAGCAAACTGCTCCAGTCCCTGGAACAAGTAGAAACAGCATGAGTATACAAGTACTGAACAGTACAAGAAATTTGGAAAAATGATGGTATTATAGATAATTTTTCTGCTATATGAACTCAAACATCCAGAAACTCTCGATAAATATCCCACTTTACTACTAATCTTATTTATAACTTTTTCATAATGAATATCAAAAATTAATCGAGAGTCAACAAAAACTCCCAGGTATTTAAAATTTTCTACGAATTCAATATCTTCACCATCAATATTCAGTTGAACATTTGTACATTGTTTTTTTTTTCGATTAACAAGGCTTTCGTTTTATTTGCATTTAATTTTAGTCTGTTAGATGCTAACCATTTTGAGACAGGCTTCAAGTCTTCATTTATATAAGAGATACCAGACTGAATATTTTTAGTACTTATATAAATCATAGTGTCATCGGCGAAAATTTGAATTTTGCATTTTTTGACTATGGCAGGTAAATCATTTATGTATAAAATAAAAAGAAGTGGTCCCAGGATACTGCCATGTGGAACACCCAACGTATTTTCAAACTACGTTATTTAAACTATCACTCACACTTTGAGCAGGAAAGGTGGATGAAACAATTCTATCGAGCGTTTCCGCATGCGAATGGCTATAAAAACCTTCTATCTAAAAAACTTGAGCTGTTTCTATTTTTGTAGTTTGTTTCCATATTTTCAAATATCTGGTTAAGTAAATGAATATTCATAGAACAGTGCGCTATAATATGATATATCGACAGCTTTTATAAAAGCTGGTTTGCACGGTCACAGAAAATACCCCTTTCACGTTTCCGCAGTCCGTGAACGTCGTGGTTACCAACGATGAGCTACTTCCAATAACGTCGGTTTTCAGGTGCAGGTATTCAAAATATACGAAAAAAATATATCGATGAATTATCAAAATATGAAGAGAAATTGTCGTAAGACAATAATCACGAACACTTCCAAATATTTCAGAAGCCATTATCCAGCGTCGACCTTATAGAACGATATATTTGTATTGTTTAACCGTATAAATTATAAATACATGTGGTTCCATGAGAAAAAAAACTTTTGGGAATTTTTGAAGTTTAATTTTTACTATACATATACTCTTTTTACCACCCTAATGTGTACTAATTACCCTAATATCAAATGAAGTCTACTAAAATAGATCTTTCGCGAGATACCGTTACAATCGTAAGACAAGAACACAAATATAATAAGATTTAGGTATTTATTGACCTGCACTAGCGATACGTCACGTTTTCAAAATTTGTATTCGCTCTGTACCTTCGAAACGAAGGCGTTTTTGGAAAACGACTCAAGGACAAAGTAATCTTCAAATAGACTAAAAAATTAGTCCTTGATTTTTTAGTGCCAAAAGAATACATTTCCACTCATTCAATTAAAGAGTGATGGGTAATACTGTCAGAATTTTTGCAAATAAAGATCCGAACTTGCGGCAGCGTCCTACGGGTCTTTGGCAAAGAACTCCCTCAATTTTGACATTACTATCTCAAAGCTAACACAGACGCAGATGAGCATGCCTAACTTACTTGTCTTGCTAGAAACTTTATTTTCAACAAGATGGGGCGTCATGTCATACGGCCAAAACCACGAACTAATGGTTGAAGGATAATATTTCCGTCTTTGACTGGCCTTTCAGTAGTCCTGATTTAAATATTATCGAAACTATATGGCATAAAATGAAGCAGCAGTTAAGAAATTATCCATAAGGAAACATTTCTGATTTAAGAATATATATATATATATATATATAACTTGAGACGTGGTCATTGTCGTCTAGACCAGTTAGGTGAAAAATTAAATTAAAAAAATTAAACTCTGGTGATGCAGGTAATAGTCGCACAACCCCTAATAATAACGGAACTGATGTAATTCCCAATAATAGCATCAATCCAAACAATACAAGCACCAACCCGGACTCCAGACCTGGTTTTGCTGTCCTGCCCTATATCAAGGAACTGACCCCTAAGCTGATCAGATTGTGCAGTCCTTTGAACTTTCGAATTGCTTGCAAATCCGTCCTCTCTATAAACTGTATTTTTTCAAAAATGAAAGACAAAGTCCCGCTGCTTGGCTTAACCAACACAGTCTACTCCATCAATTGCAACAACTGCAACCAAATATACATAGGTCAGACCTCCAGATCTCTTAAAGGAAGGATTACATCACACAAAAGTGATGCTAGGCTTCATCCTGAAAGATGCGCTCTAGCATCTCATGTTAACACAACAGGGCATTCTATGAATTACACAAGTATCAAAGTTCTTGATAAAGAAAAACACCTTTCCAAACGTTTATTCCTGGAAATGTCCCACATTTTCATGAATAACAACTGTATCAACAAAAAGACAGATGTTAAACAACTGAGTGTCATTTACTCATATTTGCTAAACTGCGAAAAATTGGAGAACTTACCTATCTCCCCAAATTTCGACTTTTCACAACCATAAATATAATCTGTGTTTCCACCAACAAATTTCATTCCACTCAAAATCTAATAATTCTCTTCTCACGATTTATTAATAATTGTTAATTTAAATTCCCATTAATTAAAATATAGTTTATTCAACTGCCTCTGGTAGGTTTAACAATTTCTTACATAACATTCTGAAAATCACATCATCTGAAGTGATTTGGCAACGTTTGGCACACGCCCACAATTCGTTCCATCTTTCAACACAGACATTGACAACCTTCGGTCTTCTGTCAAAGGTTCATCTCACTCATTATTCCATGACCACCATTTTGTGCAATCATCAAGTGGCTTCACGATGTAATGCTCTAATGTTTTTTAAATAATTTTTAATATGTTTTTAACTTGTCTTGTCATATTTTATGTAATTTTGACCATTGTACCATCTATCCAGCTCTCACCATGTTACTGGACTCATCCTATACGTAAACAACAACTAGCAACATCCTCACATACTACTGTAAGTTGTGTCAATTTAAATTCATTTTACACTTTTGTTGCTACTGTTATCATTGTAATTGCAGCTCCTGATGATGATGGCAAAGTCCATTGAAAGCTAGAGAGAATTAAAAAAGTATAAAGAGTCCTCTTTGTTAAATTTTGTCGAAGTACCCAACAAAAGGAGGAAGCTTTAATTTTTCACCTATATGTATATATATATGGGATTCTTTTAAGGCGAAAACCTTGTTAAAACTATGCAAGCCAGAATTAATCATATTATTTAGGCAAAGGGAGACGTAACGAACTATTGAAATGGTTCGTCCAAACATTTATGTGTCAGCCAAATATTTTTGTTATCAATATTAGTTCATTGTTGATATGATGTTTAAACAATATATTTCAATTTCTTATAAAAAAAATTGATACTTTGTAACTTTAAAAAATAAACAAACTTTAAGATAATGTCCGAACAATTTTGTGTTAGGGCTCGTAAATCTAAAATAGGGTTGTGGTGAAAGCACGTAAACTGTATATTAGGTCTCTCTACATTTTCAGCATAATCTTGAATTTGTCTGCGGATTCAAATTCAGTGTCATTTGCATACTAAATTTCGTTTCAATAAAACAGAACTCATGTTGTTGTATAACATCAGTTAAATCGTTAAAAAATTACTGAAAAAGCTAAATAGGTTGCATAACCTTACTTGTAAGATGTGTGTTGCTCCTTTTTCTGCAAAATAATATATCCTGAGTATAAATTACAGGGCGTTTCATTTAATAAAATACAAGGGAATAAGAAAGCTGAATCCGATCCTGCAAGTTCCCAAAACATCTTCAGTTCAATTTTAAGCGTTATTTTGCCAAATGTTGATGAAACCAACATCATAGCCCTTGAAACCCTTTAAATTTTGTGTCAATAGCCCGTTAAAAATCAGATATAAGAAATATTTTGAAAGAAAATTGTTGATTTTTCCCAGAAAAAATCATATTTCACATAATTTATTTAGATTATCCACGAACTTTTATTTATAGCTCAACAATCATAGCGCTGCGATATTTTTAACATGTCTACAAAAAAAAATGGAAAAAAACTGAAGCGTTTGTCTACAGCAAGCGCTTATCTTTCATATGTCCAAATTTCTTTAAGCCTCAAAAAATTATTTATCATTATTAATGGTATAGTTCCATTTGAAATAAAATCGCTTGCCTAGTTTGCCGTTCTGATGCGCCTTCAGCTGTAACTGGACCTGTAAAAAATACAAAAAAAATTAATATTGCCTCTCAAAGCTATCAAAATGCAAAAAAATAACGTTTGACACATGTGGAATACACCACTTAGATTCTTTTAAACACCCTGAATTTCTAACTGTTCGTTATTTCTACATTTTGCCCTAGAAAAGTTTAGCGTATACAACTGAAACCAAAACCCACCTATTGCGCTGTTCTGCTGAGTTTTCCACCTCAACTGGACCCTGGACCTGAAACAATTAGAAACATTTTTTTTAATCCGTAAAGACATGTTGAATTAAAATGTGAGAAAAACATAAGAAAAAGTCAAGTATATTGTACCATCTCAATATTTAGGCCTGAGTGGCACCCTGGGAAGGACGTACAAGGGTTTTTTTAATCCGCAGTTGCAGTTAAGATGAAGTTTCAGAAATGTTGAACAATGAATTTTATCAAAACATTATCAAATGGCACATTTTTTTAATATACAGGGTGTTAGGGAAATAATATTAGTAACTTTAAGAGGTGATTTCCTGCATTATTCTAAGCAAAAAAGTTCATTATAACCTATGTCCGAAAATCAACCGTTTCGGAGCAAAAAAGTACTGAACTTATTTCTTTTTAGTCATGAAATATTTTTTTTGTACCTTAATAATTTAAATTCATATGCCTGGTAGCGTAAAATGTAATAATACATCTATTTATTAATTAACTGTCTCTAACAAAATAATTTTCTTGCTTATTAAATACAATTTTCCGAAGGCAAACAAGCAAAACAAAAACCCTCACACAACTGGCAATGTCGTACTCTGCCTGCACTTCATGTATCATCGCGTGTTGTTGTGATTATTAATACATTTAAATGTAACTTTGTGATTTACGGATGTTGGTCTTTTTCTTTTTCCGTGCATTGCATCTTTTGAAATAAGTGACTGATAATCCTGGGAATTTTGGTGGTGTGTATCGCCACGTACCGGTAAGTTCTGTCATTTTTTTTAAATTAATGTACTGTCCTGAAAGCGTTATTAAATAAAAAAATTTCGTTAAAGTATTCAATAATTCAAGGCATATTTTCAACAAACGTAAACAATTCGATGAATTAGTTGCGGTCGTCGTGCGTTCGTGTCGCGGTTGCGTTACAGCGTTGTCAAATGTTTGAGAAAATTTAATTATATACGACTCACTTTCCTCGAAAACGATTGAATTTCGGACATAAGTTATATTGAACTTTTTTGCTTATAATAATGCAAGGAATCACCTCTTAAAGTTACGAATATTATTTCCCTAACACCCTTTATGACACGACAATGATACCTAAAATGTACAATATTTTTCAATGTTGGAGAGAACAGTACGCCCTGAACTCTACCACATTTATTCAGCAAACCCTATTTTACAAATAAAATAAATAATATATGTATATATATATACACACACACACATATATATATATACATATGTATGAAATAAGAAAAAGCAAGGTTTCTCTATATGAGCGCCTAAGTTTAAAAACTAGTATGCGCAAAAACAATCCAATACATTGGTATCGTACGATATATATTCTTGAATAACATTGTTTAACAATCCCAAAGAACATGAAACACAGTATAGACAAAATGAAAGAAAATCCTATGTTTTTTGTAAGTCATAGATTTGAGAGAGATCACATAAAAAAGTATCATAATTATGTCAAAAAAAGAAAAGAAACAGATAGGCAGATCATTCTACCTCAAAGCACTAAAAATAAACGCATAAACGATTTTCCCAACAGAACATTTTAAACGAAACGAAACAAAAATTTTATTTCCAGATATTAGCAGGAATAAAATTATAAAATTTAGGTGCAAGATATGTCACGAACCCAAATTTAAATATAACTTGACTGTTGGTTAAAAGCCCATGGCGTCGCCCTGAATATTCACGCACCATTTTTTAAAAATCCGTACTTTATGCTTATACACTAACAATCAGAGATAGAAAGGTATTCAAGACTCACCTGCGGATGCGTTGTGAGGCATCTAGGCGTCTTCAGAAAACTGGAATTTCCACAATTTTTCACTCACACACACACACACAGACTCACTCCGGAAACGCGGAACCGATAGGTAATGCGAGGCAGATTCACTTTTTATTAGCTACTGGGCACTACTAATAAAAGAACGCGTCGCGTCTGAAAGCAGAGCTCCGCAGCAGTTCCGAGCGCGACGACTGCCACCGAGCGACTGAATTCTACGTGGACGCGGTACTACTGCGCGGCGATCCCGCGGTGTTGCCTAATCTTACAGGACGAAAAGAATCAGTGTCGTCGCGATGGCTCGGATTCTGCGTCGCGCAGCGCCATTTATGCAGTAGTATTCCCTTTATCTTCGAAAACGTGGCAACACCGCAAATGTATCTTACCACATGGACGTTGCTTTGTTATATGTTGACGTTTTGTTTTCAAACGTACCATTTTTTTTGATGTGTTTACTACCACTTTTTTTTAGTTTCTTTGTTCTGTCGTGCTACATGCCAGATTTTAGTGAAAATGGAGATGAGCCCCTGTATGTGTCTTGTGGATAGGAGGCAGACAGGAAATGGAGCAAAGTGCATTTACAAGAACTGCAAGAATAAATACTATAAAGTTGCTGGAAAAGGAATTAGATTTTTTCGAGTGCCTAAGGAGGACGCCAGGTTAGTCGTTACTGAGACATTTTAGTCTTTGGGGCCTCCCCATGAAGCCGGGACACTGGGCCCCGGCTTCGTGTGTCCATAGGGTGAAGACTGAATAGGGGCAAAAACAGCCGGTATTTGAAAACATTGATGCTCGTACAAAAAACGTTTTTCAATATTTTGTTTCTCAATGTAATATACCTCTCAAAAGATATGAAGACTTTATTGATAATGCGTAATACCTTTTTTATTATTTTTTCTCTATCAATACGTTTTAGATGTAGGCAGTGGCTTAAGGCATGTGGTCGTGTAGACCTTATTAAGGAGACTTTGAGGCATCCAAAGCGTACAAGACGTATAGGGTTTGTTCAGCTCATTTTGAGCAGCACATGTACAACAGTCCAGCAGAAATGACTCACTTGTTACCCTCAGCCATGCCTGCTTTGTATGAAGAAGTTGCCTGTCCTAATGTTGGTAAGTGAATAAATTCTTTTTGAATTTATCATGGCAGGCATTTTTTTTAAGTCCTAGTGACAAGTTGACTGCATTCTATTTCTCATCACTATGATAATTATGGTTTTTTGTGCATATATTTTTTTCAGTGAGATCAACATCACACACATGGTGACATAATTATAATTATGGTAAAATTTTAATGTCAAACAAAAGGCATACTTATAAATAGAATTTTATTAAGTGATAACAAATGCAGAATATCTATCACAAAATTTCCTTTCGTACACACTTTGTAGAAACTCACAAGTGAGTTTGAATTTCTTGTTGTTGTTTGCTAGGTGTTCAAATACTCGCTGTAATGAAAGGCTTCTTCAGAAAAAGTACAATTATTTCTAGAAAACCCATACCTCAGCTAGGATAGTACCGAGCCCTTTTCCTTGTAGCTCCTCTGGTATATCTGTATGAACCAAATCAAATGTGTTTTCATCAATCTGTTCGTATCTTATTGTAGCAACATTATCACTACTATCTAGCGGTACTTTAAACATCATTTTGGAAGAACAATTAATTATGCTACTGTTAATAAGGTTAGATTTCATGGAAAGAAAGCGGTTCGACATGTTCGAATTGTATATTAAAATCAAAGGTAGATATTTAAAACTCAGTTTAGGGATCGAAATTTGAATGCTACAGCGAATTTTTGAAAAATGATTCTAACGAGAGTGATTGCTCTCAAAAACCTTTATTTTTCCAATCTGACGGATTAGGATTACAATGTACAATAACATTTCAAAGGTGGCAAAGCTACAGCGTTGCCAGATGGACCAAAGATAATTCCAGATTACCATTTTTTTTAAATCCTTCAGAGAGAGCGAGAAAAGGATTAATCGTCTAGTTCTTTGAACGCGTGTAAGACAAAAATAGCTGGATCAACCATCCAGTTCGCATTATTTTGTTTTTCTATACGGGGTGATTCGCAAGTTGTATCCAAAAACGAAACATCATACACAGGACCATTTTAAGAATGGTGTTCTATGTAACATTTTTCACTTGACGGCTTCATTAAAGAGATACGGGGTGTTGAAGTTTAAAAATAAAAAACAATTTTTTTCAATATCTTCAAAACCGTCAACTGGAATTAACGTACATTTGGTATGTGGATTTACCTATGTATTTATTTATAATGTTTTTTATTTTTAAACTTCAATACCCCTTTAATGAAGCCCTTGAGGAAAAAATGTTACATAGAAGACCCCCCCTCAAAACGCGGTCCTGTGTATGATGTTTCATTTTTGGTCACGACTTGTGACTCACCCTGTATACTTACCGTAATTTTTTTGGTACGTTCAATAGATCCCAGCTCACCTTCTGCTCATTATCAAAAATTTCTTGGATGGGATGAAATCTGAGGAGATCCTATTTCTAACTTATAATTGACATAAAGTTTTGGAGATGGGTCAGCATGGGTGCGACATGGGGAAGAAAAAACTTCAGAAAGATAACATTGTTAATTAACAATGGTCAGTTTTTCGTTGTCCCCCCGATTTCATTTCAGAAAATCCCCAAGAGGCGTAAAAATCCTCTAAATTTGGGGAAAAGTACCGCAATATGGCAACCCTGCAAAGCTGCAAACAGGGTATTAAGTTATTAATGACATAAGAAACAACTTTTGGGGCGCGTTCCGCAGAACTCCCGTGCCCTTTGGTGTTTACCAAACAAATTTTTGAATGCATCTGTTTTTCAATGAATGCACTTTTTACAGGCTTTTATTTAACTTGATCTGTTTGTTGGTATGTGTCGTCAGTCGTTCTTACAATTGTAGGATGCCTTTATGGCCTACTTGATTATCAGTCTTTTTTCTCCTGTAGTGTTTCTAGTTTTCGACTGTTCCGTTTCAGCGTCAGGGCCCTCCTGTTATGAAGCTGTTTTCTTTTTGAATTTTAGGGAAATTCATGATGTATAAAGCAAAAGCATAAATTGATGCAAATAGATATTTGTAACATAACCTCAAAGTAGAGCGCTGACACGGAACAGTAAAAACTATGAAAATCAAGGAGGCCATAAAAGCGTCCTACAATATGTTGTAGGAAAACCGACATAATGTGAAAAAAAATGTCAAAATACAGACATGACAATTTTTCAAGTTACGTATTATCCCTGCCGAACGCGCTCGAGCTTTCTTCTGGAACGCGTCCCTTATGTTGTCAAAAGTCACCCAGCTGTCATTTTGATCACTTTTGACGTTTATTTGTTGTGTTGTGTGTGGTGTGGCACTGAAACTTTATTTTTGAAAATACTTTGGTAATTATAAATTGATATGTCCCTTTTCGTTGAATACTACTCATTGTAAAGAGTCGTAAAAATTGCCTCACTTTTTTAAGTAAACAACAAATAGTCTATAATACATTGTTAACGTCCTGTTTCTGCCATATACTCCTATAGTTATGTTTGAATCCTATCTAGAAAAAAGATCATATTTAGTTATACAGTGTCACAAGAGGATGGTCAGTTTTTGGGTGCTCATAGCACACAAAAAATAAATCCACAGCTCCTGTCGCTGCTAACTTGTCTATGGATTTTTATACTTGGCTTAGGAAGTTTCCTATTTCGAAACATCTAGTCTAAAAAAGGGAAGTACAACAGGTGGTCCTTAAAGAAATGCACAAAAATGATATTGAAAACTTCAGTATTGTTACCGTGTATACTTTTAACAAATGTCATCATTTTCGCAGCTTTCAGGATTACTTCTTGGCGCATTCATTGTAGAATTGTGGGCAAACATGGGCAAACCATGGGTCAGACCTACTTCTTACAAATACTGTATGGTACCCAGTTGCACAAATACAACCATAACAGCTCCAGATAAATATTTTTTTTATGTGCCGAAGGATCCGAAAATTAGAAAACAGTGGTGTAGGCTGATGAATAGGAACGCTAAAATTCCTCTTTCTGACAAATCAACACTGTACTGCTGTGAATCTCATTTCAATGTAAGTTTCTTGTTATTCATATAATTTTTTTATCATTTACCTGCACTTAACTACCTTTGTCAATCCATTACACTGAAAGAGGGGTAAAGGTGCTCTTTTGATTTTTACTAATTGATGTTATTTTTGAAAGTTTTGTTCTGCTTATATATCCACCAAGGCACTACCTCTCAAAGTGTCATAAGTCAAAAGTACCACTACTTGATTTTGGAATGTCCTGACACCAATTGTGCAAGGTGATTAAAAAAACTGTACAGTAAACTACACATATGTCATTAATGGAAAGAGCTGAGTTTAAGGCGAAGAGATAAAATAAATTTGGCTTTGAGCTGCATATCAATGGATGTTGAATTTTTAAGCCATTCAGCCTCAAAAGCTCTCCATATTAACAGGATTATCATCCAAGATAAGTATAGAGGAAGAAAACTGCTTCATATGTTGAAGTTTCTGAACTTTTACCTTGAAAATTGTATACAGTAATTAAAAAAGTAATACAACCTTGCACAGCATTACCTATCTAAATATATATATTCATGCGCTATCTCCAATGTATTGTATTGTAAATTAATAATACTTCAGCAAGGCAACATTTTAAAACCTATGCTTTTTTTCAAGGCTCTAGAAATATTTATACTCTTTGTTAAATCGTCTTGCATATTCTTTAAGATCCATTGTTGCAAGAATAAAGCATTTTAGCAGTTACGTTTTACACGTTCATGAATGTTTTATACTTGTAGTTAGAAGCTGATGCCGAAAACTACATACGGTATAAGCTAGTCGGCGGTAGAATGACGTTGAAGTCTGGAGTAGTACCTCATATATTTCGCTGCCAGAAAAGAACAAAACATAGTAAATCAAGATCCGTTTTAGAAAAACTATGCCGAAAAGAGATAATATCAACACTTTTAAATGAAACGGAAAATCCAATCGAGTTCGTTTCTTGCAACAATGATAGCAGTAAGTATAGTTGCCGGGACTCCTGAGGTAGAAAGTATATTCACACTCAATAAATTTTGTATGATCCATTAGTATTTATTATGGAATGTGATATTTATCGATTGTGTAGCAAGGGAGTCAGTACTTATTGCTGAATAAGGTTCAATAGAAATCTATTGACACTGACAGTAAATACTAATGATATGAACCACAGTAAATACTGATCATGTGGCATTTGCCTAAAGGAACTAATACACAAATGTGTGCAAAAAATAGGTATTCAAATCAACGTAAAACAGCACTGCTGGAGTTCACTGATGATAAAATTAAGACATATATAATTATTATTAGACTACAGATTCAGCTAAGTCCACTGTACTTCTATTCTCTTGTCTTTCAAGATATCAAAATTCTTGATTTTTTCAGTTATATCATTATATGCAGCTAAATCTAGCTTATTTCCGAGAATAGGAAACTTCCTAATTAACTGAACCAAGCAAACTCAATATAAATTAGTATGCAGTCCAAGATAAAGATTAATCAAAATTCTTTGTTCAGAAAAGGTTAAAATCACTGTGTTGGTTAAATGAGGAAAAATTTGCACTATTTGAGTAGCCATCATGTGGAGATAACAAAGTTTCCGATTTATTGGTCAAAAAGCATGTGTTTCGAGTTTGGAATCCATATGTTTATGTTGCGATTTCAACAGATATGAAGAAGTAAACCTTATTGAGTTCGCGTTTACATTTCTTCAGTGTACAAACTCCGGTACGTTTTTTTCCAACACATGAGTAAAAAATGGATGTCTGGGAGTTCAGGTAGTATCTTCGCATTTGATGGGAAACAACTTCTAATACGTTTTCTTTGTACAATTTTATTCAAAAAGGGCCTCGAATTTGGATGTTACCAGGCCAAAATTGTCTAAACAAATTAAACCGTTTTTTTTTTCGACCTGGGCTAAGTTCCTTTAGTTCTTGTCAACTTTTCTCTAAAGCTGGTAGTTTTTGAGACAGAAAAAACACAAAAAACACTTGCCCTGAGAGAGAAAAGCAATTTTTGACGCAAATTTGGTCCTGAAAACTTGCAATTTTGTTAAAAGAGATCCTTTTTAAATAAGAATATGCAAAAGACAAATCAGAATATTTTGCGAGGATACTATCTGGATTAAGGTAGGGAATATTATTTATTGTCTTCGTTTGGAGGGTATTCAAACTTTGTCCACATTAAGCTAACATTGAACTTCCGTTTTATAGATCGTAATGTTATCCCATCCTTTTCTGGGACACACTGTGTAGCTAAAAATGCATAAAATTGAGAGGGTTGTCCAAAACAGACGTGGGAAAGTAAACGCATATTAAAACAAGAAAGATTGATATTCAAATCAAGTTGGGTACTTTATTTTGAAGGTTCATTTATACCATTTATGTATGAAAAATAATATCGCTCAAATGTTCACCACGACTGGATTTACAGACGTCCACGCGATGGTCGAAATTTTCAATGACATTTTGCAACATGGTCGGTTCTATGGCATTTATCTCGGCAATGATGTTGTTTTTGAGTTCTTGGAGGGCGGCTGGTTTGTTGACGTAGACTTTGCTTTTCAACTATCCCCATAAAAAGAAGTCCAAGGGAGTCAAATCGCACGATCTTGGTGGCCATGGCACATTTTCTCTGCGCGAAATCACGCGATCACCGAAGAAGGACTGCAACCGATGGATATTGACGTTGGTTGTGTGGCATGTTGCACCGTCTTGTTGGAAATAAACATCGTCCATATCCATTCCTTCAAGTTGCGGCAAAAAATAGTCCTCTATCATCACGTGATATCGCTCAGAATTGACGGTAACGGCGTCCCCGGCCGCATTTTCGAAAAAGTAAGGTCCGATGATGCCTTTTGACCACAATGCACACACAGTCACTTTTTGAGGATGCATCGGCTGCTCTTGATACTCAGGGGATTTTCGTTCGCCCAGATGCGGCAGTTTTGCTTGTTTACCGTCCCATTCAAAGTGAAATGCGCTTCGTCGCTGAACATGATTTTTGATGAAAAATTGGCATCAATTTGGCGGTGGTCAAGGAGCCAATCTGAGAACGTTCGGCGCGAAAAATGGTCGGCCCGACGCAGCTCTTGCGTCAATTGGATCTTGTAGGCGTGTACATTCAAATCCTTGTGGAGAATGCGGAGCAAACTGGTTCTCGAAATGCCCAATTCTTGGGATCGACGCGTTGTTGATTGTTTCGGATCGTCTCTCACACTCTCCTTCTCAACAGCAATATTTTCCGGTGTGCGAACGCTCCTTGGCCGGCCAGAGCCTGGCAGATTTGCCACAGAACCTGTTGCCTCGAATTTACGCACCAGACGACCGATGGTTGTTTCGTTTGGGCGGTTGTTGCGACCGAAATGTTCACGAAGCGCGCGAAACGTGTTTTTTATTTTTGCACCATTTTTGTAGTGCTCTTGAATAACTTTAATGCGGTCTTCAATCGAATACGACTCCATAGCGATCAATGGTAAACATTCAACTAACAAAATGACATGTCGGTGACAGAAAACAAAGATGGCGTCTATGTCAAATTGACGTTTACTTTCCTGCGTCCCTATTGGACAACCCTTTATATATACCTTGTTAATGCTACTTTTCAAATATAGGTAATGATAGTGAAGATATGTCTTCCAAGGAGATTCAAAGAATGGATTTAAGTCAGGTGCCAGTAGATATCAAACAGGAATTTGACGAGGTTCCTGATGAAAACAGTTTAGATCATCCTGAATATATTGGGTAGGTTAATGTGCATGTACATTAAACTGGAATTTATATTTTCTCCAAGCGAAAACTGAAAACGGAAACTATACTATCTTTTAGAATAAGTGATATTTTATTTTATATAGTAATTTCGCGTTTTTTATGATTCCATTCAGTTGAGTCAAAATACGAAAATCAATAGCACTCTCGCTTATATCTCTCATAGTTTTTTATTATTTAGGCTGTTGAACTGTTGAAAATTTACAAACATTGCAAAATCTCTAAAACTATTGATTTTCGCGTATACATACATGTATAGGGTGAAATTTGTCACCCCTATCTACCCCTGAAAGTAGTATATTCCTATAAATATGTGATTTCAGTAACACATGAAATACTCCCAAATACAGGGTGCGTCATCTATTACTCTTTTTTCTATTTGAAAAATCAACACGCTTTTTACGAGGTGAAATTGATAGTTAATCTGATCATTTTGATTTGGCAATAGCATGCTTCATTTTTTAGTTTTTGATCTCGAGCTCATTATGGTTAATTTATCACACTTTTGAAATCAGTTTTTGTAATTGATCCAAAGATGTGTCGGATAGATTTTGGTATGCCTATTCTGTTGCAGGATAAAATTAGAAAATGAAGATTTGGACTCGACTTTGTTCACAAATGCAAATGAGGAAGAAGTTAAGATCGAAAGTCAAGATATAAAATTAGAAATGCCTGTTTATGAAGGAAATTTTGTAACTTGCGACACCATAAAAAATGAGATAGATACTAGTGAGGGAGAGACACATACCCTGGTATTCATGAGGTAAGTTCATTTTTGTTTTGTAACATATTCCTAAAGTGAAGTTTGGTGCGTAATTAAGAGCGCAGATAAGGTGAAATAGTTACTTCTTTGTGGTTTGAGGCAGGGCGAAACTTGAGCCGCAGGGTGGCGCATGTGACGTGACCTTTGTAAATAAAATTTAATGAATTGTAACGGGAAGTTTGTGCACAGGGTGGAGAAACTCACTTCTGCGCTGTATAAGGTTGTGTCACACTCACTAATTCAGTTTCAAATACACTACTCAAAAAAATAAAAATTTTCGGTGATTTTTGACAGGTGAAAAATGGTCGTAACTAAACTCTAAAAAGAGCATTTAGGATTCTAATTTTCACCTTTTAGCCTCAAAATTTTAGGAGCAATGGTTCTCGTGCAATATCACTAGAAACATTTTTGCAAAACTTTCGGGTTTTTCTTTTGATAGGCTTTGAAAAAATTGTCTGTTGGGCCATCATATGAATCTACAAGCCCGTTTATTCAGCTTCAATATCCTGTTTTTTTAAAATCTCGATACGATCATTTGGCACCAGTCACATTTTTTGGCGTATCTAGTGAAGCTATAACATTCGCAAGTTTGTAAATTCTCGGTGTAGTTGGTAGGCACTACAGTCGTTTTTATATCTGTACTCGTGCTGCAGTATCCACGAGCAGTTCAGGATGGAGAAGAACTTAATAGAGGCAGTTCGACGTCGAAAAATATTGTATGATACGTCGGATGCCAGTTACATGAAGACGAAGCTCAAATTAGCGACGTGGGAGCAGATCGCTAGAGAAGTCGCCATGGAATCTGGTAAGCTTTTTATTTAGATTTTTTGCGTTTAATTTTCCGAGTTTGCATTTGCGTGCTTAAGTTGCGCTTCTGAAAGCGAATCGTGGCTTCCAGCTCCCACAATACAGCATACATTCGATTTTACGGGAAGACTTTGCTCCACCTTAGCGTCTGTTTTAATTAAAAACGATTCTTTTTATCGAAACTAACCAAAAAGATATTTTTTCAAACGATCAGGATTTCTAAAATACTTATTACTCTCAAGTTTGTTTGTTTGTTTCGGATTTATTTAGCATTAATGCTGCAATGTCCATAATATCCGTATTACACATTATATCACAAAATATATTATGTCTTCAAGACTACATATTTTTATACAAAATTTCACTACTATGAATTCTGGTTTCCCATGAGATATTTTTTCAATTTCCCTTTGAACATTTTCAAACTGACACACATCTTGATATCATTACCTAATTTAGATGGTTTTTCAACTTGAATATGAAAATGAAAACCAAGTAGGCCATGAAATTTTTGATATTTAACCATTGTAGTTCTTTCAGCATAAAATTTATTCTAGTATATTTATTTATTTCCGGACGTAAACTCACTCCACTCTCGGAATGTCCGGGTGGAGGGTGGGCTCGAGGGAACAACATCGAAGATAAAATTTGTTTTTAGAACATCTGCGGGATCAACAGCAACATTGATGCTGTTCATCACTACCTGCAATCCAATCGTCCCGCCGTGCTTTTCTTGGCGGAGACAAAAATCTCAGAGACTGCACCGATTAACCATCTCAACTTCCCAAACTACGAGGTGCACTCCAATCTGAGAAAGAACGGGGGAGTTGTGGCTTTTGTCCGCAGCAGTCTTTCCTGCTCCAGGGATCTTTCTTTGGAATCAGACCGGAAGGACATTCTGTGGCTTCGCCTCAACTCCAAAACAGCACCCAAATTTATTTGCTGCCTTTATCGCTCTCCCTCGAACCATAACTGGGATGACCTACTCGAATACCTCGCCGTCCAGATCGACTACCTGAACATCAATCACCCCGCTTCAGAGCTAGTTCTTCTCGGTGATTTCAATGCCCATAATGAGCTTTGGTTGGGCTCAAATAAGACCGATGCAGCAGGTCGTGCAGTCGAAGCGTTCGCTCTTACTCAAGGGCTGACCCAGCTGGTGACGAGCCCTACTTTTTTCCCCCGGGTCTCGTCACACTCCAGTAGCCTGCTGGATCTCTTTCTGACCACGCATCCTGCCCCTTACAGCACTGCTGTCCTGTCCCCCCTGGGTAACTCAGATCACGGTGTTGTGGAGGTTAGGTTTCGGTCAGAAGCCGCTGTGGCAGCAGAAACTCGCACAGGCCGCAAAACTTGGCATTACGGACATGCCGACTGGGAGGGGCTCAGAGACTTCTTCTCTAGCTTTCCTTGGAGAGATGTCTGTTTCACTGACGCGGATGCGTCGACTGTCTGTTCTTCAATAACCGAAATTATCCACGTCGGAATGGAGGAATACATCCCTCACACAGTGAAAGTTCCTAAACCAGGGTCCAACGGCTGGTTCAACAAATCGTGTGACACTGCTCGCCAGCAGAAGATCAAGGCCTACAGAACCTACTTACAAAACCCCACTGTAGAGAACAGACAAGCCGACATCGAGTCCAGAAACAAATATAACGGAGCGGTCCGCAATGCCAAAACCCAGCATGATATAAAAGTTAGGCACAGGGTAATGTCGCAGCGCAATGGCAGTCGGTCTTTCTGGACGCTGGCCAAGCAGATTGAAAAGAACTTCTCACACAGTAGCCTTCCACCACTTACGTGTCAGGATGGAACTATTGTATTCGACTCAAAGGCCAAGGCGGAAGTGCTAGCCAAGATCTTTGCTGCCAACTCCACCATGGACGTCCCCACCAACGCCCAAGTGCCGTCAATACAAAGGGTTCCCCACACTATGCGGGAGGTAACATTCAGGCATAAGACCGTAAGACGAGTGCTCTTGTCGCTCGACACCAACAAAGCTTCTGGTCCGGACTTGATTCCTGCCATTGTACTGAAGAGATGTGCAGCTGAGCTTGCTCCAGTTTTTTCGCGTCTCTTCCAGATATCTTATGAATCCGGCACCTTCCCAGAAAACTGGAAATTTGCTCATGTACAGCCCATCCCAAAAAAAGGATCTAAAACCGACCCTTACAACTACAGGCCTATAGCTCTGCTTTCTGTTATAAGTAAAGTGATGGAGAGGTGCATAAATCGCGAGCTTCTGGACTACCTCGAACGTCACAGCTTGATTAGCGACAGGCAGTACGGTTTCCGGCACCAACGATCCACAGGGGACCTCCTAGCTTAAGTCACGCAACTGTGGAGTAAACTCATCCAGTCTCATGGTGAGGCTCATGTCGTTGCTCTTGACATCACGAAAGCGTTCGATCAGCTGTGGCACGCTGCCCTCTTGAGCAAACTTCCATCCTACGGCCTCCCAGAAAAGCTTTGCAGATGGGTGGCTGACTTTCTCTCTGGCCGCAAGATATCCGTCGTAATTGACGGATTCTCCTCTTCATCCCACAACGTCAACGCGGGTGTTCCCCAGGGGTCGGTCTTGGCTCCAACACTGTTTCTCTTACATATCAACGACCTCCTTTCCTGCACGATCAACCCAATCCACAGCTTCGCTGATGACAGCACTCTACATGCAGGAATTCAGAGTGACAAGCCGATCTCTGCCGCTGAGCTGGAAAAAAGAAGACTAGCGACGACTTCTTCTCTGACAAGAGACCTGGAGGCTATCACTGCTTGGGGACGCAACAATCTTGTACAGTTCAATGCTTCCAAAACACAGTACTGTACTTTGACGAACAAAAAGCGTCCTAGCGCTCATGCAGTTTCGATAGACGGTAGAGTTCTACCAAAGAGCCATTCATTTCGGCTGGTCGGAGTCCAGATCACCGAGGACCTGATCTGGCACGAACACATCTCTTCAATAGCTGCAGCTGCTGGGAAAAAGCTAGGCTATTTGTTTAGGGCTAAGAAGTACTTTTCTCCGCATGACCTTCTCACTCTATACAAGGCCCAGATAAGGCCTAGCGTCGAGTATTGCTCACACATTTGGGGTGCTGCCGCCCCGACTACATTGTCCATGCTCGATGCTGTCCAGAGGAGGGCGGTCCGACTGATCGATGACTCTTCTCTAACAGACAGTCTTGGGACTCTTTCGCACCGGCGGGCCGTCGGCGATCTAGCTCTTTTCTATCGCTACACCAACGGGCTTTGCTCCTCAGAGCTCTCTTCCATGATGCCGCCGCGCGATGTGCCTGCCAGACAGACCCGCCTGACTTCGGCGTCCCATCCTAACCGTGTCAAACTTTGTACATCCAGAACTGGCCGATACGACCGCTCCTTTGTCCCGAGGGTGTCTAGATTGTGGAACAATCTACGGGAGGAAGCTTTTCCCAGTTCTACTAACCTTAGGCAGTTCAAAAATCGTATTAACAAAATTTCTTTGGGATCATCATAGCAGCCGCGGTGTTCCGGCATTTAGGCTTCTGCCTGCGCGGCTGTTTCGATATAAAAAAAAAAAAATTATTTAAGATGATTCTCATAGCTTTATTTTGTAATAATTGTAATTTTGAAAATACAGTTTCATTTTCAGTGAAAATAGTCGAACAATATAACAAAAGAGGAAGAATGAACTAATTTATTTTTTTGGATATTAATATATTTATTTTAATTTTCTGTCTACCTATATGCCCAAATATTTAAATGATTCGATTCGTGATTAATTGTAAGATTTATCGTATTTTGCAGCATATATTTTGTTTTGTTTGTGTTTAGTTTACGTTTATTTACATTCAACCAATTTATTACATCTTTCATATCATTATTTAACAGCTCTATTGCAGTTTCAATGTCTTTATTTCATATATACAGGATTTGTCCGGAAAGTAATAGGACTGAGTCGATTTAAAAAAAAATTATTGAGCCAATCGTTACAATTCTTTAAAAACTGCCAAAATAGTCTCCTTCTGCGTCGATGCAGCGCTGCCAGCGTGATTTCCAAGCATTGAAGGCGTCACGGAAGGCATTCTCCGGAATAGCCTTGAGAGCCGCGGTGCATGCTGCTTGGATTCCCTCTGTCGTCTCAAAATGCTTGCCTGGGGGGGCACATCTGGGCTGTAGGGCGGCTGCGGAAGCGTTGGGATGCCGGCCTTGGTCAGGTAGCTGTTCACAAGAAAGGCGGTGTGAACCGACTGACCCTTCGTTTGAGTCCCCTGGGCACTTCCACGTAAAACTTGGCGTTGACGGTTTGTCCAGGAGGAACAAATTCATGGTGGACGATGCCTTTGTGGTCAAAAAAGACAATGAGCATCGTTTTCACTTTGGATTTGCTCATTCTTCCCTTTTTTGGGCGTGGAGACGCCGTCGTGTGCCACTCGGAAGATTGCCTCTTTGTCTCGGGATCATACTCAAAGATCCACGACTCGTCTCCTGTGATTACGTTATTCAAAAATTGGGGGTCACTTTCACACATGTTCAAATTTTCTTGGCACACTTCCACTCGCCGCAATTTCTGGTCGACATTGAGCACTTTTGGGACCATCTTGCGATAGATTGTTATTTAGCTATAAGCTTCAATATCATATTAAGATTGGCAAAAATCACATATCACTTGGAATTATAAAGCCTAAAATTCCTTAGGGCCGTATTGTCAGTCGTTACTACATTGTTTTCGTAAAAATAAAAAAAAAAACAAATTAGATAATCAAAGCTTTATTTCAATATAATGTTTTATTTTTACGAAAACAATGCAAATTGAAAGTAAAATTCGAAAAATTGCGCGTTTGAAAAAAAACGGTGGCGTACTATTATTATTTGGAAAAATACTAATTCTCTGCATCTCCGTCACTGGTGCACTTTAATTTTAAGTAAAGACTTTTAAATGTGGACAATACTTGGTAAATCAACATACCAAATTTTAGTGCATTCCATTTGACGGTTTTGAAGACATTAAACAAAATTGTTTTTTTATTTTTAACCTTCATCTTTTAAATGATGCCCGCGAGGAAAAATGTTACATAGAAGACCCCCCCCCTGAAATGCGGTCCTGTGTATGATGCTTCATTTTTCATTTTTGGTCACGACTTGTGAATCACCCTGTATATTTGCAGGATTGAATTCTTCCATTAGAACATGTTGTGTTTCAGAGCTTCCTTGGTTCTTGTCTTCTGGTGCAACTACCAATTTTAATACGGCTCAGTTGCATTTTTTCTTACATCTGATCACAGCGTATGGATAATAGATTTTTTTAATTCTATCAATTTTGAGGATCTCTCTTGGAAATGTTTTCATTTGTTTACGTTTTGATTAAAATGTCTTGGGTTTTACATAATCGTTTATTTTTCTTTACAGCTTTGAACAAGAAAGCCATGTTTTTCTTATAGTCTACAGTTTTCATTTGGTAGTCGTTGAATTCTTCGTTTCCAGCTAGTAAAACATGCTTTTCAATGATCATTTTTTTATCTTCAATTTCTCTCTGTATTTGTAGTATTGTAGTTGTATTTTGCGTATTTCTAAAGTCGGTCCCTGCGTACACTGATCCGCTTCCCTTCGCTTGATTCTTCATTTTTTTACAATTTCGTGGCCAGCCCGTTTTCCTGACTTGAATCCACTCGATTTGTTTTACTGGAGGGCGATAAAAGAAAAAGTTTACTCAACAATATAAGAAAAAAATTAAATTTGTAGTAATGGACACTAAAAGACCATTACAAGGTGTGGATTTTCCCGTTTTTTAAGCCTATAATTTGAAAAGTACACGACTTAGATTTTTCTTAACTATACTAAGTGACATATAAATCCGAACACCCAGTTTAAATGGTTTTATTTTAATAAAATTTTGTATAAGTACTTAATGAAGCATAATAAGTAAATGATAAAAATTTCAAAATGATTGCACTGCTTTAAAGCTCTTTGACCTTTAATAATGTGTGGATGCACCCTGATGTGCTACGCATTCTCCAACGCGCCTAGGCATGCTTCTGATCAGGTGGTCAATGTCCTCCTGTGGTATCTCATTCCAGGCAACCACCAACTCCTCTCGAAGTGCTTCTAGAGTCTGAGGAGGACGTTGCAAATTGAGCAATCTCCTACCCATCATATCCCACACGTGCTCAATTGGGGATAAGTCGGGAGATCTTGGTGGCCATGGTAACAATGTGACATCATTATGTTGAAAGAAGTCTATTGTGACTCTTGCAACATGTGGTCGGGCATTATCTTGTTGGAAAGTTGGATCTGCCAGGGTGTCAAGATAGGGTAAAAGATGGGGTTCTAGAACTTCGTGGATATAACGCTGCGCGTTCATGTTACCTCTGATGAATATTAAAGGTGACCTGGAACCATAAGCTATAGCACCCCAAACCATAATTACAACAGTGTGATGAACATGTCTTTCAACAAAAAACTGTGGATTCCTCCTTTCACCACGTCGCCTTCTAACCCTGGCACGACCATCGTGCATGCCTAAACAAAATCGAGACTCGTCACTAAAGACAATACTGTTCCATTCCTGATCCCAGAGTGACCGTTGTCTGCACCACTCAAGGCGATTACGTCGGTGTAAGGGTTAGAAGGCCACGTGGTGAAAGGAGGAATCCACAGTTTTTTTTTGAAAGACATGTTTATCACACTGTTGAGTTATGGTTTGTGGTGCTATAGCTTATGGTTCCAGGTCACCTTTTATCATTTACTTATTATGCTTCATTAAGTACTTATACAAAATTTTATTAAAATAAAACCATTTAAACTGGGTGTTCGGATTTATATGTCACTTAGTATATTATGATTTGGCCTATCCCCGTTTCCGGCTTGACGTCATCTCCTGGGACACCCTGTATAGATAAGTTTAGACGCTCAACATTTTCATATCGCGCAGGTTCGTTTCAGAGAACGTGCTTCAAATAAAACGTTGTTGCAGGGTCCGAGGCAAAAGTAGTTTGGGAAAAATTAAGGCATTGTCATAGAGACGCCCTCAGGAGGCAAAAAAATTGCGTGAAAGGCGGCAGTTCGGCAGTGTCTTTGAAACCATGGAGGTACCAAAAAGAAATGGAGTTTCTATTGCCTCACATGGCGAATCGAAAGAAATACGCAAATGTCATTGGCAGTGGCGATGAAAACAATGAAGTCTACGAAAATTGCCGAGAAGGAGGCAGAATCCTGGAACCTGCTGGTGACGAGAGTGGAGGGGGAATTCACAGAAATTACACAGAAGAAATTGATTTGTCAGAAGATAGCATATTCAGTCATCCAGGATCATCAACAAACGATACACCACCACCGTGGAAAAAAATGAAAACAGATAACGAGGAAAAAAGTTCGGCCCAAACGACAGAAATATCTGTATTAATGAACGATCCCTTATACCATTTCTTTATGTCAATGTACGAAACAACTAAAAAAATGCCAGAGACATCACAGCTTAGACTAAAAGATCGAATATTCAGGGCTGTCTCTGGTATGGAAGCAACATTACTAGATATATCGCCGCAACAACCACATTTTGATTAGTTGTTTAATATAGATGTAATATAATTTAACCACTTCCTTGGTATTTTTAATTTTAACTTCCCACACCACTGTCGAAGAAAAATTTCGAAAATCAGATATGTGTTTTGGTCTTAAGACTAAAAATGCTAGCTGCTGCTCGCTCTCGGGCGACTATCCACGCAATAAATTTTTTACCTTAACGGCTGAGACGAGGCCAACGAGATCATGGTGGCGATGTAACAATTGCGACTACCAGAGCAGTATAATTTATTGAATATAAATAATCGGATATTGAGACAACAGGGCTGAAGTTCTCATCTCATCTATTTTTAGTATCTTTTACCCAAGAAAATAATACCATGGTGTACGTAAGTTGGCCTCGATTATTAAAATAAAAATACAGGGTGGTCCATAAGTCCTTTGAAATTTCAAATTTGAATAAAATTTAACGGGTGAGCGTGAGCGGCGCGGGCGAGGTGGGGGCAGTATCTTCAGTGTCTGGGAATTCAGTCGCCATGGAGTGTTTCACTGGAGCGGATCGTGCTTTTTGTGTGCGCGCGTTTTATCAAAATAATGATTCGGCAACCATTGCGCGGCGTAAATATCGAGAATACCACAATTTACACAATTTTACAAAGTGTCCAACAGCTCAAACGATTAAGAACTGGGTTGCTAAGTTCGAAGAGACTGGTTCGACGTTAGATAAACAGCGGTGGGGTCGACCAAGGACAACTCGTATTGAAGAAAACATCAACATTGTGGCACAGTCTGTTCGTCAAAATCCTACCCAGTCTACTCGTAAGCGTTCCAGTGCACTAAACGTACCCAGAACATCTTTACAGCGAATTTTAAGGAAAGATTTACGTCTGCACGCTTACAAAATTCAGTTAGTGCAGGAATTAAAAGATAATGACGCTATTCAGAGACTAAACTTTGCGAATGAAATGTTGAATCGATTTTCTTCGCTCAATAATGCGTTGTTCTCGGACGAGGCTCACTTCCATTTAAACGGGCATGTAAATAAACAAAATTGCCGTTATTGGAGTCCCGAAAATCCAAGGCGTAAGCATCAGAAGCCCTTACACAGCCCTAAAGTTACAGTTTGGGCTGCTATGTCAGCGCATGGCTTCGTAGGCCCTTATTTTTTTGAGGACGACAGAGGTCGCGCATTAACTGTTACTTCGGAGCGGTATTTAGCAATGATAGAAGAGTTTTTGACACCAGCGTTGCAGAATTTTCCAGGCTATAATACGCAGACCTGGTTTCAACAGGACGGAGCAACTGCCCACACCTCCAACACTTCTATGCCCGTCGTCTGTCAACTTTTTCCCAGCAAAGTAATTTCTCGAAGAGGAGACATTTCCTGGCCACCACGTAGTCCAGATTTGACCCCAATGGACTTCTTTTTATGGGGCTACCTCAAGAGTAAAGTGTACGACACCACTCCGCGATCAGTTGATGTCCTGAAAGAAAATATCCGAAGAGAAATGGCAAGCATTACAGTGTCGACTTGCCGCGCAGTCATCGACAATTTTAGACGTCGTTTATATGAGTGCCGTGATCGTAATGGATTGCATTCAGACGATGTGATTTTTAAAACATAATTCCCATTCAATAACGATGATAACAAAATATAATAATTCTTCATAATGTAACTAGTTTGGTTTTATTCCTTTTTTTCCAGCTCAAAGGACTTATGGGCCACCCTGTATAATAAACAATACTTTTCTCCAACCATATTCATTTACATTGCTTGACGAGCAGCAAGGGTTTCTATAGCCGACTGAAAGTAAACGTACCAGAACGCAAGGAAGTTGATTCAGATGCTAAACATGATGCTTATATTTTCAATTTTTGCTAAATCAAATTTGAACCCTTATACATTTTTAATGATCCCATTTAAAAAGTCAAGAAACAAAGTTTTGGCGTTTTTGATTTTTTTCGTTTTCGGCCTTTTTCTCCGCCGGCACTGGACCGATTTTCAAAAACTACAAAACTTTTTTGTCTCTGGCCACACCTTGTGTGAAAATTTCATCAAACTCCGACCCGGTATTACGTATCTTGAAAATTGCTTCAGTTATGAACGTGGAAACTATTTGCACACCAAAAAACTACCTAGTCTGCAATATGACATTTTGACGTTTTTTGGGTTTTTTACGTAATACCCCTGCGGAACTTATAGGGGGGTTATAATTTTAGGATTCGGCCCCCCGCTTTTCAAAAAGTTTTAGTGCAGGTACATTTTCACAAAAAGTTATATTTGACCGATGATCTCCGCTGAGGGCGCCCATGCCTGTGTCTCAACTTTCACTCGGCCTAGTAAATATGGAAATACGAGGGTTGATTCAAAAATAAAGTGTCACAATTTTTTTCAAGCACACGAAATTTTTTATTTGAAATAACCGAATCCACTATAGGAAACATTGATGCTTAAGCTATTTTCTCTGTAGTCGTCATTTTTTCTACGCAAACATGAAGATGCGCATTGTTTTGCTAAATTTTGGATTGCCCGTCTCAGCTTTTCAGAAGCCTCATGAATTTCAACCGCATGTTGTTCATCGTGGATATCCATGTGGCGGTCAGAGCAGCCTCTTCACGATTTGAGGACATTTCGAATGCTTATACTCGTTTCCCTATATACAGGGTGCGTCATCTATTATTTTTTTTTCAATTTGAAAAATCAACACGCTTTTTATGAGGTGAAATCGAATTTTTTTATTGATAACTGAAGGTTAGTTTATGCCATTTATGTATGAAAAATAACATCAGTCATGTAACCACCGCGGCTTCGTTTACAGGCCAACATCCGAACATCAAAATTTTCAATGACTTTTCCCAGAATAATCGGGTGTATGGCCGCAATTTCAGTCCCAATATTGCGCTTTAGGTCTTGAATTGTCCGGAGACCATTCGCATACACTGTTCCTTTCAAAAATCCCCAAAGAAAATAGTCAAGAGGTGTTAAATCGCACGATCTCGGGGGCCAACTGACATCTGAATTTCGTGAAATTATGCGGTCTTGAAATTTCGTGTGCAATAAGGCGATTGTTTGGCGAGATGTGTGAGCCGTTGCTCCGTCTTGATGAAACCAAAGACTGTCGGCACCAATACGATCCAATTGTGGCCACAAAAAGTCTGTTAACATGCCGCGATAACGTTCCCCGTTGACGGTAATTGCCTTTTCTTCAGCATCTTCAAAGAAGAATGGTCCAACGATGCCACCAGCCCATAATCCGCACCAAACAGTCACTTTTTCAGGATGGAGAGGTTCCTCATGATACTGGTGTGGATTTTCAGCCCCCCAGAATGGTGGTTGGATCTCTCTCGAACACTTTCACTCACTGCGGCTATGTTTAGACGAGTACGAGCTGGACGAGCATGTTGGTATGGTCTACGACCTTCAGCTGAACCAGTTTCCTCAAAACGATCAACAATCCAACGAATTCCGGGCTCTGTAGGGCGTCCATGTCGGCCAAAACTAGTGCGTCGTTTGTGAAAAGTATTTTTTATATTTCGACCGTTTTCGTAATAAGTTTGGATAACCATAAATGCGTTGTTGTGTTGTAAACGAATCCAGTACTTCACTCAAGTGGCGATGAATCTCTATGGGTGGTAACGTTTTCGCGTGCAAAATTATTTTTGAGACAACCCTCGTATATGCCTGCTTTTCTGACAGACTACTCGCCAGCTGCTATAAATCCTTGTATATATTTTCAACTTGCAGCACAGGCAATGAGACCAGCAGCAGTTCAGCTGCATTTCAGGACGATGCCGTCGAAATTGAAGAAAATTACGAATACGTGGATGCTATGCTGTTGAGTGCCGAATCAAATGCCAAAACAGAACCTGCATCGAGTACACGCGCATCCCAGGGCAGCTCTTTTCAAACTAGTTTTGCGCAGTATTTAAATAAGCATGAGTTGAAAGATTCTGAAGAAAAAATTGATTATGGTTTCATCTTATGCATTTACTGTAAGGCCAAATTTAAAAGCGATACTGGTCTACGTAGTCGTGCCATAAGTTCTGTCCCATGATAATCTCATGATAAAAATGAAACAAGATAAGATATATTTATATGAAAGATATTATTTATTCGACAACATTTTTAAAATTCATAATCAAACAGTTTTATTCAAAATGTCCCCCCTTGGCCTTCACACACTGCTTCAATCTCGCGGGCCACTCATCTATCACTGCACGCACAGCTTCCAAAGGAATAGCTGCCGCTGATCGGATCAAATCCGCTTTCAGGGACTCGTTATTACGGTGGGCTTTGGAGCAGGCCAACTGCTCTAGCAGGTCCCACAACTTGTAGTCTAAAGGATTGAGGTCCGGACTCCCTGAGGGCCAATCTTCCGCAGCAATGAACTCTGGCACATTGCTTTCCAGCCAGCGCTGCGTACTCTTAGCCTTGTGAGCGGGGGCGGAATCCTGCTGGTAGACCCAGTGTTGGTTGGCAAACAATGTACCACTTAAAGGCTTGACGATAGGATCCAGTATGTCGCTCTGATAGTTTGCCGCTTTTGTTTTCACGCCCTGTTTACAGAAATGGAGCTGAGTGACCCCTTCGTAGGACACCCCCCACCAAACCATGACTGACGCAGGGTGGTGGCCTCTCTCAACTCTCGGAATGATCTCCGAAGCTTCCTGTGAACTCCTTGCATACACTTTGTCATTTTGTCGGTTGAATTTTTCTTCTATGGTGAAGATTTTCTCATCCGTGAACAAAATCTTTCGGAATCCCCCAGCTGCGTACCTCTCCAAGAGCTTCTTGGATCTTGTCGCCCTGATGTGTCGCAAGGTGGCCGTAAGTCGCTGGCCCGTACGTCTCCGGTAAGCCCCTAGCCCTAGGTCTTGTTTAATGATGCGCGACATCGTCCGGACAGGAATCTTCATTTCCCTGGATAGGATCTTCTGCTTCCGGAGTGGATTCCTTTGAATCCTGGCTTTTACGGCTTTGATGGCTGCTGGAGTCCTTACTTGACGAGGTCTTCCGCTTCTTGGCCTTTCATCAACAGAGGACGTCTCATTGTACCGCTGAATGGTCCTAGACACAAATTTACGCGATATTTGAAGGCCGCGTAAGAGTTCAAAAATCTGACTAGCACTGTGATTACACTTATGTAAAGCTATCACTGCAATACGGTTCTCTGCCTTGCCCCACTCCATCGTTATGCTTCGAGAGATCAATACAAACTGAGGTATATGTAATTACCCGAAAAGCGCTTAATCAACTGACACCACAATGTAAACAATCGGACAAGTATTAACAGGTCTACACTTGTTTGAAAACGAGGGACAGAACTTATGGCATGACTACGTAGATAACCATATCGTCAGGAAACATCCAGAATTTATGGCAACTGTTACCAGAAGGATTCATGAATGTAAAATGTGCAGTTTCAAAACAACCATAGTTAGCCATCTAGAGTATCATCAGTTAAAACATCCCGAGACCGCTTCTAATTTCAAACTCAGCGTATGCGTACATTGCAGTGAACCATTTAAAAGTGCAGCCGCCCTTGATAATCACATAATCAAAAAGCATCCAGAATTTATCTGTACTATCACTAGAAAAATACACGAATGTCAAATATGTCACTTTAAAACAATAAAGTCCAGTGATTTCACGTATCATCAGTTAAAACACTCGGAAACAGCTGGTAATTATAACTTTAAAATATGCGGTCACTGCCATTCGATGTTTAGAAGAAAATCCGCACTGGAAAACCACATCATCAAGAAACATAAACATTTTATTTCCTCTATTACTAGCAAAATCTACGAATGTACACGGTGCTCGTTTAAAACGATCATGCTCAATAATTATAATAGACATGTGTGGATTCATAGGTAACAACGAACATGAATATGAAATACTATTTGATACAAGTTCAAATTTTAAAATAGGGCAGTTATTTGGACAAGGAGGAGCATCCAAAATTGTAGGATGCCTTTATTGGCCTTCTTGATTTTCATAGTTTTCTACTGTTCCGTGTCATCTTTCTATTTTGAGGTTATGTCACAAATATCCTACGCTGACCTGAAACAGGTGACATCTAGAAATACCCTAGCCTTTTTGAAGGAGAGAAAAGACTATCAAAATCAAGAAGACGTCCTACAATTATTGCAGGAACGATTGATGATAGGGCCTTAAAATTTTTGCCAAACGGGATTTGAAAAACCCGAAATTTGCACATTCCTATGACACATAGTTTGTTTTTAGTTGTAAACCAGCAACAGTTCAGGAGCCGACGTGAAAGTGTTGGTTGCATCGTGTACTGATATGGAATGTTGAAAACTAGTCAAATCTTACGTATTTTGATGCTAATCTGCAAACTTGGCAATTTCAAATATCTTTACTACAAAACGGCATCGGAAACAAAACGTCAAGAGTTTCGCAGTTTGTGTTTCAATATTAGGTCGATGCAATTAATTAAGATACTTTTGAGTTTTTATACTAATAACTATAACTCGAGCTGTAATATGAATATTTTGAATAAACTGGCAAAAACCAACACTTTTGTTTTTATAATAAACTATACATCTCGCAGAGGTTGATGAGTGAATGAGTTGATTTCCCCATTCATTTGCATTTAAAACTCGGAATGATAGAGAAATATTTTCAATATACGGATTCCACACACGTCGAACGTACATAATCGTATACATGCTTTAACGCAGTGGCAGAGTTGCCAGGCGTGGCGATTTTTCACCAGAGTGGCGATGTTTCACCAGAGTGGCGATTTAACGGATTCAAGTGGCTAAAGTAAATAGCTTAGCGATTATGTAACATTTCTGACGTCAATTAATTTGTAATCCATTTTTCCTGAAATGTGTGTAGACCACGATGGGTTGCAGAGTGCGGTGGAAGAAGTACTAGGGTGGGCGGAACGGTGGCTGATTAAAATTAATCAATCGAAAACGCAGGCTATTTATTGTACCAAAAAACGTCGCGGCCCCCAGCAGAGGTATCTGTAGACGGCAATCGTGTATACTTTATCTGAAGTCACTTGAAACACTGTGAAATACCGGGTGCGTTTTATATATCTATATTTAACACGCTCTGTTGCTGCAAAAATCGCCAAATTTCGCAGCAAATATCCCCCGTATAAGATCAAAGGCAGTTTCACCGGTCCACGTGGAGTAAAGCACGCCTATGCGTGGACATAGCCAATGAGAAAGCGTGTATTTCAGAGCTCCGAACAAGTGCAGGTGGCTACTGAAAATTGAAACAGTTTAGCCAGTGTCGTGTAGCGGTGAATAAACGTGTTTTCTTTAATCTGTCCGTGTTTTTTCATAGATTTTATTAGATTGTGTGTTTTTGACTTTTGAATACTCAGTTTACTTGTTGATTTAATTGTTGTGTTGATTGTTCTTGTGTGTCCTAAATATGGCTCTTTGGAGACCTTGGGAAAATGCTCCAAGCCACGAGGAGATGGTTGATGAACCTGTGCAGGCAGAATTCTTTCATAAAGATTTAGAGGAACAGACCCAAAGAGTAATCCTAAATATGTAAGATTGTCTGAAAAACGAAAATCCAGATTCCTCGCAAGATCAAATTTTAAACAGAATTTGTATCCTGACAAAAATCAGTCGGTCTACCATTTATCGGGTTATAAAAAGGGGAGATGTAGTCAACCATTCCTTCCACAGAAAGCGCATAGGGCAAAAATTAAAAAGAATAGACGTGGGTTTTCAGGAAGATATTCGTCGTATAATATACGGATTTTATAAAGAAAATTTGGTACCCACGTTGGAAATGATACGGGATAAATTAAAAGATTATCCTGAAGATTTTTATAATTACAAATGCTTAGACTCACTGCACTGTATTGTAAAACCGTGTGGTTTTCAATACAAAAAATTAGATAATAGAATGGTGATTATGGAGTCGTCTCGAATCGTTGAATTGCGCCAAGAATTTTTGCACAAAGTTAAAATCTATAGAGAGCAGAAAAGAAATCTGATTTACCTGGATGAAACGTGGTATGATACCCATGATGTTGTGCAGTACGGCTGGGTTGACGACAGCAACAAGTGCATTTTAAATGCACCATGCAACCGTGGAAAACGAATCATTATTCTCCATGCTGGCAGTGAAAATGGATTTATACCTAATGCCTTGCTGTTATCTGCCAAAAATATCAAAGAATCATGTGCCGACTATCATGAGGACATGACCTCCGACTTATTTGAAAGTGGATAGAGCAGCAATTAATACCAAACATTTCCCCAAATTCAGTGATTATTATGGACAATGCGCCATACCATTCCCGACAGAAAAACAAAATTCCGAATACAGGCACAAAAAAACAAGACATTATTGATTTTATGAAGGATAAGGGAATGTAAATACCACAAAAATCAACCAAAGCCATATTATTGGATCTTATTAAAAGACAAAAATTTGAAAAAGAGTATGTTGTTGACAATCTGCTTCAGCAAAATGGTCATGAAGTATTACGTCTACCTCCCTATTACTGCATTTTTAACCCGATTGAGTTGGTCTGGGCTGCTTTAAAAAAAAAGTAAGAAAACATAATCAGACCCCTCAATAAAGTGAATCGCTATTGGCCACAATAAGAGATGCAGTATCTCATATTGCTGCCACAGACCTATGGAAGCAGTGTTCTAGGCATATTATTGAAAAAGAAAATGAATATTGTGTTTTGCCTCCTGTAAATCCCGTTGTAATTCCTCTACAAGATGACTCTAGCGACAGCTCCGAAGGCGAGGATGATATATAAATACCTATAATGTAAGTCTTTATATACCTTTTTATATACCTACTTGCTATGTAAATATTTGCCTATGTCAAACGTTGGAATTCTGTAATTTTTCCATTTCTTAACTTTCAGTCAGCATAAATTAAACTCCCAATATAAGTATTTTTTATCCCAAATCAAAAAAATAAGAAGATAGTAAAATCCATTTATTGTGATATAAAAACATTATTATTATCGTTCTAAATAAATGACCGCACGCCTATGATACGTCATGAAATTACAAAGGACGCGCCGACCAAAGGTTTTTATGCTATTTCAAGTGACTTCAGATAAAGAATACCATGGACAAATTCTGTCCAGCACCTCGGTGTCACCCTTGATAAAGGCATGACCTGGCAGAATCATACAGCAGCCTTGAAAACAAATTTCCAAATTGCGTTTCGGCAACTATATCCTTATGTAGATCCTCCAAATTGAGTTTGATAAACAAAGTTCTTGCCAAGACACATATGCAAAGTCTTCAAGTACTGCAAAGTAGAACTTTGCGAACAATTTGCAACGCTCCATGGTATGTCTCGAACGAGACACTACACAGAGACCTTGAAATTCTTTACTTGAGGGATTATGTCAAACTTCAGGCGCAGCGACGTTATATTCAAGCGGAATCGCACAGCAACACTGTTGCGCGACTCAGTGGAGCAAGTTCGTAAACATTCAAGGCCACGGCTCGCACTGTAATAAAAAAATAGCGCGAACTTTTTGTACACTTAAAATTACACTCTAACAAAATTAAATCAAAAATTTGTTTAGTTCACCTCAAAATTAATCCGTTACCAAGTCAAAAAGCCTAGGTGTCTCCTCTTAAAGTAAACACTTCTGTTCTCCATTTTTCTTCTCTTTCCTTTTTTTTCCTAGAAATTGCCTCGTTTCTGGGCAACCAGTACTGACAGATTCGACTTACGTACATTAGACAGTGACTAATGGGCAAAGGTCCTACGGACCGCCCAGACAAACAAATGACGAATAGTGGTCGTCAAATTTGTGGGGACTATAATTCTATAGGCCTGTTTGACCATTTCATTCTTCTGTTACACATGTTCGTTGCTTTCTTCTCAGAGGGATTAACTTGTGCTGAGCATAATCCTTTATGAATAGCCTTGCGAGTCGACCTACTTGACGCCATTTTAAGCACGTCAAATGTACCAATTGTTGGCTAGGGACAAAGATGGTAGAAAGGAACACTTCTTTCTAAAACAGTGCCGTGCTATACCCCGATTCGTTAAATGTTCTGTCCATTCTGCTTTGGTGTTTTGTGGTTATGTTTGTTCCATGTTTTGTGTGTTTTGTGAAATTTGATGGCAAAATGGCGTCTTGTAAGGATGTCCTGTTGTATTTTCACATTTATCAATTTGATAATTATGTATAAACATAAACTAATCGTTTGTTAACAACTAGTTTCACGTTATATTAAATATAATAAATCAAAGCTTCAAAATGGATGCGGTAAAATCATTTAACCAAGAGGTAGGTAGAAAATGGATTGTTTTAAATAGTATCGATAAGCGTGCGTTCGCTAATCGCTTTGAAACTACCTTTAAGATGTTTTCGGCGTCCTATTTTCTGAATTTCATACTAAACGGTATTTTTCTGTTGCAGCTTTCGTCGCTCTATGAGGTGAAACCTCCAATATCCAAAGCAAAGATGACTGCCCTAACCCGAGGAGCCATCAAAGCCATTAAGTTTTATAAACATGTAGTGCAGAGTGTTGAAAAGTTCATTTTAAAGTGCAAACCTGAATATAAAGTGCCTGGACTCTATGTAATAGACTCGATAGTGAGACAGTCAAGACATCAATTTGGACCTGATAAGGATGTTTTTGCACCCCGGTTCTCGAAGAACATACAGCAGACGTTCATTAATTTGTTTAAATGCCCTCCTGAGGACAAAGTAAGGGATATTCTTATGCTAACCTATTTTTTATTCTGAGGGTGCCGAGCACCAAGAGAATTCAAAGATAAAGTGGTTTGTTGCTGAATATATGTGTAATTTGTGATGAAATTGATTTGAGCTGTGTAGGTTCAGTATTAAAAATGTCATGCCATTTATCTAAAGCTCTCCTGAGGTTTCAAAGTTTATATAATACTTTAAGAAGTATACAAGGTTTGAACTTGGTTGGTACCCTCGGCCCTCACGGTCTCAAGATTTAGTGTGTAACATGCTTTAAATACTGGTATTGTTACAACGAGATGCAATTCAAAGGCAAACCCAGTAATTTTTCCAAGATATTCCCTAGGTTTTTTGAGAACTTAAACTGTATTTTTGCTTTAGAAGATTTGAAAGCTAGAATCTTGGAGCTTCAGTTTAGGGATTTCTGTGCTCCCTTAATTTGTAGATTTAATTTTGCACAAACATAAAAAATAAACATTTGATTTTTGCTTATTTCTTGCATTAATAAAATAGATTTTGGATAAGAAGGCCTATGGCAGGGCTGTCCAACTTAATGTGGCCGAAGGGCCACTTAAAAAAAATGCAGTTTGGAGGGCCGCATTATAAAATCTTTCTATACAACATTATTACAGAGTAATAATAAATAAATAATAAAACAGAATGTAAGAATTGTGCATATTCGGTATTTGAGAGTAATTTATATATGTGATGTATACATGGCCTGTGAAGCAGGCCGCAAGAAAGGAGTTCGCGTTTAGTTTATTCAATTCAAGTAATCCTTTCTGAAATATTGATTTGCTAGTTTTATTACTATTGCAATTTTGTAAATGAAAATCTATATTTCCTCATGTATAATAATTGTGATAATGATTTTTCAATTCTATTTAGTGTTCTAAATGTTCTGGCAAAAGATGATTTTTTATTTTAAATATAAAAATAAGAACCAATTATGATATGAAATTTTTTATATTCAATATTATTCTGATAAATTTGTAATTTTGAGAATACAGCTTCAGTGGCAATGACCAAAATAGTGGAACAATATAGTAAATGCGGTAGAATAATTGTATTATAAACTATTTTCTTGGAATAGGTACCAAGACTATGAGAAGCCCTATAAAAGTAATTTGTTTTTTTGGCAATTTTTGAAATAATGTGATCATAGTGATCCTCAAGCTTTACTTTACTATCAATATATATATACCTAAATATTTAATTGATTCAACATTTTCAAATATTTCTGCATTTATCCTAACTGTGATAGTATTTTCATTTAGGTATTTCCCTATTAGCATACATTTTGTTTTAGAAGTATTCAATTTTAGTTTATTTACATTTAACCAATTTACGATTTTTGCCAAGTCAAAATTTAGCAGTGTCTATATTGGCTTTCATCCTCTTCTTGCAGGAGAAAGGCCAGATTTTTTACCAAATTGTCAACCTGTCCCAAAACCTTTGACTAGAATGCTGAAAATGGGAAAGATGGGAAGATAACAAACTGTTCATGTTTTTGCTCATAATTCCACCCTGGCTGCGCCAACTTTCAAACTAGCAATATTTGCTATGATACCATTTCCCACAACATTCTTTCAAATAATCTTCAATAATTGCTGCTGTTGTTTTTGGCACACTTATATTGAAAAGTTGGGGCAAACATTTGCTTAAAAGATCCAGTTCTCTGTATGAGTTTAAACTAAAATATTTCCTACACCAGCAGTAGACTAGTTTTGTTCAAACTTTGTTGATAATCTCCTTCACCAGTGGCCCCAAAATAATAAAAATAGTTGGATTAAGGAAATAACCAAGGTTTATCTTTTTTGCTCAGAAAAGTAGGTCATAGATTCGTTGTCCCATTCTTAGAAAGGTTGGTAAAAACCCAGATTAAAAAATGCTTTTTGGTTTAAAAAAATCGCATTTGAAGTTTGACTGAAATTAAAAGAAATTGAAAAAATATGTAATTGTATATTTGTTTTTTGATATAACTTATTTTAGTCAAATGTCAAAAAACCAGCTTTCCACCTGATAAAAAATATTGGTAGCCTTTTCAATTCTGTAGCTTACTTTGTATTAAGCCAAAAGAAGAAAAAAACTGTCTAGAACTGCTGAAGATGGTTGTGCAATAATTTTGTCATTAATGCTTTGATTTCATTTTTTTTGGCTTCTACATCACTCAATTGTTGCCAAATTTTAAGAGTATTGGCAACCCTCATTCTTAGTTGAAAAATTGTTGTATTTGACTTTGCAAAGTGCTTGACTTAGACATTCCTCTACAAGATAACAATCTATTTGAGTTTAATCTCCACCTTGTTTTTCAATTGCTAATTATATTTTAATTATAATATTAGTGTTATATAATTACTAAAGAAACGTTTTCGATCAATTTAGAAGAAATTAACTTTACGCTTTAGTCATTTTTTAATTGTTCTACTTTTGAATCATCAACAAAAAGGTCTTTAAAATTTTATCTAAAACTGAATGATTTGAGCTGATAATACTTTAACTAACTGTAAATAAAATTCTAGAAAAGCAAACATATCTAATAAAACTTATTATTGAAAGATTCTGATAAAAATAAAAAAAAATGATTTTTACTAATTGATTAAAAATGTAGACGATGTCTAACCACTATTTAGGCAGATGACATATTGGCCCTAATTCTAGTGAGGTTTTTTCATGCAGGTGATTAAAAGAAAATATAATGGAAATTCAGGAATATTTTTGTATCAAAGCTGCTGTCATGTCTCTAATTGGCATTGATAATCATTGAAAGATAATATTAAGGATTTTATTCTTCATCAAATTAAATATATATCATATAATATTATTCTTAGTCAAAGTGAACACAGGATTACAATAATGTAGGGTAATGGACTACTTGGAATTGCAATGTTTTTTCAACTTGAGAGTGAACAACTTTAAAGAAAACTTTGTTTTTCAGTAAGGGTTTAAAAAATCACTTTTTGCCTGAGTAACATGTTAGCCCATATTCTTTTTTATATGACTTCTAGAAGAAAGAGTTGTATATATACAGCAGTTATATGGTCTAATATGAAGTTTTTAATGTAAAATTTTCAGAGAAGTGCTATTGAATAAAGTTATATATTTTTGAATGGAACATATTTTCAGTGAAAATGGTAATTGCTTTTTTCTGATTCCAAATATTATATATGCATATATGGTTCAATTAAACTTAGTATTACTTTAGTCAAAGTTGAAGTCTATATGTCATATAATCATAAATATGTATTCTGGCCCCATACCAGATTGAATAGGTGCTTAGATGAAAAACTTAATCGAATTCAGATACACATGAGTAAATGACACAAACTTAAGTTTGACTAATGAAAATTAGTATGATAAACCATATATATTTTGTATCAGAAAAAAGGGATTATTTTCCCTGAAAATATACAGGGTGTCCCATTTAAAAAATACAATTTTATCAGATAGCACCAAAAAATATTACAGGAGAAACATCATTTTAGACTCTGTATCTTTTACGTAGTCGTGCCATAAGTTCTGTCCCATGATAATCTCATGATAAAAATGAAACAAGATAAGATATATTTATATGAAAGATATTATTTATTCGACAACATTTTTAGAATTCATAATCAAACAGTTTTATTCAAAATGTCCCCCCTTGGCCTTCACACACTGCTTCAATCTCGCGGGCCACTCATCTATCACTGCACGCACAGCTTCCAAAGGAATAGCTGCCGCTGATCGGATCAAATCCGCTTTCAGGGACTCGATATTACGGTGGGCTTTGGAGCAGGCCAACTGCTCTAGCAGGTCCCATAACTTGTAGTCTAAAGGATTGAGGTCCGGACTCCCTGAGGGCCAATCTTCCGCAGCAATGAACTCTGGCACATTGCTTTCCAGCCAGCGCTGCGTACTCTTAGCCTTGTGAGCGGGGGCGGAATCCTGCTGGTAGACCCAGTGTTGGTTGGCAAACAATGTACCACTTAAAGGCTTGACGATAGGATCCAGTATGTCGCTCTGATAGTTTGCCGCTTTTGTTTTCACGCCCTCTTTACAGAAATGGAGCTGAGTGACCCCTTCGTAGGACACCCCCCACCAAACCATGACTGACGCAGGGTGGTGGCCTCTCTCAACTCTCGGAATGATCTCCGAAGCTTCCTGTGAACTCCTTGCATACACTTTGTCATTTTGTCGGTTGAATTTTTCTTCTATGGTGAAGATTTTCTCATCCGTGAACAAAATCTTTCGGAATCCCCCAGCTGCGTACCTCTCCAAGAGCTTCTTGGATCTTGTCGCCCTGATGTGTCGCAAGGTGGCCGTAAGTCGCTGGCCCGTACGTCTCCGGTAAGCCCCTAGCCCTAGGTCTTGTTTAATGATGCGCGACATCGTCCGGACAGGAATCTTCATTTCCCTGGATAGGATCTTCTGCTTCCGGAGTGGATTCCTTTGAATCCTGGCTTTTACGGCTTTGATGGCTGCTGGAGTCCTTACTTGACGAGGTCTTCCGCTTCTTGGCCTGTCATCAACAGAGGACGTCTCATTGTACCGCTGAATGGTCCTAGACACAAATTTACGCGATATTTGAAGGCCGCGTAAGAGTTCAAAAATCTGACTAGCACTGTGATTACACTTATGTAAAGCTATCACTGCAATACGGTTCTCTGCCTTGCCCCACTCCATCGTTATGCTTCGAGAGATCAATACAAACTGAGGTATATGTAATTACCCGAAAAGCGCTTAATCAACTGACACCACAATGTAAACAATCGGACAAGTATTAACAGGTCTACACTTGTTTGAAAACGAGGGACAGAACTTATGGCATGACTACGTATATACATTTTCTTTGCTATACACGTTCCTATCTTTTTTCTCAGAAAAGCTAACTTGTGCAAAACATAATTCTTTATGAATTGAAGACAGCATTGCATGGAAGTACGGAGTCAAACTACTTGATGCCAATTTTTTTTTTCATAAAACTTGGATGCATAGTTTGCAATGATAAAATTGTCACTGTCAGCTGGTCTGAGGTGCACTGACCATACAGATTTCTTCATCAGGAGGAGTATTCTTAATTCTTTTTATCTGATTATTCCATTGTGTGTACAGAGATGACTGATAAACAATGTTATCTGTTAGTTTTTTGTGCATTTTTTCTTCAATTGTAACTTGTTTTTTGGTCATCTCAATACACACCATGAAATAATCAAATGAAAACTATTAAGAATACTGCTGCAAACAAAAAGCGAAAAAAGGGACGTGGGACCTTAAAATTGTGGATCGTTTTATGACGAAGCAACACATTAGTCAAAAATATGGTTCCCGCATTTTTTATTTGAAAATACGAATTCACCATTGGAAACGTTGATCTTTAAGCTGTTGACCGCCTAGGTGCTCCTTCAATTTCGGATACGCTATATCATGGCTGTAAAGGGGATGGGCTACGATTTCCCAGCCAAATCGCTCGATTAAGTACTTCGTTTGTCGTGAGACACTTCAGTCAGTTTTTGAATTGCCGGTCTCAGGTTTTAAATTTCAACCTCCTGTTCTAAGGATCGTGCTTCGCCGAACTTCGATCAATCTCTTCACCGTTTGGGGACATGTTGAATGCTTATACACGTTTCCCCATGTACTTCACTCAAGTGGGGACATTTCTATGGGTGGTAACGTTTTTGCATTGGAAACGTTGATCTTTAAGCTGTTGACCGCCTAGATGCTCCTTCAATTTCGGATACGCTATATCATGGCTGTAAAGGGGATGGGCTACGACTTCCCAGCCAAATTGCTCGATTAAGCACTTCGTTTGTCGTGAGACACTTTAGTGAGTTTTTGAATTGCCGGTCTCAGGTTTTAAATTTCAACCTCCTGCTCTAAGGATCGTGATTCGCCGATCTTCGATCAATCTCTTCACCATTTGGGGACACGTTGAATGCTTATACACGTTTCCCCATATACTTCACTCAAGTGGGGACATTTCTATGGGTGGTAACGTTTTTGCGTGCAAAAATCGGATGACCGCACGAGTTTTGTATATGGCGGTAACGATTTTGGATTGCACGTCTCAGCTTTTTCAAAAGCCTCAGGTATTTCAACCGCCTATTCCTGTATCGTGATTCGCCGATCTTGAGGACGTGAATGCTTATACACGTTTCCCCATAAAATTGACTCAATCGGGATTGATTTTTATGGGTGGTAACATTTTTGTGGTGGTGGGGAGCCGAAAAGTTACAGCATTTGAACCTTACTTTTGAAACAAAACATTTTTGCATGAAAATCACATTGTTTTTTTAACACCCTTTGGCAACATTAACATGGAATTTGTCTGTTTAGAGCAAGATCATCAGAGTGCTGAATCTGTGGCAAAGAAACCAAGTGTTCCCTCCCGAGGTGATCCAACCGCTGTTCGATCTCGCCGACCCGAACAATCCCATCTACAAGGAGATGAATGCTCAGATGCAGGCGACCAACGGTCTTAGCGTGCAGAATGTTGCCATGGCCAAAGGTTGGTAACGTAGAGCTTTTTCAACATCAGAGACTCATTTCTCTGGTGCAGAGTGCCAAAATATGATATCACATGAAAGTTACGCGTTAAGAATGATTATGATGAGCTGCAAGACATGCTTTGTACAAGCCAACTTTAATTGTATTTTTTCAAAATATATCAACTTTAAGTGAAAACTATTCTTTTCAGTCATTGATCCAAATTGTTTGAAACAAAATAAACAGGTCATTTATCTTTGCTCCCTAAGTTTGTATTTGTCCAGGGATCGGTTGATTTAAGCATGTCTGGTAAGCTTTATATATTGTGGGATTTGATCTGGAACCTTTAGTGTGAATTGTATATAATTTTAGTTTGTTGTAATATCAACTCAACATGGTATGATTCTGTTTTTATAACCAGCTGCATCCCTTTTTCTACCATCATTCAATTTTCATTTAAAAGCTCTGTCTCTATTAACACGTTATGAAAAATGGATTCTATGTAGTGAGGCATTGCAGAAAATTAAAATTTCCAGGTCAGATTCTTGCAGTCCAAAACTGAAGTTGAATTCGTCTTCTATTTTGACGGCAATATTAAGTTTATACTTTTTCGGAGAATAGTACCAGAAGGAAGGAATTCCAAAGAGTTTGCATAGTTCAGAAATAAAAAACTAGAGCATATGTAACTTGAAAGCATGTGGATTTATCTGTTTAGATGTTGATACTAATTAATAACCAATTATATCGCAATTATTTAAGGAGGAGAATTGTCGGCTCAACATTTTTACAGTTATGGTTAGCTACCGCATGTACGAGTATTATTACCTAACAGCCAATAAAATGTCTTATTTTGATATTAGTTGTCGATGTAGATGAGATGCATATTCAGAACCAATATATTTTTTATTATTACAAGATTTCAACAACTTCTCAACTCTCGTGAACTGTTAATTATGTATCATATAATTATCGTGGTGTAACATGAATTGCTACTGCATATTGTCACCCCCTGGTATACATTTTGTAAAAATTCATATATTGTCGTTTTTCTCCTCTTTTTCTTTAGAATGGCATCTTGAAATCGTATTTCTTATTTAGAAAGGAGCTTCAAAGACTCTGTATCTCGCTGATTTTCAATAAATCTTTTGAGCTGCTTGGTCATGGTAATAGCTTTATCATAGGAATACATCCCTCACACAGTGAAAGTTCCTAAACCAGGGTCCAACGGCTGGTTCAACAAATCGTGTGACACTGCTCGCCAGCAGAAGATCAAGGCCCACAGAACCTACTTACAAAACCCCACTGTAGAGAACAGACAAGCCGACGTCGAGTCCAGAAACAAATATAACGAAGCGGTTCGCAATGCCAAAAACCAACATGATATAAAAGTTAGGCACAGGGTAATGTCGCAGCGCAATGGCAGTCGGTCTTTCTGGACGCTGGCCAAGCAGATTGAAAAGAACTTCTCACACAGTAGCCTTCCACCACTTACGTGTCAGGATGGAACTATTGTATTCGACTCAAAGGCCAAGGCGGAAGTGCTAGCCAAGATCTTTGCTGCCAACTCCACCATGGACATCCCCACCAACGCCCAAGTGCCGTCAATTCAAAGGGTTCCCCACACTATGCGGGAGGTAACATTCAGGCATAAGACCGTAAGACGAGTGCTCTTGTCGCTCGACATCAACAAAGCTTCTGGTCTGGACTTGATTCCTGCCATTGTACTGAAGAGATGTGCAGCGGAGCTTGCTCCAGTTCTTTCGCGTCTCTTCCAGATATCTTATGAATCCGGCACCTTCCCAGAAAACTGGAAATTTGCTCATGTACAGCCCATCCCAAAAAAAGGATCTAAAACCGACCCTTACAACTACAGGCCTATAGCTCTGCTTTCTGTTATAAGTAAAGTGAGAGGTGCATAAATCGCGAGCTTCTGGACTACCTCGAACGTCACAGCTTGATTAGCGACAGGCAGTACGGTTTCCGGCACCAACGATCGACAGGGGACCTCCTAGCTTACGTCACTCAATTGTGGAGTAAACTCATCCAGTCTTATGGTGAGGCTCATGTCGTTGCTCTTGACATCACGAAAGCGTTCGATCAGCTGTGGCACGCTGCCCTCTTAAGCAAACTTCCATCCTACGGCCTCCCAGAAAAGCTTTGCAGATGGGTGGCTGACTTTATCTCTGGCCGCAAGATATCCGTCGTAATTGACGGATTCTCTTCATCCCACAACGTCAACGCGGGTGTTCCCCAGGGATCGGTCTTGGCCTCCAACACTGTTTCTCTTACATATCAACGACCTCCTTTCCTGCACGATCAACCCAATCCACAGCTTCGCTGATGACAGCACTCTACATGCAGGAATTCAGAGTGACAAGCCGATCTCTGCCGCTGAGCTGGAAAAAAAGAAGACTAGCGACGACTTCTTCTCTGACAAGAGACCTGGAGGCTATCACTGCTTGGGGACGCAACAGTCTTGTACAGTTCAATGCTTCCAAAACACAGTACTGTACTTTGACGAACAAAAAGCGTCCTAGCGCTCATACAGTTTCGATGGACGGTCGAGTTCTACCAAAGAGCCATTCATTTCGGCTGGTCGGAGTCCAGATCACCGAGGACCTGATCTGGCACGAACACATCTCTTCAATAGCTGCAGCTGCTGGGAAAAAGCTAGGCTATTTGTTTAGGGCTAAGAAGTACTTTTCTCCGCATGACCTTCTCACTCTATACAAGGCCCAGATAAGGCCTAGCCTCGAGTATTGCTCACACATTTGGGGTGCTGCCGCCCCGACTACATTGTCGATGCTCGATGCTGTCCAGAGGAGGGCGGTCGATGACTCTTTTCTAACAGACAGTCTCGGGACTCTTTCGCACCGGCGGGCCGTCGGCGATCTAGCTCTTTTCTATCGCTACACCAACGGGCTTTGCTCCTCAGAGCTCTCTTCTATGATGCCGCCGCGCGATGTGCCTGCCAGACAGACCCGCCTGACTTCGGCGTCCCATCCTAACCGTACTTCGTACATCCTAGAACTGGCCGATACGACCGCTCCTTTGTCCCGAGGGTGTCTAGATTGTGGAACAATCTACGGGAGGAAGCTTTTCCCGGTTCTACTAACCTTAGGCAGTTCAAAAATCGTATTAACAAAATTTCTTTGGGATCATCATAGCAGCCGCGGTGTTCCGGCATTTAGGCTTCTGTCTGCGCGGCTGTTTCGATATAAAAAAAAATAATTTGGAATAGCTCCTGTTTGTACTGGAACCTCATCGACATCAGAATCTTCGAAAAGTTCATGTCTTTCAATTAGTTTTTCAATTTCTTGGCCTGAATCTTCAACATACACACTTTTATCTAGGTTCAAAAAATCATAAATGTTTTCATTGTCAGGCAGTTTCAATAACATCTTATTTTTGAGGATATCTAAAAGTACATTAAGTCATCTTCTAGTCAGCCTCATTTAACTGGTCTTCACATTGCATATTTTCCTGCTTTGCGGGAGCAATTTTGCACTGTTTCTTTGGTTACTTGGTTCCAAGCGGTTTTTGCCAAATAAGGTCCTTATGCTTAACTTCTCCTTCAACAATCTCATTTTTTTGTTGGAGCCATTTCTATAATGAATGTTTAAATTTCTATAAAGAACGGGGCATTTCGCTGTGCAACAGCGAAAATTCGTGTTACACCACGTTGATTAATTTTCTACGAATCAGTGGCGGTATAAGGGTTTAAGATTTCAAAGAAACGTTTTCGATATTTGGAAACAGTTCAATTGAATTAAATTAAGGTATTTATACAACGAACGTAAGTAATTTAACGACATTGAAAAAATCATGGAGGGGATCTTTATCCCTGGATCGCCCGAGAACCCGCCACTGCTGAGAGTCAGCGTAAGGTAAGTACCTAAGTTAAAATTCAACGAAATTTTGCGAAGATTATTATTCGACTCAAAATTGATATTTGAAACTGTATAGAGTATTTGGGTGAAGAACATATTCAAATTATCAAACATCATTTAAAGCGAAAAATATGTCCAAACAAATATGTTAAAATAACCTTATTTTTAGGATTTTTTTATAATGTGTTATTTATTTAAATGACCTCTATACCCTGCGAAATATTGAAGTTTAAAATTGTTTTGGGAAAGGAAGTGGAGCGTGAACACTTTGATAGCAAAATATCTCTTTTCATAATGATTAAATTTACAATGTTATAATATTGATATAAACTATGAATCGATTATACCACACGAATCGGAAATGTTTTGCGATAAACATTTTGTCTGTATTATTATTTTTTATTTCGATAATTTTTATTCGAGGATAGATACAAGGATAAACGTTTGTTTACGTTTAGAATTATTGAGTATTAACGTTTTTTGATCGCGGTAAATATATAGGCGAGTTTTGGCGTTGATGGTTCATTTGAGTTGTGACTATTTTGATATATCTACGATTCCACAAAAGGTAAGTTGAATACACTGCTCAAAAAAATTAAGGAAGGAGAAAAAATCCAAAATTTCGGCGACATTTGACAGGTATTTCGGTGAAACCATTGTCGTATCTAGAGTTTGAAAAAAGCATTTTAAAGCTGTAGTTTTCAGTTTTAGCAGAATTTTTTTGAGTAATTCTAGCAGATAGCGCAAGAAACATTTCTTGCAAAGTTTTTTGCCTCCTTTTTTAAAATTTGAAAGAAATGGAAAAATCATTTTTTTTTGTTGTCACTATTGACTATCTACAACACCTTCAATTTTATAAAAAAGTATTTCGAAAAATGTTATATTATTCATGGATTATTTCAAAAACAAAAATACTGACCAGGGGCGGATCTAGAAAAGACCCGACACTGAATTTGCATCATCTTAAAACTTTGACCAATCGGTCGATTTACAAATAAAAATTCCTCAAGATTGCAATCAGTCTTATTGTAGATGCATTTCCAGTTTTTGGAAATACCCTTACTTCGATGCCAAAATGATCGTATCGAGATTTTAAAAACAGTTATTGACACTGAATAATCTGATCCATATGATGGTGAAATTTTTGCAAAAAAGGTTCTTGCGCTATCTGTTAGTTGCATGAGAACCGTTGCTCCTACATTTTCCGGTTAAAAAACCCGAAATCTAGAATCTGGAAGCTTCAAAATGCTTTTTTTAGAGTTTAGATACGACCATTTTTTACCAAAATTCAACCTGTCAAAAATCACCGAAATATTTGAATGTTTTTTCGGCCGCTCAATTTTTTCGACTAGCGTAGCATTCATCACATTGTAAGAGAAGTTTGTCAACGAAAATCATTTCATCGGCAAAAAGAAAATCCATTGGTTGATTCAACGAGTTTGATATTTGGCACTCTGTCCTGCGCGATCCACATGTCTAAATGAGTTGTTCGTATATTAGGTTCGCCAGCATTGCAACGTACACCAACCAAAGGAGGTCAGCAGTCAGGAGATAACAACCACGGATCAGCCGGTTTGGTACGATGTCGTTCCTTTAAGAAGTTGAGCCTACAACAGGCCATTCTACCAGCAGTTCTTACTAGGCCGATCAGCAACGAAGACGGGTTCAGCGACAAAAATGTGTACAGGAAGCCATCTGTGCAGGTATACGACGAATAGTGGGTAGATTTATAGTGATAAGTTTGTGTCAGTGAAATGGTTGTTACGAAGAATTTGTTTTCTGTCCGCTAATCTTATAACCGCCTATAACTCGAGAAGTGCAGCTCGGATTTCGATGACATTTTTACACAATGTTAACCTTGTATTTTTTGAAAATCGGTCCAGTGGAGGAGGAGAAAAATGCCAAAAACAAACAATATGAAAGTCGCTCAAACTTCGTATTTTGACGTTTCAGACGATTCTGATCATTTACATACATATTAGGCATCATAGATCTAAAACTTATATCTCCTACAGTTGGCTGACGATACGTGCGACGTTGTCCCCCGATGGACAAGCGTCGTCGTCGGTGGTCATACGTCACAGTCGGCAACCGCTTCCACAGTACTGTGGGCCGTGTGAACTGTGCATAATGAACGCCAATATCGTCATCCTCTCAGGGGGAGGAAAAATGTCATTTAATTTTTTGTTGTACATGTTCGTGGCTAACTTTTTTCTCAGAACTTCTAACTTGTGTCAAATATAATCCTTTACGAACTGATGGCAGCGTAGCGTGGGAAGTGAAGCGTCAACTTATTTGACGCTTTTTTTTACCATACAGTCTAAACCGACAGAGCAATCCCAAATGCTCCCAAAGGCGAAAGACAGGATTATTACCTATAAAACGAAATTTTAGCACGATATCATTGGTTGACTAGAATTAGCAAAAACGTAAATTTTGGCTTTTGAAAAATATTCGTGTCTCATATTTTCTTTATACTTCGTATGCGCGTAGAAGTATCATTAGTTTGGCCACAATTGCACTTTCCATTTTATTGTACCATATTTAATGAGTTGAATTTGGCACTTTGTAAAAGAGAAGAGGAAGTTGATGTTATGACCAAACTATTAATGCTACAAATCATCTTCCGCGCACATACCAAAAACACTAGTCTCTGCTATCTCTAAAAACTTGAGAATCGCGGGATATGTCTCCTTACATTGAAGCTTTATTGGTTGAGTATGTATAAAAAAATGAACAAGTAACACATAATTAATTATAACAAATTGAATCGGAATATTTCACTGATACAAATGTCTTACTATTATCCTCCTATTATCTGTCACTTGCAACAGTAACTTCCTGAGAACATTCTCGTCGGATAATAAGCTGCTGATTGGCCTATACGTTTTCATGGAGTTTGAAGAATAGCAACACTGTTGAAAAAGTTACAAAGTTGAATTCTGCACTGAAGGTTACCAATTTGTATACGCGTGTTCATATTGAGATAAAAAACATGCTTGTTAGTAGATGGTATTTTATGTTGCTATTTTTCAAATTCTTATTGCGTATGTTCACACTGTACAATATAATTATTGTATGATGATCTAGTATCTGATGTTTATACTTTTTGTTAACAGCTTCACTACTGGTACTTGTTAGTTAAGACTTGGTTATTCTATCAGCTTAAGTTGGAGCTCTATAACGAGTATGCTCTTTGGACTTGTTTATGTTAAAAGCCTATTTTCTTGTGTAGTGTGGATATATTCAATTAGCATTTGATTTTTTTTAAATCTGTATTAGTAATAGCCTAGCTAATATTTTTATTTTATAATAAATCCAGCACCAACATGTTAAGAAATAAGGCATATATGTAATTATGCGATTGAAATTATAGAAATTCATGGATATATATTTTTCCTAGATACATATAATTGTTGTCAAATTGTTTTTAAGTGTCATTGAGAGTCCTCACTGTAATTTATATAATTGTTATTTCCTGTGATACACTTTAAATGAGTCTTCATTCGAGAACTTGCACTTGGATATACGTTTAAATAATTTGAGCTAGTCATGAATAAATTGTACATTAATGAATAACCATTTAAAACTTATATTCAATCTGCATAAAGCATGGTAAATCGAGCTTTTAATTTTGAACATCTCACAAACTATGCTATTTTTCTTTGCATGAACTGGGAATGGATGTATTACTGATTTTTATCACTAAGTGATATTCAATTCATATTGGGACTGTTATTATCACAATAAGAGCAATTAGCAATTTTTGTCATAATATTGTATTGTAGGCAAAGTCCAGACTTTGGAGTGACAGGTGATGTCCAAAATTCGTTTGAATGTCATTCTTTGACTGTCATTGTTTTCGGTGAGATCGCGGTGATCGACATGCCTCGACAATATCCATACCAGAAAAGAAAATGAGTTACCATACAGGGTGATTCACAAGTCGTGACCAAAAATGATAAATTAAGCATCATACACAGTACCGCATTTTAGGGGGGTCTTCTATGTAATATATATAGGTGAAAAATTAAAGCTTCCGCCTTTTGTTGGGTACTTCGACAAAATTTAAGCAAAGAGGACTCTTTATACTTTTTTTAATTCTCTCTAGCTTTCAATGGACTTTGCCATCATCATCAGGAGAGTAGTATGTGAGGATGTTGCTGATTGTTGTTTTCGTATAGGATGAGGGAAACGTCCAGTAACATGGTGAGAGCTGGATACATGGTACAATGGTTAAAATTATATAAAATATGACAATCTGTCTTTAACTTGTCTTGTCATATTTTATATAATTTTAACCATTGTACCATGTATCCAGCTCTCACCATGTTACTGGACGTTTCCCTCATCCTATACGAAAACAACAATTAGCAACATCCTCACATACTACTCTCCTGATGATGATGGCAAAGTCCATTGAAAGCTAGAGAAAATTAAAAAAAGTATAAAGAGTTCTCTTTGCTTAAATTTTGTCGAAGTACCCAACAAAAGGCGGAAGCTTTAATTTTTCACCTAACTGGTCTAGACGAAAATGACCACGTCTCAAAATATATATATATATATAGTATTCAAAATATTGCAAAAGTACACTCTTATAACTTAAACTCTCAAGCTTTCGAAGATCTATGTCTTCATCGTCTCGAGCTGGAACCAATTATTAACAGTAGCAACAAATAGCAATAAGGAAAAAATATTCACTTACTAAGTCGGCGAGATTGTTGCTGAAATTGTTTTTAAAACAACGGTGATTCGTCGACTATGTGTTCCCTTCACTGTTGTTTTAAAAACAATTTCAGCAACAATCTCGCCGACTTAGTAAGTAAATATTTTTCTCCTAATTGCTATTTGTTGCTACTGTTAATAATTGTTTCCAGCTCCAGACGATGAAGACATAGATATTCGAAAGCTTGAGAGTTTAAGTTATAAGAGTATACTTTTGCAATATTTTGCCTTCTACCCAAAGAAATTAAAGGATATATATATATATATATATATATATATATATAACTTGAGACGTGGTCATTGTCGTCTAGACCAGTTAGGTGAAAAATTAAAGCTTCCGCCTTTTGTTGGGTACTTCGACAAAATTTAAGCAAAGAGGACTCTTTATACTTTTTTATTTCTCTCTAGCTTTCAATGGACTTTGCCATCATCATCAGGAGCTGCAATTACAATGATAACAGTAGCAATAAAAGTGTAAAATGAATTTAAATTGACTCAACTTACAGTAGTATGTGAGGATGTTGCTAATTGTTGTTTACCTATAGGATGAGGGAAACGTCCAGTAACATGGTGAGAGCTGGATAGATGGTACAATGGTCAAAATTATATAAAATATGACAAGACAAGTTAAAAACAGATTAAACATTATTTAAAAAACATTAGAGCATTACATCGTGAAGCCACTTGATGATTGCACAAAATGGTGGTCAATTCGTTCCATCTTTCAACACAGACATTGACAACCTTCGGCCTTTTGTCAAAGGTTCATCTCACTCATTATTCCATGACCACCATTTTGTGCAATCATCAAGTGGCTTCACGATGTAATGCTCTGTTTTTTAAATAATTTTTAATCTGTTTTTAACTTGTCTTGTCATATTTTATATAATTTTGACCATTATACCATCTATCCAGCTCTCACCATGTTACTGGACGTTTCCCTCATCCTATACGTAAACAACAATTAGCAACATCCTCACATACTACTGTAAGTTGAGTCAATTTAAATTCATTTTACACTTTTATTGCTACTGTTATCATTGTAATTGCAGCTCCTGATGATGATGGCAAAGTCCATTGAAAGCTAGAGAGAATTAAAAAAGTATAAAGAGTCCTCTTTGCGTAAATTTTGTCGAAGTACCCAACAAAAGGCGGAAGCTTTAATTTTTCACCTATATATATATATATATATATATATATATATATATTTCCTCGCGAGCTTCATTGAAAAGATACGGGGTGTTTAAGTTTAAAAATAAAAAACAATTTTTTTAATGTCTTCAAAACCGTCAAATGGAATGAACTAAAATTTGGTATGTTGATTTACCTAAGTATTGTCCACATTTAAAAGTCTACTTAAAATTTACCTGCACCAGTGGCGGAGATACAGGGGATTAGTGGCATTATTTTTCTAAATAAAAATATAACGCCACTTTTTTTCGAAAGGCGCAATTTTTATAATTGTACCTTCAATTTGATACAAATTATTATTTTCTATATATTTTCTAAATATTTGAGATTTAATATATTCCATTGATTGAAAAGTAAATATTTAATGAATATTATAAAAGAAATATTGTATTTAAAATATTTAAAAGATATTGAATAAATATTCAATAAAAATATTATCTTACAAATATTTATTAAATATTTGTTTAAGAAAACAAATATTTAAGTAAGATAAAAATATTATTAAATATTATATATATATATATATATATATATATATATTTCCTCGCAAGCTTCATTGAAAACATACGGGGTGTTTAAGTTTAAAAATAAAAAACAATTTTTTTAATGTCTTCAAAACCGTCAAATGGAATGAACTAAAATTTGGTATGTTGATTTACCT